ATAAGCCACCTTGGAAGTACTTGGGCTTAGAAATTGGAAAGAGGACCATTGTTCCTTAAAAAAATTAGAAATCAAAACGAGGATTGAGACCCTTGCAGATGTCCACAAGTTGTGTGGGTCTTTAAATTGCATAAGGCCCTGGCTAGGTCTGACTAACAAAGACTTTGCCCCTCTTTTCAATTTATTGAGAGGGGGAGATGACCCGAGTTCTCCTAGGGCTATTACCCCAGAGGCACAGAAAGCTCTAGAAAAAGTTCAGACAGCAATGTCCACAAGACAGGTCAACCAATGTCGGTCTGACCTGCCATTCAAATTTGTCATCTCAGGTAAGTTGCCACACCTCCATGGAATCATTTTCCAGTGGGAGCAGAAACAAACACCTAAGGCAAAAGAAACACCTAAAAAGGGCCAGAACCAGAGGGACCCTCTCTTGATCATAGAGTGGGTTTTCTTCAATCACCAAAGGCCAAGAGAATGACAAAGCCCCAAGAGCTGGTAGCAGAACTGATCCAGAAAGATAGGACCAGGATGAGGGAGCTGGCAGGATGTGACTTTGAGTACATTCACATTCCAATCAGGTTAAAATTGGGGCAAACTACTAAGGCAATGTTTGAACATTTGCTTCAGGAAAATGAAGTGTTGCAGTTTGCTCTGGATTCCTGCTCAGGACAAATTTCTATCCATCGGCCTGCCCATAAAATTTTCGAACAAGAAGTTCAATTCACCCTGAAATTGGGAAGCATTTAAAGTAGGAGACTTTTAAAAAAGGCTCTGACCATCTTTACAGACGTGTCCGAGAGATCCCACAAGTCCATTATGACTTGGAAGGATCCTCAAACTCAGCAGTGGGAAACGGACATTGCCGAGGTGGAAGTTTCACCTCAGGTTGCTGAGTTGGCTGCAGTTGTTAGGGCCTTCAAATAGTTCTCAGAACCATTCAGTTTGATTACAGACTCTGCCTACATGGCAGGAGAAGTATCCAGGGCAGATCAAGCAATACTGCAAGAAGTGCCTACCATTGTACTTTTTGAATTGCTCTCAAAATTTGTAAAGTTAGTCTCCCACCGAGAGCAACCATTTTATGTGATGCACGTCAGGTCACACACCAGCTTGCCAGGTTCTATCACTGAAGGCAACAGAAGAGCAGATGCTCTTGCTGCACCTGCAGAGATGGCCCCTCTCCCAAATGTTTTTGAACAGGCAAAAATCAGCCACCAGCTTTTCCACCAAAATGCACCTGGCCTAGTTCGTCAGTTTCACATCACTCAAGAACAGGTCAGAGTGACTGTGGCCACATGCCCCAATTGCCAACAACATGCACTCCCTACAATGAGCACAGGAGCAAACCCAAGGGGGCTGAACAGTTGTGAACTGTGGCAAACAGATGTAACACACATACAGTCATTCAGACGGCAGAAATACGTTCTTGTCAGTGTAAACACTTTTTCTGGAGCGGTCTATGCCTCTGCCCACACGGGAGAATCATCCTCTGATGCCATAAAGCACCTCCTACAGGCTTTCCCTTTCATGGGCATCCCCAAGGAGTTGAAAACTGATAATGAGCCCATTTACAAATCCAAGGAATTCCAGAGTTTCCTGCAGCAATGGGGAGTAGAGCACAAAAAAGGCATCCCCTACTCCCATACAGGCCAAGCCATAGTGGAAAGGATTCACCTTGATATCAAAAGTCCTGGACCAGCAACATCAGGTTCTGAAAGTGGAACCTCCCCACATCCGGTTGTCCAGAGCACTGTTCACAATTAATTTTCTGAACTGTTCTTTTGACAACCTGAGTCCACCCATCGTATGCCACTTTGGGGGGAGCAGTCAGATGTCAGTGAAAGAAAGGCCTCCAGTCTTAGTAAAGGACCCTGAGACTTGGAAGACAGTGGGACCTTACAAATGGGTCACATGGGGATGTGGATATGCCTGCGTGTCCACCCCCTCTGGTTTAAAGTGGGTTCCATCCAAATGGGTAAGGCCCTATGTCCCCAAGGTCTCAGGGAGGTCTACAGAAGCACCCCAGGTCGCTAATGCTGCCTGGAGGAGGAGATGCCACATGTGTTTCCTGGAAGAAATTCCATTTACACCTTCCATCTGGAATAATTTGTAATATATTTCTGTCTTGAGTTTCTTTTACCAGTTTAGATCCTGCTGTTCATGTGCAGTCGCAAGACACCATGAGACCGAGTCTGCTCCTCATCCTACTCTCAATCATTCCACCAGTGATCTCCTGGATAGTCCCTCAGCCCAAAGCAAACATACGGACACCTAGACCAAAGCCCCTGGACAGGATCACATCTGTCTCTCCACAGCAACAGCCTCTGACCTCCTGTCAACTTGCCTGGTGGGAGTTTCTTTTAAATCCACAGAGTTTCCAAACAAACTGTGGCATGCTTTAAATGAAGTTAACTCGCTCACACCTCCTCCTGGTCGCTATCCTGTTGACAATCCTTTACTGTTTTGGCAGGAGTGGGCAAGACACCGCTGCCAAAAAGGCAGCCACAAGAATTCCATCTCTTGGGCTCGATGAATGCAACCTTTTGCATTCAATTTAAATTTAATCCCCAGTTACCATATTATGAAATTAAGCTGAACACCTGTCCTCACCCTAGCAGCCCACACTACACAGACAAAAACTGGTGCGAAAATTCAGTCCTAGTCATGCACTCATCAAGTGATGATTACAAGCCCCATGAGCTCCCAAAAGGTGTGTTTTCAGTATGTGGAGACAGAGCACGGAGAGGCCTCCCCCCTTGTCTGCTCAGAGGTCCATGCACCTTTGGCAAGCTGAGCCTGTTTACCCCAAATCGAACAAATTTAATGCATTGGAAAATAAAAAAAAATACACATAAATTTGCTATCCAAAAAAAGGACCTAAGGCAATTAGTCCCAGACTGTAATTTGGAAATTGTTCACTGGTCCAGATTTAAGGCCACCACAATTGCAGTCCTTCTGCCGTGGATCTCGGCAGCAAAAACCATGGGAGAATTAGGCTGATTGGAATGCTGGGTTGCAAAACAGGCAAACCTTACTTCTGCTGCCCTGAGTGACTTCTTATCACATGAGGAGGAAATTACCAGGCAAGCCACCATTCAAAACAGGGCAGCCATAGACTATCTGCTCCTCCTGCACAACCATCGCTGTGAAGAATTTGAAGGTCTCTGCTGCCTCACCTTGTCATCGAAAGCAGAGAATGCCCATGCCGCGATCAACAACATGAAAACCATGGCGAACAACATCAAAAGAGAAACAGACAACTGGCTGAGTGGACTGTTCAAGGGCTGGGGACTCTCGGGCTGGTTGGGATCTATTCTGAAAACTCTGGTTTTAGTACCGTTTATTCTAGTTATTGTTATTGTAGTTGTTAGCATTGTTTTGGGGCTAATCAGGCGCATGGTTTACAAGTTAATTTCAAGCTCATCTTCCCCCCCTGAAGTCTACCACTTGGAAGCCCCTAGTGCTCCAATGGATGACCTGGAAGCCTCAGTTTAAGATAGGGACCCTCCTGAAGGAGGGGAACCAACTCACCAACTGTGGTTTGGCAAGCATTCTGCCCCCCAAACCCAGTCCTCTTCATTTTAAACAAAACAAGGGGGAGATGCTGCAGCGTGATTTTATGGTTTACCCCAGAACCCCAGGTTTCTCCCCTGAAGGTGTCCTCCCAGGTGTGTCAATCACTCCTCCTTTCCCCACCCTGACCCCTGCTGAGCACTGTCCTTCTTCCTGACATTCCAGAAGGGCGTCAAGTGATTGGGCAGGTTCAAAAGATGTCCTCCACCCCTGGGAGCCATTGGGCCATCCAGGTGTCCTTTGTCCTCTGAGACCTTCTCTCCCGTACCTGGTTGGTGGCTCCCTATCCCTTCCCCTGTCCCCTCCCCCAGCTAAAAGAGAGGGGAGCCACGCGGTCCGGGAGGTTCTGATGGAGCAGAGACTGGATTCAGAGGCCTGTGGGAGTTCTGTTTGGAGCTGTTGCTACATTCAGAGTCCTGTGGGCCAGAATAAAGCTCTGGATTAAACTCTCCATCAGAACCAACTCCTTTCCTTCACCACCAACTTAAAGGCCTCTCCGGCAGCGGGAAACCTGAGGAGCAGACCCTCTATGAGAGGAAATTCCATCCCGCCGCCACCTGAGCTCCGGCATGCCTGGACTTCTCTCCATGCGCCCGCTGCAACATCCAGCTAGCCAAAAGTGTCTCTGGGGTGAAACACCACAGTTGCTGCTATTTGGTTCAGCAGCAGGGGCCAGACAAGCCAGGCACACCTGTTCCCTCTATTGGAGCCTCCAACGGGAGAGCAAGTGAAGCAGGTAGGAAAGGAAAAAAGTAATCTATCAAAACAGTGGCAATATTTTCTGAAATAAAAATAATTAGTCCAGCTCTTCTAGTCACTCATTTTTCAGAAAGTTGCAAAGGAAGCTCACTATCTTAGTGAAGCTTGATTAATTGAACTAATGACTCAGAGATAATTCCCTCCAGGAGCCATTTCTGTTTAACAGATGATCAAGGACTCACCATGTGACTCAGCCCATGGTGAGATGCTCCACCCAGGGGGAGGAGCTAAGCATGCCCACCTAGATCTAGCCTGGGATTTCTAGACAGAGAAGCAGCCTTCCCACAGGTTTCCTAGGAGAACAGCTGGGGTTTTCAGAGGAAGACTACACCCTTCTACAGGACCACTGCCCCAAAAGAACCACGTCTGCTACTCCAGGAGGACTGCAGCCACTCCAATTTAGACTGCTACCAGCACACACTGGCCAAAGGGGTGTCAGGTTGTATTCTGACTTTGTTAGCGATTTTCCTATTGTATTATTGCATGTATTTTGTTTCTTTTCCCTTTCCCCAATAAATTGTATTTCTGACTTGGAGTCTCTCACTGGTTTTGATTTCAAACCAGACCAGGGAGGGATCCCCACGTGTGCCCAGCGCAGCAATGAACACACCGGCTTTACAACTCCTACAAAGCTGTGGACTTCAATTCTCTTTTTAGCCGCAGCTTACCTGCACGTGGATGGAGACGTCACAGAGCTTCCCCTCCAGGCGCTGCTGGTTCAGGTTGGAGAGCAGCGCCGGCGGCACCTGCGGGAACTCCACGTGCAGCAGCGAGGAGGAGGAGGAAGAGGAGGAGGAGGAAGAGGAAGGAGGGGGAGGGGGGGAGCAGGACCGGGGCATGATGGAGGAGGAGGGGAGGGTCTGAGGGGGGGGAATGACGAGGTCTGGGGTCAGGAACTGCGGAGGAATGGCGCGAATTGCACGGGCTCTGTGCTGAATTCCAGATTTCTGACCCAGATCCCCCCCAAATTCTGGCTTGAAGCTCGTTGGTTCTGTAACAAAATCCCTTAATTCTGGCCCAAATCCCATTAATTCCAGCTCAAATCAAATTAATTCCAACCAAAATCCCACTGATTTTGTATCAAATCCCCTAATTCTGGCTCAAATCTCATTAATTCCAACACAAATGCCTTAATTCTACCCTGAATCCCTTAATTCTGCACCAAATCCTTTAATTCTGGTCAATTTCCATGATTTCTGACCCAAATTCCTTAATTCTGGCCCAAATCCTGATATTCTGCACCAAATCCCACCAATTCTGCACCAAATCCCTTAATTGTGGCTCAAGTCTCATTAATTCCAACACAAATCCCTTAATTCTACCCCAAATCACAGAAATCTGGCCAAAATCCCACCAATTCTGTATAAAATTCCTTAATTCCAGCCCAAATCCCTTAATTCCAAGCAAAATCCCATTAGTTTCAACTCAAATCCCTTAATCCAACCCCCAAATCCCTTCATTCTGACTCAAATCCCATTAATTCCAGTCCAAATCCCATTAATTGTGATTCCAATTCTACTGATTTTGCCTCAAATTCCCTTAATTCTGCACAAAATCCCACCAATTCCAACCAAAATTCCATTAATTATGGTCTAAATCCCATTAATTTCAGCCTGAACCCCATTAATTCTGTACCAAAGTCCTGACCTAAACCCTGAATCACAAGCAAAATCTGTTCATTCTCCCTGGAATTCCTTCATTCTGTCCAAAACCCCATTAATTCCCTAAATTTGGCCAAAATCCTTGAATTCTGCCCCAAACCCCATTAAATTCTCACTCAGACTTTTAAATTCTGCCCCAAATGCCCTAAATTCTGCCTCAAATCCCCTAATTCTGACCAAAATCCCACAAATTTTACCCAAATCTCACAATTCTGGCTCAAATTCTCTTAATCCTTCCCGAAATCCCTCAACTCCCACCAAAATCCCAAATTCTGAACCAAAGCCCCAAAATTTTGACCAAATCCTTTAATTTTAGCCGAAATTCCACTAAACCTGGCCGAAATCCCATTAATCCTGGCCTGAATTCCATTAATTCTCCCTAAAATCCCCAAATTCTGACTGAAAACCCATTAATTCCACCCCAAACCCCATGAATTTTGCCTCAAATTCCTTTAGATCTGTCCAGATTTCTTAATTCTGACCGAAATCCCATTAAATCCCCCCCAAATCCCAACTTTTGGTCCCAAATTTTGCCTAAATCCCTCAATTCTGACCCAAAAGCTTTAATCCTGACTGAAATCCCATAAAGTTCCCATAAAATCCTGAGATATCCTGACCAAAATCCCATAAATTTTCCACCCCAAATCCCAAAACTCCAAAGAACCAGAAACCCCCAAATCCCCCAAACTCTCCCCAAAATCCCGCCCAAAATACCCCAAAGGACCCCCCAAAACCACCAAATCCCTCAAAGGACCCCCCAAAATCCCCTGAGCTCCTCCAAATTCCCCCCTGGACCCTCTCGGGACCCCCCAAATCCCCCCCAAATCCCCCAAAGGATCCCTCAAAACCGCCCCGAATCCCCCCAAAACCCCAAATTCCTTCCCAGTTTCCCCCAAATCCCACCCAAGCCCTCCCAAGTCCCCCCAGATCCATCCCCTGGACCCCACAATAACCCCCAGGACCCCTCTAATCCCCCCAAATCCCTCTCACGACCCCCCAAAGCCCCCTCAAACCCCCTCAGGACCCCCCAGAACCCCACAAATCCCATTAATTCCCCGCCAATGGGACCCCAAATCCCCGCCAGGACCCCCAGAATCCCCCAAATCTTTCCCCAGTCCCCACCAGGACCCCCCAGATGCTCCCCAAATCCCCCCCAGTCCCACCAGGGACCACCCAAATCCCATTAATTCCCCTCCAGGACCCTCAAATCCTCCCCAAATCCCTCCCACAACCCCCAAATCCCAGCCAGACCCCCCCTCAAACCCCTTTAATTTCCCCCCTGATCCCCCCCAAACGCCTCCCAGGTCCCCTAGATCCACCCAAATCCATCTCAGACCCGCCAAATTCCCCTCAAATTCGTCCCAGGACCCCCAGAATCCCTAGATCTTTCCCAAATCCCCCGCTGACCCCCCCAAGGACCCCCGAAACCCCGTTAATTCCCCCCAAATCCCTCCCAGACCGCCCAAATCCCCCCCAGGAACCCCCAGATCCCATTAATTCCCCCCCATATCCCCCTCAAGCCCCACCAGGACCCCCCAAATTCTGCCCAATTCCCCCCCCGCCCCTTGCCCCGCCCCCTCCCGCGCAGGCCCCGCCCCCTCCCGCGCAGGCCCCGCCCCCCGCCCGCGTTACCCGCGCTCAGCCCTCACGGCGCCGCCGCCGCCATCTTGAACCCGCCAGCCACGCCCCCGGACCCGCCACGCCCCTTAAAGGCGCCGCGCCCGTTGATCCGCACAGACCACACCCCCTGTATGACGTCATGTCGCGATACAACAGGCGCCGTCACCGCAGACCGCGCCCACAAATGGGCGGAGCCGCACGCGTAAACAAAAGGCGGGGTTTATTGAGGGGGCGGGGCCAGAGGGGCGGGGTCTGCACGCGGAAGGGGCGGGATTTGCCGGGCGGGGGGCGGGGCTAATCCGAGTCCGAGAGCACGATGATCTCCTCGGGGTCGCACTGGGTTCCCACGCTGGCCTGGGGGGAGGCGCATTGGGGGGTCTGGGGGCCCGGGACCCCCGGGGTCACCCCACGGGGATTTTGGGCACCTCAGATCCCCCCCAAAAGCCCCCAAAGATCTCCCAGACTCACCCTGGGGACCCTCAAAACCCCTCGCAACCCCCTAAATCCCCCCAGTCCCCCCCAAATCCCCCCAAACCCCTCAGATCCTCCTCAAAATGTCTCAAATTCCCCCCGAACCGCATCCAAGTCCCCCCCAGAGACCCCAAAATCCCTCCCAGGACCCCCCAAATCTCCCCCAAACCCCCTCACGTCTCCCCAGATCCCCCCAGGGCCCCCCAAATCCCTCTCACGCCCCCTCAGAGCTCCCCAAATTAATCTCAGACCCTCAAAACCCTCCCAGAACCCTCCAAATCCCATCAATTCCCCTCCAAAGGGACCCCAAATTCTCCCCAGGAACCCCAGAATCCGCCAAATCTTTCCCCAAGTCCCCCCAAACCCCCCCAAATGCCTCCCAGGACCCTCTAAATCCCATTAATTCCCCCCCAAATCTCTCCCAACCCCCCCCCAAACGACCCCCCCTCACCTTGCAGGCCCGGGGGGCTGCCCGGGGGGGGCTCCCCTGGGAGGAGCTCACCAGGTCCCCCCCGGGGGAGTCGGCGCGGGTGGAGTCGGGCAGGGGAGAGGGGGGGGCGCCCCCCAAATCCGGCTCCTCCCCCTCCGAGCCCCCCCCAGTTACCGCCAGGCTGGGGGCGTAGGGGAGCAGGGTTAGACACCCCCAAAACCAAACAGGGAACCCCAAAAATCCACCTGGGACCCCAAATATCCACACCTGGGACCCCAAAATCTCTGCTAGGAACCCCAAAAATCCACCCCAGGACCCGAAATCCCCCCTGGCAACACGAAATCCCATCAGGACCCCCCCTAAACCCCCTCCAGGCCCCCCTTAAGCCTCCCCAGACTTCCCCAAACTCCCCCAAAAAATCCCATCAGGATCCTCCAAACCCCTTCCAACCCTCCAGGCACCCCTCAAACCGCCCAGAATTTCCCCAAACTCACCAAAAATCCACCCCCAACATCCCAATAACCCCTCCTAGCCCTCCCAAACACCCTTGGGACCCCCAAAATCCCCCCAAACCCCTTCGGGACCCCCCGGAATCCCCGCAAACCCCCCGTTCCCCTCCCCCCTCACCTGCCCCCCCCAGGCAGCTCCATCCGGCTCAGTTTCCTGGGGGGGGGTCCCGGGGGGGTCGCAGCCCCTCCCCCATTGAGGGAGGTGGAGCTGATGGCGGCGCCCGCGCCTCCCCCCAGCGCAGCCCTGGGGGGGGAGGGGCAGGGCGAAGGGGGGGAGGGGCGCTTGTGGCCCCCCCGCGCCCCGAAATCCAGCTGGAAGCGGGGAGGGGGAGGGGAGGGGGGCGTGGCTTTGGGCGTGGCCTCGGAGCCGCCCAGGGCGGGGGGAGGGGAGGGGGAGAGGGAGGGGGGAGGGGTCTCCCCCGGCTCCAGGGGGAAAGTTTCAATTTCCAGCACGAAAAGTTCGGCTTTGGCGGGGGGGAGGGGCTCAGGGACCCCCCCGGGAACCCCCCCTTCCCCCTCGGCCGCGGGGGGTGGGAGGGGCAGCGCCAGGACCCCCGGATCGGCCACTCCTGGGGGGGTGGAGGGGAAGGGGGGTTAGAGAGGGGGAGGGGTGGGGACTCACCCACGACCCCCCCCAAGGATCCCCAAATTCCCCCCCGTGACCCCCCAAAATTCCCCCAAATTCTCTCCCAAGACCTCAGAATTCCTTCCCGAGGACCCCAAAAATTTCCTCCCACATCCCCGAACTTTTATCTCCACAAGCCCCCATACCCTCAAATTCCCCCCAAAGTCCCCAAATCCCATCCCCAATTTCTTCCTCCAAAAGCCTCAAACACCCCCCACCCCGGATCCCCCAAATTCTTCCCCCCAGAATCTCCCTCAGAGCCCCCAAATCCCCCTTAATTCCCAAATTCACCCCCCCCTAAATTTCCCCCACCGAGAGCCTCAAACCCCCACAAAATCTCCCAAAATCCCCAAATTCCACCCCTAATTTCCTCTCCCCAAAACCCCCCCAAAGATTCCCAAAATTCTCCTGCAGAAGCCCCCAAATTCCATCCCCCAATCCCTTCCCCCCAGCACCCCAAAATCCCCCCAATCCCCCCAAATGGGACCCCCAGACCTCCCCAAATCCCTCCCAAAATCCCTCCCCCGAATTTCCCAGAATTCCCCAAAATCCCCCCAGAATTCCCAAAATTCCCCTGAAATCCCCCCAAATTCCGAAATTCCCCCAGCCCTACCCTGTGCCGCCGTGGCTTCTCTTCCTTCCTCCTCTTCCTCCTCCTCCATCTCCTCTTCCTCCTTGACCTTCACCCGCCCTTCAGCCTCGGAGGATTCTCCTTCTTCCTCTTCCTCCTCCTCCTCTTCCTCCTCTTCCTCCTCATCTTCTTCATCTTCCTCCTCTTCCTCTTCTTCCTCTCCTTCTTCGTCATCCTCTTCCTCCTCCTCTTCCTCTTTCTTCCTCTGTGGATGAAGAATTTTTAAGGGGGGAGTCCCCTTTTCCCAGCCTTCCTCCTCTTCCTCTTCCTCCTTTTCCTGCCCTTCCTCCTTCACTTCCTTCTCCTTTTCCTGCTCTTCCTCCCCCAATTCTTCCTCCTTTTCCCACCCTTCCTCCTCCTCTTCTTCCCACTCCTCCTTTTCCTCTCTGCTTCCTCTTCCTCTCTTCCTCTTCCTCCTCCTCCTCTCTTCCTCTTCCTCCTCCTCCTTTTCCCACTCTTCTTCCTTTACTTCCTCCTCCTTTTCCCAGCCTTCCTCCTCCTCTTCTTCCTCTCCCTCTGCCTTTTCCCACCCTTCCTCTTCCTCCTCCTCTTCCTGCCCTTCCTCCTTCTTTATTTCCTCCTCCCACCCTTCCTCCTCCTCTTTTCCTGCCCTTCCTTCTTCTCTTTCTTTTGCTGCCCTTCCTCCTTCTCTTCCTCTCTTCCTCTTCTCTTTTCTTCTCTTCCTCTTTCCTGTGCCCTTCCTCCTCCCCTTCCTCCTCCTCTTCCCTTCCCTTCCTTTTCTTCCTTCTCTGCTTGTCCTTCCTCATTTTCCTCCACTTCTTCCTCCTCCTCTTCCCTTTCCTGTCTTTCCTCTTCCATTTCCTCTTCCTTTTCCTGCCTTCCTTCCTCCTTTTCTTCTTTCTCATTCCCCTCCTCCTCTTCCTCAATTCCTTCCTTCTTTCCTTCCTCCTCCTCCGCCCCATTTCCCATCCCCCCTCCCCACCTTGGGTCCTGTTCCCATTTCCCATTCCCCCACCTTGGTTCCCGTTTCTTGTTCCCATTTCCCATTCCCTTTTCCCCACCGTGTCCCTGTTTCCCATTTCCTGTTTCCCTGTACCCTGCTCCCACGTTTCCGGGGCCATTTCCCGTTCCTGTTCCCATTCCCTGTTCCCGTGTTTCCAGGGCCGTTTCTGGGCAGTTTCCCATTCCCATTTCCCATCCCCCTGTACCCTGCTCCCACCTTTCCAGGGCCATTTCCCATTCCTGTTCCCGTTTCCTGTTCCCATTCCCGTTTCCTGTTCCCCATTTCCCATACCCTGTTTCTGGGCCATTTCCCATTCCTGTTCCCATTTCCTGTTCCTGTTTCCCATTTCCTGTTCCTGTTTCCCATTCCCATTTCCCATTCCCACCATACCTTGTTCCCTTGTTTCCAGGGCCATTTCCTGTTCCCATTTCCATTCCCATTCCCTATTTCCCGTCCCCCCGTACCCTGTTCCTGTGTTTCTGGGTCCATTTCCCTTTCTCATTCCCGTTCCCCTTTCCCCTTGTACTCTGTCCCTGTATTTCCGGGACCGTTTCCTGTTTCCCGTTCCCCATTCCCATACCCTGCTGCCTCTTTCCCATTTCCCGTTTCTGTTCCCATTTCCCCATTCCCCCCTGCCCAGGTTTCCTGTTCCTGTTCCCCGTCTCCCATTCCCATACCCCATTCCCTCATTTCCGTTCCCATTGCCTGTTTCCCATTCCCCATTCCCATACCCTGTTCCCTCATTTTCGTTCTTTTTTCCTGTTTCCCATTCTCATTCCCCATTTCCTGTACCGTGCTCCCTTGTTTCCATTCCCGTTCCTGTTCCCATTTCCCCATTCCCGCTGTACCCTCTTCCCAGCATTTCCTGTTCCCGTTCCCATTTCCCATCCCGTACGCCGTTCCTTTGTTTCCATTCCCTTTCCTGTTCCCATTTCCCCATTCCCGTTCCCCCGTTTCCCGTACCCTGCTCCCCTGTTTCTGTTCCTGTTTCCCCTTCCCATTCCTGTTTCCCCGTTCCCATACCCCGCTCATGTGTTTCTGTTCCCGTTTCCCATTTCCCATTTCCGTACACCACTCCCGCATTCCCGGTTCCCACTTCCCATTCCCATACCCTGCTCCTGCGTTTCTGTTCCCGTTTCCCATTTCTCGTTTCCGTACCCCGCATTCCTGGTTCCCATGTTTCCGTTCCCTTTTCCTGTTCCCATACCCCGCTCCCGCGTTTCCGCTCCCGCTGTTTCCGGGCCATGCCGCTCTCGTGGTGCCGCTCCTGGCGCTGGGCAAAGCGGGCGATGACATCGTCCAGCCGGGCCAGGGCCAGGCGCCGGTTCCGCCGGAGCCGCTGGGCCAGCTCGGGGTCCGACAGTGCCGGGTCCATGCCTGGGGGAACCCAAAATCACAAATTTCCCAAAATCCTAAATCCCAAAATCACAAATTTTCCCAAATACCAAAAATTCCCAATCCCAAAATTCCAAATTTCCCGAAGTCCCAAATCCCCAAAATCACAAAATACCCAAAATCCCAAAATCCTCAAATCCCGAAATCCCAAAAATTCCCAATCCCAAATCCCAAAATTCCCAATCACAAAACCCCCAAATCCCAAATCCTGAAATCCCAAACCTCAGAATTCCAAATCCCAAAATTTCCAACCCCAAACTCCTAAATCCCCAATATCCCAAATCTTGAAGTCTCAAAATCTAAATCCCGAGATACCAAATCCTAAAATTCCCAACCCAACACTTCCAAATCCTAAAACTCACAAAGCCCAAAATCTCAAATTTCCCAAATTCCCAAACCCCAAAATTCCAAACCCCAAAATCCCACAATTCCAACCCCCCTAATTCCCAACACCAAAATTCCAAATTTCCAAACCTGAAAAGTCCCATTTCCAGACCCACCCCATCCCCATTTCCTCACCTTCATCCCATTTTCCACCCCATTTTTCTGCTCTTTATTCCATTTTCCACCATTTCACTCCCATTTTCCCCCATATTCCACCCATTTTTTCCCATTTCCCCCACTTCCCCTCCCTTATCTCCTCGCCCCATCCCATTTTCCCTCTCATTTCCCATTTTCCCCATTTACCCCCATTTCCCCTTTCATTTTTCCCACTTTCCCCATTCCCCCACCATTCTCCATTTTCCCCAGCCCCGCGTTTTCCCCTTTTTCCCCATCTCCCCTCCCGTTTTTCCTTTTTCCCCATTTCCCATTTTTCCCCCATTTCCCATTTTCTCCATTCTCCTCTCATTTTCCTCTCATTACCCATTTTTCCCCATTTCCCTTCCCATTTTTCCTATTTCCTCTCCCATTTTTACCCCCATTTTCTCCAGTTTTTCCCCATTACCTGGCCAGTACTGGTCAGTGAGGCGGCTGCCCAAGTTGTACCCCATTTCCCATTCCCTATTTCCCATTTTTCCCCGTTTCCCCCATTACCTGGCCAGTATTGGTCAGTGAGGTGGTTGCTGAAGTTGTACTACATTTTTACCCTGTTTTTCCCCGCTTTCCCCCCATTTTTCCCCCGTTACCTGGCCAGTACTGGTCAGTGAGGCGGCTGCCCAAGTTGTACCCCATTTCCCATTCCTCATTTCCCGTTTTTTCCCCGCTTTCCCCCCATTTTTCCCCCGTTACCTGGCCGGTACTGGTCAGTGAGGCGGCTGCCCAAGTTGTGCCCCATTTCCAATTCCTCATTTCCCATTTTTCCCCCTGTTTCCCCCGTTACCTGGCCGGTACTGGTCAGTGAGGCGGCTGCCCAAGTTGTACCCCATTTCCCATTCCTCATTTCCCATTTTTCCCCATTTTCCCCCCCGTTTCCCCCGTTACCTGGCCGGTACTGGTCGGTGAGGCGGCTGCCCAAGTTGTACCCCATTTCCCATTCCCCATTTCCCATTTTTCCCCATTTTGCCCCCCGTTTCCCCCGTTACCTGGCCGGTACTGGTCGGTGAGGCGGCTGCCCAAGTTGTGCCTCATTTCCCCATTCCTCATTTCCCATTTTTCCCCATTTTCCCCCCGTTTCCCCCGTTACCTGGCCGGTACTGGTCGGTGAGGTGGCTGCCGAAGTTGTAGACCAGGTCGAGGTGGCGCCGCTCCTGCAGCCGGTTGCCCACCTCGCGGAAGGCCTCCTGGGCCATGTTCTCCATCTGCCGCCGGCCCAGCCCCAGCCCGTGGCGCGCGCTGGCGCCGCGGATCTCGCGCAGGATGTCCGAGTAGTCGGGGAAGGCGTCAGGCCGGTTGATGAAGCGCTCGATGCTGCGGTTGACCTCGGGGTAGCGCGTGCCGCGGAAGCGGATGCGCTGCTCCAGCACGCGGCCCGTCAGGCTGCTGCAGTCCTTGAGCTGGCAGAGCCGGCGGAAGATGCGCATCATCCTCCTCTTGAGGCGGTTCTCCTGCAGGTACGGCGAGTCGGCGCTGTCCAGTTCGGCCAGGTCCAGCTCGCGCTCCTGCAGCCGCCGGATCTCGCTGGCATAGACGCGCAGCAGGTGCTCCAGGTGCCGGATCTGCCGCCGCGAGCCACCCGTGTGCCGTGGCGCACCCTCGGAGGCGCCAGCCGGCTGGGACAGGGCACTGGGATTGCTGGATGGAGCGCCGGGACACTGGGATGAGGCGTTGGGACACTGGGAGGAGTTGCTGGGATACTGGGATGAGGCACTGGGATGGCCAGATGAACCACCGGGATACTGGGATGAGGTGCTGGAGCACCAGGATGAACCATTAGGATACTGGGATGGAGTGCCAGCATCACTGGACGAAGCGCTGGGATACTGGGATGGAGTGCTGGGATTCTGGGAAGAGCCCCCAGGGTGCTCCGAAGAACCAGCAGGACACTGGGAGGAGCCATGGGGAGACTGGGATGGATCCCCGGCGGGATACTGGGATGAACTGGTGGCACACTGGGACGGCTCAGCTCCATCGGGATACTGGGATGAACCAGGCGGACACCAGGAGGTCCCAGGGGGATACTGGGATGAACTGGGGGGGCACTTGGAGGCACTGGGGGGGCACTGGGATGAACCAGGGGGATACTGGGATGAACTGAGAGGATGTTGGGATGAACTCGGGGGATGCTGGGACGTTTCCTCAGGGTGCTGGGACGCTCCATCAGGACACTCGGACTCTCCATCGGGATAATGGGAGGATCCATCAGGATACTGGGAGGCTCCGTCGGGATACTGGTGGGAAGCGGGCGGGCACTGGTGGGAGGCGGGCAGGGCGCGCAGTGGGAGGCGGCGGCGCAGCGCCCGCGCCTTGAGCACGGTGCAGAGCTCGTTAATGTAGACGTAGACCTTGCGGCGCCGGCCCCGCACACGCCGCAGCAGCCGGCCCAGAATGTTCCGGAACTCGGCCGACCCCCGGAAGTCGGGGTGGGCGCGCAGGTGCCGCGAGCTCAGGAACGGCAGCACCTCGGGGTGCTCCTGTGTCAGCGGCGCGCACAGCGACAGGAACTGCGGGGAAACGGAACACCTGGGTCACACCTGGGTCACACCTGGGTCACACCTGGGCATACCTGGGCACACCAGGGCACAGCTGGGCACACCTGGGTTACACCTGGATACACCTGAGTTACACCTGGGTTACACCTGGATACACCTAGGCACACCTGAGTTACACCTGGGCACACCTGGGTTACACCTGGGCACACAAGGGCACAGCTGGGCTACACCTGGATACACCTGGGCACACCTGAGTTACATCTGGGCACACCTGGATAGAACTGAGATACACCTGGGCACATCTGGGTTGCACCTAGATACACCTAGGGCACACCTGGGCACACCTGAGATACACCTCAGCACACCTGGGTACACCTGAGTTACACCTGGGCACACCTGGATAAAACTAAAATACACCTAGGCACATTTTAGCCACACCCAGACACACCTGGGCACACCTGGGTTACACCTGGGACACACCTGGATAGAACTGGATACACCTGAGTTACACCTGGGCACACCTGGGTTACACCTGGGACATGCCTGGATACACCTGAGTTACACCTGGGCACACCTGGGTTACACCTGGGCACACAAGGGCACAGCTGGGCTACACCTGGATACACCTGGGCACACCTGAGTTACATCTGGGCACACCTGGATAGAACTGAGATACACCTGGGCACACCTGGGCACATCTGGGTTGCACCTAGATACACCTAGGTCACACCTGGGCACACCTGAGATACACCTCAGCACACCTGGGTACACCTGAGTTACACCTGGGCACACCTGGATAAAACTAAGATACACCTGGGCACACTTTAGCCACACCCAGTCACACCTGGGCACACCTGGGTTACACCTGGGACACACCTGGATAGAACTGGATACACCTGAGTTACACCTGGGCACACCTGCGTTACACCTGGGCACACAAGGGCACAGCTGGGCTACACCTGGATACACCTGGGCACACCTGAGTTACATCTGGGCACACCTGGATAGAACTGAGATACACCTGGGACACACCTGGATAGAACTGGATACACCTGGGTTACACCTGGGCACACCTGAAGCACACTGTCACACACCTGGGACACACCCAGATACACCTGAGGCACACACAAACACACCTGAGACCACACATGGACATACCTGAGCCACACCCACACACACCCGGGCCCATTTAGGCCACACCCGGACACACCTGAGATTACACCTGGGCACACCTGGGCCACACCCTCACACACCTGGGCACACCATGACACACCTGGGTCACACCTGGGTCACACCTGTGCCACGCCCCACCCCCCCGGGCACACCTGGGCGCCCCCAGCCGGGCACACCTGGCTGCCCCCCTCACCTGCTGGAACAGCCGCTCGTTCTCCTCCCAGAAGGTGCCGCCCCTCCCTCCGCCGGCCCCGTTGGGGGGGGGCTGCCCCGGTGTGGGGGGAGGGGCGGGGCTGGGGGCGGGGCTTTGGGGGGAGGGGGAGGGGCCTCGCTCCTCCTCGTCGTCGTCCAGGACGATGATTGGCTGGGGGGGAGCGGCCATGGTCGGGACCCCCGAAATGGGGGGGAGGGGCACGGTCAGCGGGGAGGCCTGGGGGAGGGGAGAGGGGGGAGGGGTCAGGGGAGGGACCCGGAAATCCCCCCCCAGTTCCCCTCCCCCGCCCCAAAACCTCCCCCAGCCCTCCCCGAACCCCAAAATTCCCCTCCAGCAGCAACTTCCGCCTTCCCCTCCCCCCCACCCCCTCCCGCACCCCCAAACCCACAATTCCGCCTCCCCTCCCCCTCCCGCCGTTTCAGGACCCCCCAAATCCCCCAAATTCGCCAAATTTCCCCCAAAATTTCCTCAAATTCCTGCATAATTCCCCCAAATTCCCCTCAGCCCCCCCCCGCCCTCCCCTCCCCCCCTCAGCCCCTCCCTACGCCCCCCCCCCGGGTCCCTCCCCCTCCCGGGCCCCCCAACCCCCCCCTTCCCCCTCCAACTCCTCTCCCACCCCCGGGACCCCCCGAATTTGCCCGAATTCCGCCGAATTCCCCCCACACCCCCCCCCAGTCGCCCCCGCCCCTCACGGTTTTGGTCCCGCCCCCTCCCGCGCAGGCCCCGCCCCCTGCCCCACCCCGGGCAGGCCCCGCCCCCCTCGCGCTCACCGGGCCCGCGCGGCTCCTCCGGCGCCGCCGCCACCGAGCGGCCGCGGCCGCGCACTGCGCAGGACCGGAAGTGCCGCCCCGCGCCGGCCCGGCCGAGCGGGCGCCGCCATGACACCGTACAAAGAAAGGGGCGTGGTCACTCCTGCCGACCAATCGCAGCGCGCCGCCTCATCCGGGGATCGGCGCCGCCGAGCCGGGAGCCGCCATCTTAACGTGCGGCGCGCCCCGGGACCCCGCCCCTTTAACCCTCACGGCCCTGCGCGGGTTTCCGGCCGCTTTGCGCCGTTCCCGGTGCCGCGGCGAGCGGGCCAGCGGCCGCCAGTCCCGCGCCATCGAGGAGACGGCCGGAAAGGCGGAGCCGCGCAGGAGTAGAAGTGGAGCGCAAGATGGCGGCGGTACGGTGGCCGTGAGGCGCCCCGCCCCGTAAGGCGAAAGCACGGCAAGATGGCTGCCGGCAGGCGGCCGTACGTGCTCAGCCAATCAGCGCGCGGCATTCTGCCGGCCCGGCGCCGCCGTTGCGGATAGACACGTGATAACCGCAGCCAATCAATGAGCTCAGTGAAAATGCCACTCTTTATTGGGGTGTGCGTTTAAAAGGCGGGAACTAGGGGCGATGGCGTCACTTCCGGTTGGCCTGAGCCGTGCCAATCATACACTCGTTCACCTGGAGGGAGGGGCGGGCTCGGAAAACCCCGAAACCCCCAAAATCACCCCAAAAACACCCCCGGAACCCCAAAATCACCCGAAAAATACCCAAAACCCCGAAATCAACCCAAGAACCCCCCAAAACGTCCCCAAAACCAGCCCAACACCCCAAAGTCACCCGGGGAACCCCAGAATCACCCAAAAACCACCCCAAAACCATCGAAATCACCCCAAAAGCACCTCCAGGAACTCCGAAAACACCTCAAAAAATCCAGGAACCCTAAAATCGCCCCAAAAACCGCACCTGGGACCCCCCAAACCACAAATCCCTCAGGAGCCACAAAAACCCCCTGGGACCCCAAAAATCCCCTTGGACCCACCCAAACCAACCCAGAACCCCCCAGGGACACTCAAAATCTCCCGTGAGACTCCCAACCTTCCCAGAACCACCCAAAAATCCCTTTGGGAACCCCCCAAATCCCTTGGGACCCCCAAAGCAGCTCAGGACCCCCCAAATTCCCCCCGAACCCCCCGGCCCTGCCCCCACCTTGCTGGCAAAGCGCAGCGAGTTCAGCGACTCCCCGAAATTCTCCTCCAGGGGGGAGATGGTCACAAACATCAGCCTGGGGCAAAACAGGGTTAGAGCCCAAAAGCACCCCAAAATAACCCAAATACAACCCAAAAATAACGCCATAGATGGGTTTGGGATTTGGGACTGGGGTTGGTTTTCATGGGATTTTGGGATTTTTGGGATGGGTTTTGATGGGATTCATAGGTTTTTGGGATAGGATTTTATGGGATTCATGGGAACTTTGGGATGGGTTTGGGGTGGGATTTTGGGCTAGGTTTTAGGGCTGGATTTGTATGGGATTTATGGGCTGGGTTTTATGGGGTTTTGGGCTGGGTTTTTATGGGATTTATGGGCTGGGTTTTATGGGGGTTTGGGCTGGGTTTTATGGGGTTTTTGGGGTTCCCCACATACACTTTGGCGTGCCCCCCCAGGCAGTTCTGCAGCAAGAAGGTCAGCTTGCTGTTTCTGTATGGAATGTGCGGCTCCTGCGGAATTTCGAGAATTTTGGGAATTCCAGGGAGATCCCAAACCCTGGATCCACCCCCAAATCCCAAAGTTTGGGTTTCCCATTCCCACCCCACTTTTCCATCTCCTGCCCCATTTTCCCACCCCAGTTCCCATTTTTATCCCATTTTTTTCCCATTTTTATCCCATTTTACCTATCCCAGGCCTCATTTTCCCATTTTTGATCCCTTTTTCCCACCCCAATTCCCATTTTCCATCCTGTTTTTCCCATTCCCCATTTTCCCTGTTTTTCATCCCATTTTCCCACCTCCCATCCCATTTCCCCCACTCCAAGTCCCGTTTCTCCATTCCCAAATCTCTTTTTTCGCCCCAAACCCCACAAATCCCATAAATAATCCCCCAAATCCCATAAACCCCCAAATTCAGGTTTTGTCGCCACCAAACCTCGTTGCAGAGGGTGCAGAGGCTGGAGCTGATGGATTCTCCCATTTCCCCATTCCCAAATCCCAGAAATACCCCAACTCCCAAAAATAATCCCCTAAACTCCACAATGACCCCATAAGTGTCCCCATAAATCCCAAATTTCCCTTTTTTCACCCCAAACCTTGTTGCAGAGGGTGCTGGTGCCCAGCCCCAGGGCTGGAGGCTGGAGCTGATGGATTCTGCATTTCCCTGTTCCCAGCCCCCATAAATCCCACACAAACCCCACCATGACCCCATAAATAACCCCACAAACCCCAAATTAGTTTTTTTCACCCCAAACCTTGTTGCAGAGGGCGCTGATGACCAGCCCCAGGGCACTCAGGCTGGAGTTAATGCTTTGTGTCTCCCGAAGCCGGCTCCCCACGGATCCCGACTTCTCCAGGCGCTCTGAGCCCGCCAGGTCCACCAGGGTCAGAGAGGCTGCGGGGAAACGGAGGAAAATGGGGGGAAAAATGGGGGGAAATGGGGAAATAATGGGGGAATAATAGGGGAAAAATAGGGAGATTATGGGGGGGAAATGGGGAAATAGAATGAGAAATAATGGGGGGAAATAATGGGGGGAAATGGGGGAAAATCAGAAAAATGGAGGAAATGGGGAAAAAATATGGGAAAATGGCGGAAAATGGGGAGATAATATGGGGAAAATGGGGAGATAATGGGGGAAAACAGGAAAAAATGGGAAATAGGCGGGAAAGGGGGAAATGGGGGAATAACAGGGGGAATAATAGGGTAAAAATGGGGAGATAATGGGGGAAAAGAATGGGAAATAATGGGGGAAATAATGGGGGAAATGGGGGAAACGATAGGGGGAAATGGGGGAAAATAGGGAAATACAACGAGAAAAAATGGGGGAAATAATGGGGGAATTATGGGGGGGAACAGGACAATTGGGGAATAATGGGGGAAAACTGGGTGAAAAACAGGAAAAAATGGGAACTGTAACAGGGAATAATGGGGGAATGATGGGGGCAAAATGGGGGAATTATGGGGGAAAATGGGAAATAATGGGGGAAAATCAGGAAAAAATGGGAGATGTAACGGAATAACAGGGGAAGAGTGGGGAAATAATGAGGGGAAAACAGGAAAAGATAGCAAATGTAACAGGGAATAATGGGGGGAAAGCTGGGGAAAAACAGGGTGGAAAGTGGGAATTCTGGGTGGGTTTTGGGAAATTTGGGAACTGTGGGAATGTCTCACAGGCACAGTGCAGGTGCCAGGCTGGGAAAAATGGGGGGAAATAGGGATGTGAGATGGAAAAAAAAGGGGAAAAGCTGGAAAACTGAGGGGGAAAGCTGGGTGCCATGGGAAATATGGGAATGCTGGGGTGAAATTTGGAATTGTGGAATGAGCTCTCACAGGCACAGTGCAGGTCCCAGGTTGGAAAAGGGGGAAAATGGGGGGAAATGAGATCAGAGGTGGAAAAACAGGGATAAAAGCTGGAAAACTGGGGGGGAAAAGCTGGGGGAAAGCGGGGTGCCGTGGGAAATGCGGGAATCCCAGGAATTTCTGCAGTGCCTCACAAGTGCAGCGCAGGTCCCGGGCGGTGTGCAGCCCCTGGATGCGCAGCTGGAACACGGAGTGCGAGCGCGAGGAGCGCTCGTTGAGCGCCGTGCGCGCCACCGAGCGCTGCGAGCCCGCCTGCTGCAGCAGCTCCAGCACCTGCCGGGGCAGGGCACGGGGAGCCATGGCGGGAATAACAGCGGGAATGACGCGGGAATAACGGGAATAATGCGGGAATGACAGCGGGAATGATGCGGGAACGACAGCGGGAGTGACAGCGGGAATAACGGGAATAATGCGGGAATGACAGCGAGAATGACAGCGGGAATAACAGCGGGAATGACAGCGGGAATAACGGGAATAATGCGGGAATAACAGCGGGAATGACGCGGGAACGACAGCGGGAGTGACAGCGGGAATAATGCGGGAATAACAGGAATAATGCGGGAATACAGTGGGAATAACGGGAATAACAAAAGGGAATAACGGGAATAATGTGGAAATAACAATGGGGAATAACGGGAATGATGCAAGAATAACAATGGGGTATAACAACAGGAATAATGACAGGGAATATCAATGGGGAATAATGGGGAATAGCAGGGAAAACCAACAGGGGAACAACAGAGAATAACGGGGGAATAACAAGGAAACAACGGGAGAACAAGGGGGGAACAACAGGGGAAAATGGGGAAAACAATGGGGGAGAAAACAGGGAAAAAATTATGGGAAAATGGGGAAAACAGCGTAAAATGGGGTAAAAATAGGGCAAAACGAGGGAAAAACGGGGGAAAATGGGGAAAAAACAGGAATGTGGACACCACGAGGGGGGAAATGGGGAAATATGGAGGAAAAAGGGAAAAATTGGAGGAAAAAGGGAGGGAAAGGGGAAAAATTGGGGGGAAAATGGGGGGAAATGGAAAAATCAGGGGGAAAAAGGGAAAAATAGGTGGGAAAGGGGAAATATCAGGGGAAAAATGGGAAAAACAGGAGTGGGGGACATGGGCAGGGGAAAGGGGAACAGTCATGGGGAAACCAGGGGGAAAAAGGGAAAAATCGTGGAGAAAAACACGAGGAAAAATAGAAAAATTGGGGGAAAAATCGGGCGGAAAATGGAAAAATTGATGAGAAACAGGGAAAATCAGGGGGAAAGGGGAAAAATTGGGGGGAAAGGGGAAAAGTTGGAATGGGGGAACGGGGAGGGGAAAGGGGAACAGTCAGGGGGGAAATGAGGAAAATGGGAAAAATGGGGATGGGGACACGGAAGGAGGTGAAAGGGGAACAATTGTGGGGCAAACAGAGAGAAATGAAGGAAAAACGGATTAAAAACTGAAATTATCCCCCTGGAATTGTAAATAAAGCAACAAAAGGGTCTCAGAAATTGAAAATTCTGGGAAAGTGAGTCCAAAACTGACCCAGTCTGCCCCCGAATTCCTGAGTTTCCCCCTGAAATCCCCAAGTTTCCCCATAAAACATCTATGAAATCCACAAATTTCCCTTAAAATACCCAAATTTCCCCATAAAACCCCCAAATTTCCCCCTAAATCCTTAAATTTTCTTCTAAATCCTCAAACTTCCCCATAACAGTTCTCAGAAATCCACATATTTCCCCTTAAAATACCTAAATTTCCAATTAAAATCCCCAAATTTCCACATAAATCCTCAAATTTCCCTCTAGATCCTCAAATTTTCACGTAAAATCCCCGAATTTCCACCTAAAACCCCAAAATTTCAACGAAAACCTCCTAAATTTCCACCTAAAATCCCCTAATTTCCCCAAATCCCAGGTGCTCCCCTGCTCCTCGCTCTCCACGGGCACCCAGGTGAGGCTGGGCACCTGCAGCTCCACATTCTCCACTCAGAATCCCCAAATTTCCACCTACAACCTTTCTGAAACCCCCAAATTTCCACATAAAATCACTGCAAAACCCTCCCAAACTCCCAAATTTCCACCTGAAATGCCTAAATTTCCCCCTGAAGTCCCCAAATTTTCCCCAGAATTCCGAAATCCCACGTGCCCACCTGCTCCTTGCTCTACATGGGCACCCAGGTGAGGCTGGGCACCTGCAGCTCCACATTCTCCACTCAGAATCCCCAAATTTCCACCTACAACCTTTCTGAAACCCCCAAATTTCCACATAAAATCACTGCAAAACCCTCCCAAACTCCCAAATTTACACCTGAAATGCCTAAATTTCCCCCTGAAATGCCCAAATTTTCCCCAGAATTCCGAAATCCCACGTGCCCACCTGCTCCTCGCTCTCCACGGGCACCCAGGTGAGGTTGGGGACGTGCAGCTCGTCGCTGCCGGGCGCCAGGCGGCGGATCTCCAGCTCGGAGCCGTGCTGGCCGCGGGCCAGCAGCAGGTCGCGCAGGGCCTCGTTGTAGATCTCCAGGAAGCTGGCAGAGAAGCCGTACTGAGGGCGCGGTGGCCGTGCCCGCCCGCCCCTCCCACCCTGCCCGCGCCCGCCGGCCCCGCGGCCCCGGGGCTACCTGCCAGCCCTTGGCCGCCAGGTCCCGCGCGCCCCGGAACAGGTGGCGCACGGCCCGCGGGATCATCCCGCGCGACTCCGGCGCGCCCGCCGGCGACGGCCCCTCCATGGTGAAGGTCTTGCCGCTGCCCGTCTGCCCGTAGGCGAAGATGCACACCGGGTACCCGTCCAGGGCCGACTGGGAACGGGAATTTTTGGGATCCTCAGGGGTTTGGGAATGGGCACACGGGTTTGGGAATGGGCACAGGGGGTTGGGAATGGGCACACGGGTTTGGGAATGGGCACAGGGGTTTGGGAATGGGCACACGGGTTTGGGAATGGGCACAGGGGGTTGGGAATGGGCACAGGGGTTTGGGAATGGGCACAGGGGTTTGGGAATGGGCACAGGGGGTTGGGAATGGGCACAGGGGGTTGGGAATGGGCACACGGGTTTGGGAATGGGCACAGGGGGTTGGGAATGGGCACAGGGGGTTGGGATGGGCACAGGGGGTTGGGAATGGGCACAGGGGGTTGGGAATGGGCACAGGGATTTGGGATGGGCACACGGGTTTGGGAATGGGCACAGGGGTTTGGGAATGGGCACAGGGGGTTGGGATGGGCACAGGGGGTTGGGATGGGCACACGGGTTTGGGAATGGGCACAGGGGTTTGGGAATGGGCACAGGGGTTTGGGAATGGGCACAGGGGCTTGGGAATGGGCACGGGGGTTTAGGAATGATCACTGGGATTTGGGAATGGTCAAAGGGAATGTTCAGAGGGATTCAGGAATGTTCAAAGTGATTTGGGAATGGTCAGGGGCATTTGGGAATTCCAGGGGATATGGGGGATTTAGGAATGGTCAGAGGTGTTTGGGAATGTTCAGGCACATTTGGGAATGGTCAGGGGGATTTGGGATTCTCAGATTTAGGATTCCCAGTGGGATTTGGGAATGCTCAGGGGGATTTAGGGTTACGGGAGGGGAACTGGGATCAGGACTGGGGGGCATTTCGGGGGTTGCAAGGGAATTTAGAGAGGGATGATGGAATTCTGGGAGGGATTTGGGAGGAATTTGGGAATTCTGAGGGGATTTGCGAGGAATTTCAGAATTCTGAGGAGATTTGGGGGAAATTTCTGGTGTTTTGGGAGGGATTTGGGGGATTCATGAAGTGGGATTCGGGAATTCCAAGAGAATTTAGAGAGGGATTATGGAATTCTGGGAGGGATTTGGAAGGAATTTGGGAATTCTGACGGGATTTGGGAGTTCTGAGGGGGGACTTGGGTGGGATTTGAGGGTTCAGAGGGGATTTAGGAGCTCTGGAAAATTTGTGAGGAATTTGGAAATTCTGAGCGAACTTGGGGGAAATTTGGGGATTCTGAGAGAATTTGGGAAGAATTTGGGAATTCTGAGGGGATTTGGGAGGAATTTGGGAATTGTGAGGGGATTTGGGGGGAATTTGGGAACTCTGAGGGGGAAATTGGGAATTCTGAGGGGAAATTTAAGTGAGATTTGAGGGTCTGAGGGGGAAATTGGGAGGAATTTGGGAATTCCAAGGGAATTTGGAAGGGAATTCTGGAATTCAGGGGGAGATCTGGGGGGTTTTGGGAATTCCAAGGGAATTTAGGGGGGAATTTTGGTGTTTTGGGAGGAATTTGGGAACTCTGAGGGGAAATCAGGGTAACATTTGAGGGAATTTGGGAATTCTGGGAGAAGATTTTGGGATCCAGATGGGATTTTTGGGATCCAGGTGAGATATTCAGGATCCAGGTGGGATTTTTAGGATCCAAGGGCGGGGGTTTGGGACGCACACCTGGAACAGGAGTTGGATCTCCTGGAAGATCTTCTGCTGGGATTTGGGGTTGGTTGGATTTTGTGGGGAATGGAGCCGGATTTTGGGGAATTCCAGGAGGGATAATTGGGGTTTTTGGGAACCAGGTGGGATATCTGGGATCCAGGGGGGTTTGGGACGCACACCTGGACCAGGAGCTGGATCTCCTGGAAGATCTCCTCCTGAGAAGCCGCAGGCGGGAAGACGCGGTCGAAGCTGAAGTCGTAGCGCAGCTCTGCGCGCCGCTCCCGGCCCAGCTGTGACTGTGGGGCAGAAAAACAGGATTTGGGGAAAAATGGGAATTCAGAGAGGGGAAAAGGAGATTGGGGGCAAAAAAATGGGGTTTGGGAGGAGAAAAAGGAGTTTTGGGGAGGAAAAAGCCTTTTTTTTTAGGAAAATGATTATTTTTATTAGGGTTAAAAGCCCATTTTGGAGGAAAATCACTAATTTTTCAGGCAAAAAAACATGTCTCATTTTTTGGGGAGAAAAGGTCAGGTTTGGGAGAAAAATATCAAGTTTTGGAGGAAGCAGTTTGGGGTAAAAAGCATTTTAATACAAAAATATTGTGAGAAAGGGCAAAAAAAAAGGGGATTTTGGTTTGGAAAGGGGTTTTCTTGGGGTTTATTTGAGAAAAAGGGAGATTTGGGGAAAAAATAGGATTTGGGGGGGGAAAGAGATTTGGGGGAAGAAAAAGACCTTTTTTGAAGGAAAAAAAACCAGCCTTTTGGAGGGAAAATGTTGGGGAATGTTGTTGGAACAAGGCCACGATTCTGTGGAATAGCTGCTCCAAAAAGCCTCTGTCCAAGAGCCCAAAGCAGGCTGTGTCTGAACCAGGGCTTGGGACGCAGCTCTGTCCCAGGCCGGGGAGCTGCCCCCGGTTCCGGGCTGGGAAGGAGACAAGGAGCACAGGCACAGCCCCGAGGATCGGCCGGGACAGGCCGGGCTGAGACAAAACCGCCCAGCGGAGCCGGGCCGGGCTCGGCAGCGCGGCCGGAGAACGAGCCCGGCCGGGGCCTGTCTGCCCCACCAGCAAATCCAGCACCCACCAGAGAGCCGCAGCTCTGAGGGGAAAAAAGGCCTCTTCTGTAACATGGGGATCTGTGGGGAAACGAGCATGTTTGAGAGAGAAAAAAGGACATTTTCGAGCGGAAATAAAGACATTTTTGAAAATAGAGGTTTTTCAGGGGTATTTTCAAGAAAAAAATGGTGTTTTGTGGGAGGAAAAGGATATTTTTTTGGGGGAAAAGGGTATTTTAGAAGGGAAAAAAGGGTATTTTTGAGGGAAAACAAGGTATTTTTGACAGGAAAATAACTGTTTTGAGGGGAAATGAACGGTTTTGGGAGAAGTAGACACTTGTGAGGCGAAAAAGGCCATTTTTAGGAAATAAAGGCCTTTTGAGGGTGTCTTTGAGGCACAAAAAGACATTTTGAGAAAAAAGAATATTTTCAGAGGGAAAAATACTTCATAGAAAATAAGAGATTTTTGAAGAAAAAAGTGCATTTCTGAGGGGAAATTAATGACATTTTGTAGGAAATAAAGACTTTTTGGGTAATAAGGGATTTTTGAGAAAAAAAGGACATTTGAAGGGTAAAAAGAATATTTTTTCAGTAAAAAAAGACATTTTTGTGAGAAAAAGAACATTTTTTTGGGGGAAAAAAGGAAATTTTGGGAGATGAAAATGACATTTTTGAGGAGTAAAAAGCATATCTTGGGGAGAAAAAGAAGTACTTGATTCAGAGGAAGAAAAGGTCAATTTTTGAAGGGAAAAGACATTTCTGATGGAGAATAAACCATTTTTGAGGGAAAAAATAGACATTTTTGAAAAAAAACCCATAGTTTTCAAAGAAGAAAATAGGAGTTTTTTTGGGAATAGGTATTTTTGAGGGGAAAATGCCATTTTTGAGGGAATTAAGGCAGTTTTTAAGGGGGAAAAAGGACTGCTTGAGAAAAAGGCCTTTTTTGAGAGGGGAAAAAGGCATTTTTGGAAAATCAAGGATTTTTGATGGAAAAAGGCCAATTTTGAGTAGAAAAAGCCAATTTTTGAGAGGGGAAAAAAAGACATTTTTAATAAATAGGAATTTTTGAGGGAAAAAGGCCATTTTGGAGGGAGGCAAGAGGAATTTCGGGAAATTAGGAATTTTTAAGGTAAAAAGTTCATTTTTGAAGGCAGAAAAAAGGAATTTATGGGATATCTGGACTTTTTGAAGGAAAAAGCCTATTTTTGAGAGGATAAAAAGAGGCATTTTTGAGAAATTAGGGATTTTGAGGGAAAAAGGCCATTTCTGAGGGGGAATAAAGGCATTTTTGGGGAATGAGGGATTTTTGAAGGAAAAAGGCCATTTTTGAACAAAAGAAAGGCCATTTTTGAGAGGGAAAACCAGAAATTGTTGGGAAATCAGGCATTTTTGAGGGCAAAAAGGCCATTTCTGACAGGGGAAAAATGGAATTCTCGGGAACCTGGAGATCTTTTTGCGACAAGGGCCAGTTCTGAGGGCGGACTTTGAGGAGGGAAGTGAGGACTCTGAGCACTCACATCGTCGGGCCGGGTGAGCACGAGGCTGCGGGTGTCCTGAGAGGGGAAGTGCAGGTGGGGCATGCCCCGCTGGCGCTCCCGCTCCTCGGGCAGCAGCGGCCGCACACGGCAGAACACACGGATGTTCCCCTGGGAAAGCAAAAACATGGGATTGTGGCATGGAACTCATAGGCGTTCCCTTGGGAAAACAAAAAAATGGGACTGAGGCATGGAACTCAAGGGTGCTCCCCTGGGAAAACAAAAAAATTTTGGGATTCAAGCAATGAATTCATGGTTGTTCCCCTGGAAAAACCAAAAAAATGGGATTGAGATACGGAACTCATGGGTGCTCCCCTGGGAAAACCAAAACATGGGATTGAGGCATGGAACTCATGGGTGTTTCCCTGGGAAAACCAAAAAAAATCAGGATTCAGACATGGAACACGCAGACGTCGCCCTGGAAAACCCCAAAACTCGGGATTCAGTCACTGGGCCTGGTCTCTGGCTCGCCCCCCTCAGGAGCTGGTGTCTCCCCTCTCCCAGCGCACAGGGATATTTCCCTGCAGAACCCGCCAGCCCGGACTCGCCCCTCCAGCCTCCCGCTCAGGCGCTGTCCCGCAGAGCGGGCGGCCATGCCCACCCTGAGCTCCTGGATGTCGTTGTGCAGGCGGCGCCGCTCCATCTCCAGCAGGTGGATGTGCTCCTCGCGCTGGGCCAGCAGGCTCCGCTGCGATGCCTCCAGCTCCCGCAGCGCCTGCAGCTCCTGCAACTGCTCCTGCCGGCGGGAAAGCAAAACCCTAAAAACCCCATCTTCCCCTCGCTTCTGAGGGGTCTGCTGTGCTCGGTAGAGAAACCGGCAAAAAAACCCATTTCTCCTCATATTTTGCAGATTTTCTGACATTCCCCCAGGGATTTGAGGTTAAAATGAGCAAAACTGATGCAAATCCCCATCTTTTGAGGTGTTTTCTGAGGGATTTCACTGGAATTGATGCAAAGCCCTCATTTCCCTACCTTTCTTTTTGCGCCCCCGTAGCGGATTTTTGAGTTGAAACACAGTAAAAATTATTTAAATTGCCATGTTTTGTTCCACATTTTGAATATCCTGAGGGAGTTTGGGTGCAAAAGCAGTTGAATTGGTAAAAATTCCCATTTCTCACTATTTTCCCCGCAATTTGAGGCACTCCCTGAAGAATTTTGGCACCAAAATCTCCGGAATTGGCACAAACCCCTCAGTTTTCCACCTTTTTCTGGCACTCCTCCTGGGCTTCAGCTTGCAGAGCAACTGAATAGCTCTAAAATCCCATTTTTTCATTAATTTTGAAGTACCCTGAGGGATTTTGGCTGCAAAAGCAGCTGAATTGGTGAAAATTCTCATTTTTCCCACATTGTGAGGGATTCTCTGAAGAATTTTTGATACCAAAAAGCCAGAATTGCTGCAAACCCTCAAGTTCCTGCTGTTTTCTGGGGCCTCTGGAGCAACAAAACATCTCCAAAGTCCTGGTTTTTTGTGGATTTTGAAGAATCCCCTGAGGGATTTTGGCAGTACAACCTGATGTAGTGAAAATTCCAATCTTTCCCAAGTTTTGAGGTTCCTCCTGAGGGATTTTGACACCAAGAATGCAAGAATTGGCACAAACCTCACATTTCCTGCATTTTCTTGGTGCCCCCTGGCAGATTTTAGGTCAGAGAGCAACAAACAGCTCCAAAACCCCAGGTTTTTGCACATTTTCAGGAACCCTTGGGGAATTTTGGGGGGGCAGAATCAGCTAAATTGGTGAAAATTCCCATTTTCCCCATATTTCAAGGCACTTTCAGAGCGCTTGGGTGCCAAAAAAGTCCAAATTGGTGCCAACCCCCATTTTCCCACCCTTGCTGGCGCCCCATTTCCCCCTCACAGCTTCCCACCATTTACAACCCCCCCCCAAAACAGATCTCAGATCAGAGAGCAACAAAAGGGCTCCAAATTCCCGTTTTCCAGGGATTTCTCAGGAATTCCGGGCCCCACCTCAGCATTCTCCAGCTGCTGCAGCAGAGCCTGTGCCCTGCCCCAGGCCTCATCGCGCTCCTGCCGCCGCTGCTCCTCCTCGGCCTTCAGCCGCTGCTCCTCCGCCTTCAGCCGCTGCTCCTCCGCCTCCAGAGCCTTCACCTTGTTCTGGCTCTGCTCCAGCTTCTCCCGGACCTGCGCCACCTCCACCTCCAGGGAGCTGCCCAAAGGAACGGGGCGATCCCGTAGGACTGGGGAGCCCCGGCTCTGAGGGGAGCTCCGGGGCTTTGCTGAGTTCCTTCAGGGCTTTAGGGGTAATCCGGGGAATTTGCGGAACACTCGGGAGGGTTCTGAGGGAGCTTTGGAGATCTTGAGGGGATGTAGGGTAAGTTCAGGGATTTTTGGAAGGGTTCTGAGGGAATTTTTGGGATCTGGAGGGAGTTCAGAGCAATTCAGGGAAATTTCAGGGATTTTTTTGAAGGGTTCTGAAGGAATTTTAGGGATCTTGAGGGGTTTTGAGGGGATTTAGGGAAATTTCGTGTATTTTCAAAATGGTTGAGGGAATTTTGGGGCTATTGAGGGAAATTTCAACGAGTTTCAGAAGGATTCTGAGGGAATTTTGGGAATCTTGAGGGGTTTGTGAGTCTAAGGGGAAATTGCAGGGATTTTCAGAAAGGTTCTGAGGGAATTTTGGAGATCTTGAATTTCAAAGGCAAATTGGGGGAATGTGGCATAGTGTGGGAGACTTTGGGGGAATCCCAGGATCTTTTGAAGGCTTTTACATAAATTTTAACAGGATCTTGAGATGGTCTAGGAAAACACATTTTGAGGATTTGGGGTGAATTTGAGGGAAATTGGGAACTTTTTAGGAAGGTTTTAGGGAAGATCAGAAGGGATCTTTAGTGGGATTTTAAAAGGATTTTGGGGGTTTTTCCTCACCATTCCCACTCCCTCCAAGGAAGGACTTTAAGGGATTTGGGGCAGTTTTTCTGGATTTTGGGGACATTTTTGTGGATTTTGGGTCAGTTTGGGTGGATTTTGCTCAGCTTTTGGTGGATTTTGGGTCAGTTTGGAGGGATTTTGGTGCAATTTTTCACGATTTTGGTGCAATTTTCCAGGATTTTGGTGCATTTCTCACACAACCCTGGTGCTGAGGCTGCTCTCATGGCACTCCCTCTGCAGGTGCTCCCTGAGCAGGGGGACTTTGGATAGTTTTGATGGATTTGGGGCAGTTTGAAATGGATTTTAAGTGGATTTTGGAGCAGTTTTTCAGGATTTTAGTACATTTTGCTCCTTTTCTCACCCAACCCTGGTGCAGAGGCTGCTCTCCCACTCGCCCAGCTCCCTCTGCAGCAGGATGTGAGTGGATTTGGGGGAAGTTTAAGTGGATTTTAAGGCAGTTTTTCAGGATTTTGGTACATTGTGGCTCATTCCTCACCCGACCTTAGTGCAGAGGCTACTCTCCCTCTGGCCCAGCTCCCTCAGCAGGGGGACGTGGATGCATTTTGGTGCAGATTTTCAGGATTTTGGCACATTTTGGCACACTCCTCACCTGACCCTGGCGCAGAGGCTGCTCTCCTGGCTCTCCCTCTCGCCCAGCTCCCTCTGCAGCTGCTGCAGGCGCTGGCTCTGCTCCTGTTTCTCTCTCTCCAGCACCTGCAGGCGCTCCCGGCCCTGCTCCAGCGCCTCCTGCAGGTCCCTGACCTGGCCCCGCAGGTCCCACGGAGGCCGCTTGGAGGCGCCCTTGGCGCCCGCCGTGCTGGTGGCAGAGCCTGGGGGACACGGGGGGGGGTTGGGGACACGGGGGGGACAACATGGGGACATCAGAAGGGGCTTGGGGACATTAGGAGGGTCTTGGGGACACTGGGGGCAGGTAAAGGGGGGCCTTGGGGACACTGAGGGGAACTTGGCAGTGTCAGAGGGGAGCCTGGGGACATCAGGAGGGGATCCTGGGGCACCGGAGATGGACTTGGGGACTGGGGACATGGAAGGGGAGTCTTGGGGACACTGGGGAGGGGTCCTGGGGACACCGGGGGGGGTCTCAGGTCTCACCGACTTGAGCAGCTGGCACTGATGCTGCCTTCCGGGGGCCATCTGGGGGCACAGGGACATTGGGGGGGACACAGGGACACTGGGGGAGGTTTGAACCCCTGGAAATCCCCCAGGTCACACTGAGCCCCAAAACCTCCTTTAAAATCTCCCAAACGTCCCCAAAGCCCCGAGGCCCCCAAATCCCTTCTGAACACCCCAAATGCCTCAAGAGCCCTTAAAATCCCCCAATTCCACTTTCACTCCCCCAAACGCCACTAGATCCCCTTTAAATGCCCCAAAAGCCCTTTAACTGCCCCCAATTCCCTCCAACCACCTGTAAATCCCTGAAAAGCCCTTTCACTGCCCCCAAATCTGCCAAATCCCCCTTAAATACCCATTAAATCCCCATTAGCTGTCCCCAAATCCCCATTAAGTGCCCCCGAACCCGCCGAAACCGCCCCAATGCCCCGGTACCGTTCTTCCCCGCCGCCGCGGGGCCGCCGGTGCGGAGCGGGGCCTTGGGCGCGGCCCGGGCGCCTCCGGGCCCGAGCCCGGTCCGCGATCGTTTCTGTCAGGGGACAAACGGCGTCAGGCGGCCCCGGCGCCGGGCCGAGGCGGCGAGAACCCGCCGGGGGAGGGCTCCGCACCTGCTGGGGAGGCCCCGCGGGCGGGCCCGCGGACAGGGCCCGCTTCTGCTGGGCCCGGGTCACCGGCAGCCGCGAGACCCTCGAGCTCGGCCCCGGGAGCTCAGCGGGACCGGCCTCAGGACGGGACGCCATCTTCTCCCGCGCTCTTGAAACCGCCGCGCGCCCACTTGGCCCCGCGCCGCGGCCAATGGCGGGGCGAGTTGGGAGGGGTGGTCCCGCCCCCGCGAGGCTCGGCCAATGGGAGCGCGGTACGGGCGCAGGGAGAGCCAATGGGAGCGCGAGGCGGGGTCAGGGTGGGAGGGGGTGCGCCCGCCAAGGGGTAACGGCTGCGGAGGGGCGGAGAGGAAGGCGGGACCTGCGTGGTGGGAGAGGGCGGCGATTGGCTGAGAATGAAATGGGCGTGGCTTGCGTGCTGGGCGTGGCCACGTGGTGCAGAGCCGCTGGTGAGGGGCGTGGTCTGAGGCCAAGCTCCGCCCACAGCGCCAGAACGGCCCCAAATCCGCCCAAAATATTCCTAAATTCACCCAAACCTCCCTAAATCCACCTAAAACATCCCCAAACCCGCCCAAAACTCCCTAAATCTGCCCAAAATATTCCCAAATATGCCCCAAACCCCTGTTATAAATAAAAATTTTTCCAACCAAATTAAAAATGAAATAAAAAAATTTTATTTATGATTAAAGTCTATCTCGCCAGCCACAAGGAAAAAGGCAGTGCCGAGCCCGGGGTCGGCACTGGGTGAGTGACAGGATGCCTCTCAGCAGAGGTTCCCCTGGACACCCACACCACCCTCTTGGACCCTGCAGTTCTTATAGGAAATTTTCTGCCTGAGGCAAGGATTTCAGCCATCTGCCTTTTCTTTCCATTCAAAGTTCCACATATTCATAAAGTTCTTTTCTCCAGGACAAGTCCAAACAATCCTAGTCCAGGTGTGGACGATCTTGCTGATGAAGTTACAGGAACTGTGGCTTTCAGATGGCTCAACCCATAGGTTTCCAGAGATCCCAATCTCGAGTCGCTACCGGGATGATCAGCTTCCAGGCGTCCCGGTATCGGTTCCTGGAACAGCCCATCTCCGGGCGAGCCACATGTATTAGATTGTAAATGAGACATTTTTTGGCTTAGGTGGAACCTGAACACGGGGGGGAGGTGGGGGGTGGGGGGGCGTGGCTGGCTGCAGCACTGGCGCGTGCTTTTACATTAAACTAAACATTTTATATAGTGAATCATATTTAATATAACAATATTCCAGAGGCGCAAATTATAACCATTTATATCACACCCCCTAAATCTGCCCCAAAGCCCTCTAAATCCACCCAAAACATCCACTCAAAACAATCCACCCAAACCTCCCTAAACCCACCAAAATCGCCTCAAATGTGCCCCAAACCTCCCTAAATTCTCCCAAACTATCCCCAAATCCCCACATCCCCCAAACCTCCCACAACCTTCCCAGACAACACCAATCCTCCTCAAACCCACCCAACGCCCGCCCTAAATCGCCCCAAAACCCCCCAAAGTCCCCAAATCCGCCCCTGACTCCTGTGACACCCTCAGCCCCCCAAATCCCCCCAGGCCACCCCAGACACCCAAATGCCCCCAGACCCCCACTGTAACGCCCAAATCCCCCCAAACCCCCACTATAACCCCCAAACCCCCCCAAATCCGCCCAGACCCCACAGGATCCCCCGGGACCTCCCAAATCCCCCTCAGGCTCCCCAAATCCCCGAAATTTCCCCCCAAATTCCCGCGGGCCGCGGGGCGGGGCGGAGGAGGCGTGGCCTGTCTGTGTGGGCGTGGTTTCAGCATGGTGGGCGTGGCCTCCGCGGCCGCGCGGCCCTAAGCGTTACGTGGGCGTGGCTGTGCGCGTGCGCAATCGCGCTGTGGGCGTGGCCCCGTCCCTGCGGCGGCCGCTGCGGGCGCGGAAAGGGGCGTGGCCATATCGTGGGCGTGGCCATCTCGCCGTGGGCGTGGCCATCTCGCCGTGGGCGTGGCCATCCCGCCGTGGGCGTGGCCTGAGGCCGGCGGGGCGGCCCCGGCCGCAGCGGGGGGGGGGGGGGGGGCGGATTTTGGGGGCGTTTTTGGGGTCTCCGCGCCGGCCCCGCCCCCGCCCAGCCCCCGGCGCCGCTGCGGGGGGCCCGGGGGGTCCCCGGGGGGGGTCCCCGGTGCCGCCGTCCCTCGGCCGCCCCCCCCGGCCCCCCCCGCGCCGCCGCTGCTGCGTCACGGCCCTGCCGCCGCCGCCGCCGCCCCCCGGGTGTGATGGAGCCCTCCGGGGGGGGGTTGCCCCCCCAGAACCCCCCGAAGCCCCCCCAGATCGGGGAGGGGCAGGACGTGCTGGCGCCCTGGACGGACGGGCTGCTCTACCTGGGCGTAGTCAAGAAGGTGGGACTCCAAACAGCCCCAAAGCACCCCAAAAATGGCCCTGAAACAGCCCCAAAACACCCCAAAAATGGCTCTAAAACAGCCCAAAACCCCCAAAATCCAGCCTTAATTAGCCCTAAACCAGCCCTGAACCAGCGCTGAAACATCCCCAAACGAGCCACAAACCATCCAGAAAGCACCCCTCGAAACAGCCCTAAACTAGCCCAAAACCCAGGCCGAAATAAACCCTAAAATAAATAAATAAACACGAAATAAAGCCCCTAGAAACACCCCAAGTCCATCAAAACTCCCCGAATTCCCTCCAAACCCCCCTCAACCCCCCCAAAATCCCCAAAATCCCCCAAATCCCCCAAATCCCGGCTCCCCGCAGGTGGACGCTCCCCGCCGGGGCTGTTTGATCCAATTCGAGGACAATTCCAAATTTTCTCTGGAAAGACATCAGCCCCGGTGAGCCGGAATTCCCGATTAGCCCCTTAATTAGCGACTAAGGAGCGAAGAGTTGATGAGTTATGGGCGGTTAATGAACCGTTAATTAACGCTTTAATGGCTTCCTGGCGCCCCCCAGCGGCCGAGCCCGGGGACGACCCCTCGTGCTGCGTCTGCGCCGGGAATTCCCGAAACGCCGAAAATTCCCTGGTCCGGTGCGGGAAGTGCGGCCACGGTCAGGGAAACCCCGGGGCGAGCGGGAACACCTGGGAGAAAAACGGGGGGAAAAAACCCGGGGAAAAAACCCCGGGGCAAACGGGAAAATCTGGGAGAAAAACGGGAAAGACTGGGGAAAAAAAAAAAAAAAAAAACTGGGAAAAACGGGGAGAAAAACGTAGGAGAAAATCTTGAAAATTCCCTGGTCCAGTGCAGAAAGTGCAGCCATGGTCAGGGAAAAACTGGGACAAACAACGGGGAAAATAGGATAATTTGGGGGGAAAATGGGAAAAAATGGGAAAACAAAACAAAACAAAAACCTCGTGGACAAACAGGGAAAACGGGGAGAAAAATGGGAAAAAATCCCGAAAATTCCCTGGTCCAGTGCGGGAAGTGCGGCCAGGGTCAGGGAAATGCCGTGACAAACCGGAGAACATGGAGGAAATGGGGAAAACGGGACAAAATGGGGGAAGTGGGCAAAAAGTGAGGAAAAACAGGAAAAATGGGAGGAAAAGGTGGAAAATGGGGAAATGTGAAAAAAATGGGAAAAGAAACCAGGGAAAAAGGGATAAAAAGTGGGGGAAATGGGGAGGGGGTAAATAGTGAAATTTGCACAAATCTGGCAACAATTCCCAAACTCTGGGGGAGAAAATGGGGGAAATTTGGGATTTGGGAGGAGAAAATGGTGGGAAAGTGGGAAAATCCACAAAAAGGGGGGAAAATGAGAAAAAAGAGGAGAAACACCTGAAAATTGTGGAATTCCCATGAAAATTCCCCCAAAATCCTCCAGGAGATGGAGAGGAAATGGGGGAAGGTGAGGAAAAATGGGGAAAAATCGGGAAAATCCCAAAAAATGGAGGGAAAAGGGGGAGAAGTGGGAAAGAGGGGGGAGGGGTGGGAAAGTCAGCTCAAAAAATTACGGAATTCTGCCTAAAATTTCAGTTAAAGCTGGGAAAAGAGGGGAGGGCTGGGAAATTGGGGAAATGGGAAAAATGGGAAAATGGGAATGGGGGGGAAAAGGGGAGGAGGGGCAGGAAAAGCTCCTCAAGTTGGAAAAATGGGATTTAGGTGGGAAAATGGGGTTTGGATGTGGGAAAAGTGGGAATGGGCTGGGGAAATGGGAATAAAGGGGGGAAGGGGGGAAAGTTCCCTGAAAATTGTAAAAATTGAGGGAAAAATGGGAATGAAGAGGTGGAAGGGGGGAAAATGGGAATTTAGCTGGGAAAATGGTGGGAAAATGGGATTGAGGGTGAGAGGGGGAAACTGGGGGAAAATAGTAAAAGTGGGGGGAAAATGGGATTGGGAAAAGTGGGAATGGGGTGGGAAAATGGGGGGAAAATGGGAATTAAGATGTGATAGGTGGGGAAAAATGGGAATTTCAATGGGAAAATGGGGAGGAAATGGGAGACAGGTGGGAAAATCCCCTCAAAAGTGGGAAAAATCAGAAGAAACCTGGGATTTGGGTGGGAAAATAGGAAAAGTGGGAATGGAGTGGGAAATGGGGAAAAAACCTGGGGGGAACAGGGAAAAAATGAGAAAAGGGAGGGAAAATTTGTATAAAAGTGGATTTGGGCCAAAAAACCACCAACAAAACTGGGAATAACAGGGGCAAAAGAGGGGGTGGGGCTGGGAGAAGGGCGGAGGGTCCCGAATTCCCAAAGAATTCCCGGGATTCCTGGAACTGCCATTTTCCCCAGCGTACCACCAGCGCTGCCACGTGCCCCCGGCCCCCGGCGGCGCCGCGCCCTGGAGCTGCCGCCGCTGCGTCTTCGCCGTGGCCACCAAGGTGAGCCCGGAGCGCCCCGAATTCCCAAACATTCCCCAAACATTCCCAAAAAATTCCCTGAATTCCCCAAATCCCACCCCAGGGAGGCTCCTGCAGGGTTGGGAGCTCTGGATCCTGGGATTTGCCCCCAGATCCCAGGTTTAGGACCTAAAAATTCCAGGTTTTCTGCCCAAAATTCCCATTTTTTGCTTGAAATTCCCAATTTTTTGGGCTCCAATCCCAGCTTTTGGGATCCAAGCTCCAAATTTTGCTATCGAAATTCCTAATTTTGGGGGTTCCAATCTCGCTTTTTGGACTCCAAATTTTGGGATCCAAATTCCAGATTTTGGGGGTTTCAATCCCAATTTCTGGGGTCCAAGCTCCAATTTTTGGAATGGATTTACAATTTTTTGCTGTCTCAATCCCTTTTCTTGCTGTCCTGATCCCATTTTTGGGATCCAAACTCCCAAATTTTGGGGTGGAAATCCCAAATTTTGGGGTGGAAATCCCAATTTTTGGGGTCCAAACTCCCAGTTTTGGGGTCCCAATCCTGATTTGTTCATTCCCAGTGTCATTCCCAGTGATTCCCACTGGAATTCCTGTTGGAATTCCTGGGGTTTTCCTGTTCATTCCCGTTGTCATTCCCTTTGTAATTCCCACTGTTTTCCCATTCATTCCTGGTGCCATTCCCAGTAATTCCTGCTGTAATTCCCACTGGAATTCCTGGGGTTTTCCTGTTCATTCCGATGTCATTCTTGGTGTCATTCCTGTCAACCCCCCAATCCCCACTGGAATTCCCATTAAAATCCCTGCTGGAATTCCCATTCATTCCCACTGGAATTCCCATTAATCCCCTCTTGAATTTCTGCTCATTCCCAGTGTGAATTCCCATTAATCCCCTCTGGAATTCCCGGATTTTTCCCGTTAATTCCTGCTGTCATTCCCGGTGGTTTCCCAGAGTTTTCCCCGTTAATTCGCACTGGAATTCCTAGTTTTCCCGGTGTTTCCCAGCAGGGCAGGGCAGTGCCGTGGGTGGAAATCCCAGCATTGTTGCGTTGCGGTCCCCTTTCACCCGGACACCCCGAGCGCGGGCGTGTTGGGCGGCGATGGAAGAGAACGGGCCGCCGGTCCCCCTGTAAATGCTCTGCTGTCCCGGTTATCGGCGCGGGGACAGATGGAGGCGACACGGGACTTGGGGTGAACAGGTTCCGTTTATTTCACGTGCCCCAAGACCCCTTGGGGCGGGCGAGCAGATGTTTTATACAAGGACTTATGAGGAGGGGTATAGGAACAGCAACCAATAGGGGAATAACAGGGGAGGAGTTTGGGGTAGGACTAAAGGGGGCAGGGAAAGAAGCGGGGGGAGGGGAGATTCACATCTTGGAGAGAAGGGGGTTAGGAGTGAGATGGGGGGGGGGGGGTGTACAGACACTGAAATAATAAATAGTACACTCCCACATCTCCCTCTTTTTCTTTTTACAAAAGAAAGGAGAATTCTGATGTTTAAATGTTCTGGTTTGAAAGCAAAACCAGTGAGAGACTCCAAGTCAGAAATACAATTTATTGGGAAAAGGGGAAAAGGACAAAAAATACATGCAATAATACAAAGGGAAAGACTACTGACAAAGTCAGAATACAACCTGGCCAGCGTGCTGGTAGCAGTCCAAATTGGAGTAGCTGCAGTCCTCATGGGATGGCAGATGTAGTTGCTGTGTCTTCTCGGAGAACCTGTGAAAAGGCTGACCCTCTGTCTAGAAAACCCCAGTTTTATCCAGGTTGGAATGCCTAGCTCCTCCCCCCTGTGCAGAGCATCTCACAATGGGTCATTATGAGTCACGAGGTGTGTCCTTAATCACCTGCTCCTGGACAGTGTTATCTCTGAGTCATGTAGCAAGGCATTGATGGGGCTATTAACAGCAGATAAGGAAAACTGCCTCAAGGCAACTCCTACTCAGATGGTAAATAGGAAACCGTTCTTTTTTTAATCTTGGACATTAAACAAATACTGCATATAAACAATATAAACCTCATATATAAAATACAACAAAATCATATAGTAACATTACAAATTATTAAACAGAAATAAGTTGAAAAACATCAGAAAAGTACAAATTAGTTATAATTACAATAAAACAAATTAATATACAAAGCGTATAAAATTGACATAAACAAATCCTGAATTCAGGGTAAAACATTTAGCAGGATTCACAGCTTGATCTGATTCGAAACTTGGGCTGTCGCGGCACTGGAGATGTATAGCGGAGTTGAAGCAGCGAGCAGCGACATGGCTTGTCTGATTTTATTCTTTATTTCCGGAGTGGGCATAATACCGTGGGTATAAACTAAATAGCATGATCTTTCTTTCTATAAAATATAACTCAACAAGTAGATTATTAAATAAAAGGGAACATTGGGTAGGGTGCATTAAGGAATGGGACAGGGGAATCAGACAATCACTTGATTAGTGACTGTCATGATTGATAAGGGGAATCGGTAAGGGGTGGACCAGGGTGCCGCCATCTCAGGGGGAAGACAAAATGGCGGTTTCCAGTCTGGGGTTTTCGCCCCGCTCTCCCTCAAAGGAGACCCCCCCCCCCGAGAAGGGGAGTGATCTTCTAAGAAGGGGGGTCCTCTGATGGGAGGTCCTCAACAGCGATCCGTCCCACCAGAGGAAGGGCCAGAAGAAGGATTAGGGAATATCCAACCCCGCCTCCCCCCCACAGGGACTAGCCACACGGCAATTTTGATTGTCGGGGCCCTTGGGGAGAGGGTGGGGCTGGCAGGAAACCGGGGGGTGAAAGAGAAGGATCAGCGCGGTTAAGTAGGATCCAAGTGGCGTGGCCAGCGCCATCTTGTAAGGGGGTGCCGGGTGCACTGCACCCCTACCCAGGGGCGGCGTGACCAACACCATCCCCAAGGGAAGGCAGCAGTGCTCGGCAGGGCGCCTGGGGCGGCTTGGCCACAGCCATCCCCAAGGGAAGACAGGGAAAAGTTTAGGAAAATCCGAGGGCAAGGGGATCTGGGGAGCTTCACAGAAGCAAAAGGGGAATTTACAGGAGAGGAGCCCGACACAGCTGGATGTCGACACAATGCGTGGGTGTACAGGGCTTCTCTTACCAACCCTCCTATAGTTAACATGCCGCCTTTCAAACATTTGTCCCGTTTGTGTCTTTTCTACCCCCTCCGTCCAGCCCAGATTGGGGAGGAAAGGATAGAGAAGACGACTTTTCGAGGGGAAGAAAAAGCAATCAAATATGGGTCCCCATAAAAGACTAGGTGGGGAGTACCTGGGACCTCCCCCCCAGAAACGAAAAACCCACTCGCCCACCGGGCACATGCAAGAATACAGCTCCCGTCTGAGCACGAGCGAGGGTTAAAACGCAAAAAGAAAAAATGGGAAACCCAGCCACCCGGCGGGATGGACCCCACCCCGTCTAGCCCACCTTACCCTCTGGGGCCCGGGTGGAGATGGCTTGATTCTTCTCCTCGACTTGGTGGAAAAGTCGCGCCGAACTGGGGACGTTCCTTCTAGGTTTGGCTCTTCCAGAGGCTTAGGTGTTCCCGGGACTTGCAGGCAAGTCCAGCCGATCTCGGCTGCACCCAAAACTTGTCCCTGAAGCGTTGGGCTCGACCACTATCGGCCTCTGGTGGTCACGTTCAAGTGCTGTCCCCTGACTCGCCGTCCTTCGGGCTCCCTTGAGCCGCTGCCAAACCGCCCTCCTTGTTCTGGAGTAGGTCTACCCCCCCTTCAAAGCCCCTGCAGCATGTCTGCCCCAGTGCAGTACGGCTGATCTCAGCAGGGGTGGGGTGGAGCGCACGGAGGCGAGAACAAAGGAGGGTCCCGGAGCCGAATTCTTTTCGCTCGGCACTTGGCTCCTCTTAGCGTCCGGCAAAGCTTCTACGACCGCAGATGTTCCTCTTCCCTCCTTCTTCTTCCGTGAGGCGGGCGCCCCCACGAATTTGCCCGTTTGTTTTACAAGACGAAGGAGGGAACCATCCTCTGCTACCATTTGTTGCATTGCAGTCCCCTTTCACCGGGACACCCCGAGCGTGGGCGTGTTGGGCGGCGATGGAAGAGAACGGGCGGCCGGTCCCCCTGCGAAAGCTCTGCTGTCCCGGTTATCGGCGCGGGGACAGATGGAGGTGGCACGGGACTTGGGGTGAATAGGTTCCGTTTATTTCACGTGCCCCAAGACCCCTTGGGGCGGGCGAGCAGATGTTTTATACAAGAACCTATGGGGAGGGGTATAGGAACAGCAACCAATAGGGGAATAACAGGGGAGGAGTTTGGGGTAGGACTAAAGGGGGCAGGGAAAGAAGCGGGGGGAGGGGAGATTCACATCTTGGAGAGAAGGGGGTTAGGAGTGAGATGGGGGGGAGGTGTGTACAGACACTGAAAGAATAAAGAACACACTCCCGCACAGCATTAATTCCCGTTAATTCCCGCTGGAATTCCTGGAGTTTCCCTCTCCATTCCCAGTGGATTTCCCAGGTTTTCCTGTTAATTCCTGCTGTGATTCCCAGTGTTTTCCCATCCATTCCTGCTGTTTTCCCAGGGTAATTCCGTGGTTTTCCCACTAATTCCCAGTGTAATTCCTGGTGTTTTCCCATTAATTCCCAGTGCAATTTCTGCTCTCATTCCCACTATAATTCCTGGGTTTTTCTCGTTCATTCCCAGTGGAATTCCCGGGGGGCAGGAGGGGACATGGGTCGCAAAAGGGACAGGAGGGCGTGGCAGGAAGTGGGGAGGTGATGGAGGGGTGGCGGGGACTGAGGGTGGTGGGGGAGGGACAGTGGGGGGGTGGCAGAGGGGATGAGGGAGGTGGCAGGGGGTGGCAAATGAAACAAAAGGGTGACAAAGGAACCGAGGGGACCACTGAGCCCTCCAAGGAAGGGACAAAGGGGATCCCAGGAGGGCACAAGTGCCATGAGGTCCCTGACACCTCCCCTGTCCCCTCCCCAGCTTTCCCCATCCCTGCTGGAGCTGCTGGTCACCGTAGTGGCCACCCTGGGTGAGCTGGCAGCCTCCACAGCCAGGCCAGACAGGGCCGTGCTGCTGGGCGTGTCCCCAGGGTACCTGCACACAGCCCTGGGTCCTTTACCAGGCAGCTCTATGACACCCTGGACCACGGTGGTGGCACCTGGTGGCACCGCGATGTCACCTCCCAGCGTGACTCCCCCCTCACCTCCCTGGGCCAGGCCCTGGCTGCCGATGAGACCACCCCATGGACCACCTGGGCCCAGGTGACACACGCGGCCAGAGACTGGTGGGACCCAGGGGCTGCAGTTGTGGGCAGCTGGTTCCAGCTGCTGGATGAGGCCACCAAGCTCTGGGACGCCTGCAGGGACACGGATTCTGGCGAGGGCACCGCTGCGGCCACGGGAGAGGCCACGGGAGAGGCCACGGGAGAGGCTGTGGAAAAGGCCACGGTGGCCACCAGCCAGGCAAAAGTGGTCACCAGGAGGAGACAGAGGCGGAGGCCGCCCTGGGGCTGCGGGAGTGCTTGGTGGCCGCGTGTGACAAAGCCACCGCGTTCCACCCGTTCCACTGCGTTCCCCCGGGAGCTGCAGCACCGGCTGACCTGAGGGGACAATGAAGCCGTCCGTTTCCGCGTGACCTTGGCAGTCAAGGTGGCCGAGCAGCTGTGGGAGGCCAGCGACTGGCTAGCTGCTTGTCACCTCCTGGGAACACGTGGAGACATCTACACCCTCTTCTGGAGTTCCCATTGTGACCTGGATGGCCGCAGACACCGTGCAGCGGCTGAGAAGTGCCAAAGAGCCATCAAGGACATCCCGAGGTTGCTGCAGAAACAGTGATGTCAGCACTGTGATGTAATCAGGGGCGGTGACATCATTGAGGACATCACTGGTGTCACTTCTCCCCTCCCCCCTCCCTGCGCGGGATTTGAGACAAATTGGGGGAATTTTCTGGGAATTTTCATTGGAATTGTCCCAAATCGTGATGGGAGTTCCTGGGGTGCTGTCACTGGAGATGTTCAGGGACACTCAGGGACACTCACGGATGCGGCGGTGGGTCAGGGGGTGAATGAGCCCCCTCGGTGCCTTGCAGCAGCGGCAGCTTCCTGCCGTGTCTGCAGCAGAGCTGGGTTATAAGTGACAATAGAATAATCAGCTTTTGCATTTCTGTGTTGACTTTTGCAGGTTGTTATTGATCACAAGGACTTTGCTATGGTACCTGATATTGATTATTGAGAATTCCTCGTAGCTGCTCGTTGGAACTCTAAATTCTATCAGTGTACGTGTGCAGCGTGCAGCCGATTTAACGGCAGCGTAAGGGTCCCTTGGGGCTCCGTGCTGCCCACCCCCCACCCCGTCATCAGCTGGAACACCCCACAATTTACCAGGGCCCCCCCGCACACCGGGACCCCCCATTCACTGCCCCTTCCCCCTTCACCGACCCCCGCAAAGCGCTGGGACCCCCGATCCGTGAGCTCCCCCAGTGCACCAGGACCCCCCCTCACCGCCCCCCATTGATCGAACCCCCCAAACGCCCCCGACCCCTCCCCGCCCCCGGCCCGCGCTGGGCGGAGCCTGTCAAGAAACGCCCCTCAGTTTTGTAGCCACGCCCACAACGGGGCGGGGCTGAGTGGTTCGGCCAATGGGGAGCGACGGAGCAGGGAGAGGCGGGGACTGCGAGGGGGCGGTGGGAGCAGCAGCCAATGGGGAGCGGAGAGGGCGTGGCCTGAAGGCAGGAAGGGGCAGCAGTGAATGGGCGCGGAGGGGGCGGGGCGCGGAAGGAAGGGAAGGTGGGCGGGGCCTGTGCGAGCAGCGAGTGTAGCGCGGGAAAGGGGCGGGGCCACGAACGGGACCGTGGGGAGGGTGGAGGAGGAACCCATTGGGGGCATGGCGGGGGTTTTGGGGCTCCGGGGGTCCCAAATGATCCCAAATCCTGCTGGATCCCAAGGAATAACCCCAAGGGATCTCAGGTCCTAAATCGTGGGTCCCGGAAAATCACAGATCCCGAATGCTGCTGGATACACGAAACCAATCCCAAGCAATCTCAAACCCTAGATCCCAAATCCTGCTGGATTCCCAGGAATAGTCCTAAATTATCTCAATTTCTGCATCCCAAGCAATCCCAAAATTACCCCAAATCCTGGATCCCTAGCAGTGTTAAAGTCCAGATCCTAAATCCTGATGGATCCCAAGGAATAGTCCCAAATGATCTCAAATTCTGGATACCAAACAATCCCAAATCCCAGATCTCAAATCCTATTGGACACTCAAAACCAATTCTAAATGCTCTCAAATCTCAAATCCTGGATCCCAAAAAGTCCCAGACACCAAATGCTGCCAGATACCCCAAATCCGATCCTAAAAGATCTCCAATCCTGGATCCCCAAACAATCTCAAATCCCAGACCCAAAATCCTGCTGGGTCTCCAGAAACAATCCCAAAAACCAATTGCAAATCAGGGTCCTGGCAGGGGAAATCAGAGCCCTGGCTGGGGTAAATGGGCCCTGAGGGGGCCAATGGGGTCCTGGAAGGATAAATGGGGGCCCTGAGGGGTTCAGTGGGGTCCTGAAAGGATGAATGGGGGTAAATCAGGGTCCTGGCAGGGGAAATCAGAGCCCAGAGGGGTCAATGGGCTCCTGGCAGTTAAATGGAGCCCTGGAGGATGGATCCGGGCCTCAAGGAATTAAACCCAACCTGGAAAAGGGTCCCTGAGGTCCTTGCAGGGCCAGTTCTGCCCCTCGGGGGAGGATCAGGGTGTGGGTCCCTCCCTCCTCCAAGAGCCTCAATGCCCTCAGAGCTCTGGCCACAGCTTCTGGATGGAGACAGGGATGGAGCACAAGGTGGGAACCCCAAAACCCCGGGGTCACCCCCAGTGGGTATCTGAGGGGATCTGAGGGGATTTGGGGGGGATTTGGGGTATTTTGGGCCAGTTTGTTGAAGTTTGGGAATCCCCAGGGCCATGGGTGCGGCCAGAAGGGAAAAGGGAAGTGGAAAGTTCCGGAGTCTGGGGAGTTCAGAGGGGCCTGGGGAGGGAGAAAAGAGGGGTGGGACCCCCCAAATTCCAGGGAGGATTCAGGAGGAACCCCCTAAATCTCACCTGGGTACCTGAGAAGCCCAAAACCTCCCTGAAGCCTCACCTGGGACACCTGGGAAACCCAAAATCCTTGGGAAATCTCAACTGGGAAGCCCCAAATCCCTGGGGAACCTCACCTGGCACCCCCAAAACCTCACCTGGGGCCCCTCCAATCCCTTGGGAGCCTCACCTGGGATCCCCCCTTACCCCCTGTGTCCACCCTGACCCCCCATGCCGTGTCCTCTGGATGTCCCCTGCTCATTTGGGACCCCCAAAACCCGACCTAGGACCCCCCAAAATCCTTCCATGACCCCCTAAAACCCTTCCAAGACCCACAAAGCCCCTTCGGGATCCCCCAAACCCCCCCCCCCTGCGCTCCCCCTACCCCCCAAAAACCCCACGGGGGATCCCCAGAACCCTGCCTGGATCCCCAACCCCCCCCCAGAACCCTCCAACCCCTCCCCCACTGCCCTAATCCCCCTTTCCTGTCCCCAGGTGTCCCCCCCTGCCCTCCCCCCTGAGGTGGACACAGCGGTGGCCGCGCGGCGCAGGGCCCTGGTGGCCCTGGTGGCCTTGGCCGAGGCCTTGGGGACACCGGACAGTGTCCCCGCTGCGCTGGCCGAGGCCGAGGCTGCCCTGGGCCAGGCCCAGGAGGCTCAGAGGGGGCTGGAGAGGGCCCAGGAGGCTGCGGTGGCCCCGGCGGTGGCCCTGGGAACCCTGGGGGACGAGGACGAGCAGTGGCTGCGGCAGCTCGGGGCCGTGGCCAAGGCAGCGGCGGCGGCGCTGGAGCGCGAGGAGAGACGGGCACGGCGGTGCCAGCGCTGGCTGCGGGCTGGGCACGGGCTGGCCGTGGGGCTGATGGTGCTGTGTGGGGCCGTGTGTGAGTAAAAACCAGTACGGACCAGTATAGACCAGTATGGACCAGTATAGAGCAGTATGGACCGGTATGGGGCAGTATGGACCAGTATGGGCCAGTATAAGTCAGTACGGACCAGTTTGGATGAGTTGGGCTCTGGGCCGGGCACGGGCTGGCTGTGGGGCTGATGGTGCTGTGTGGGGCTGTGTGCCAGTAAAAACCACTATGGACCAGTACAGACCAGTATAGACCATTATAAACCTGTATGGACCAGTATGGACCCATACAAACCAGTACGGACCAGTATAGAGCAGTATGGAATGATAGGGACCGGTATGGTGTAGTATGGACTGGTACAGACCAGTATAAGCCAGTTCAGACCAGTATAAGCCAGGTCAGACCAGTATACATCTTGATAGTACACTGCAGCTGTACTGTGTGCTGTGGGTCAGACCAGTATAGACCAGTATGAGTATCAACAGACTTCCCCCTGCCTGGACCCGTACAGACCAGTTTGGACCAGTATAGACCAGTATGAATATTTACAGACAAGTAGAGACTTCCCCCTGCCCTGACCAGAGCAAACCAGTACAGACCAGTATGAGGCACTGCAGAGCAATGAGGATCATTATGGATCAGTAGAGAGCAGTGGGGACCAGTTCAGACCGGTATGGACCAGTATAGACCAGTACAAATATCTACAGACCAGGAGGGACTTTCCCCTGCCCTGACCAGTATAGGCCAGTTCAGACCAGTATAGACCACTATGGACCAGTGCAGAGCAGCAGGGGGCAGCAGGGGATGCAGGGAACCAGTACAGACCAGTTCAGACCAGTATGGAGCCCTACCAACCAGTAGAGACCTTCCCTGCCTCAGGATGGGGGCACTGGGATGGAACTGGTGACACTGGGACAGGGACACTGGGGCAGGACTGGGGAAACTAGGACAGGACTGGTGACACTGGGATGGAACTGGTGACACTGGGATGACTCACGGGGGCAATGACACTGGCACGGTGACAGCGGGGGGGACACTGAGCTGGTGACATTGGTATGGGGACCATGGGGTGGTGGCACTCAGGTGGTGACAGTGGGACAGAACTGGTGGCACTGGGGTGGCGACACTGGGATGGAACTGGTGACACTGGGCTGGTGGCACGGGGGCAGCCCTGGGGACACCGGGGTGGTGACAGTGGGATAGACTGGGGTGGTGGCACCGGGCTGGAACTGGGGACAGAGGGAGGGGATTGGTGACACTGGGGCAGGGAGAGTGGGACAGGACTGGGGTCACTGGGAGGGGACACGGGGATGGGGATATCAGGAAGGGACTGGGGACACTGGGACAGGGTGAAGGACACTGGGGTTGAACTGGTGGCACTGAGCTGCTGCTATGGGTGGTACTGGTGACACTGGCATGTGACATAGGTATGGGGACAATGGGGTGGTGGCACTGGCGTGGAAGTGGGAGCAGTGAGCTGGTGGCACTGGGACAGGACTAAGGACACTGGGCTAGAACTGGGTTGGTGACACTGGGCTGGTGGCACTCGGGTGGTGACAGTGGGACAAAACGGGTGGCAATGGGTTGGAAGTGGGGACACCGGGACAGGACTGGTGGCAGAGGCACAGGGACACTGGGATTGAACTGGTGCCACCGGACGCGTGGCACTGCCGTGTCCCTGGTGCCACCTGTGCAGTGTCCCCGTGTCCCCACAGTGTCCCTGGACTCGGCCCGCGCCGCCCTGGGGGTGAGCGAGGACAGCCACCTGCTGCTGGCCCTGGCCGCGGTGGCCGTGTCCTGCGAGGTGGCCTGGCGGGGTCTGGGGACATCACGGCGTCACCTGGCCACCGCCGCGAGCCACCAGCGGGACATGGCCCTGCGCCTGCGGGACCGTGCCCGGCGGGTGGCAGCCGCCAGGGCCAGCGCCGAGGCCGCCGCAGCCACCAACAAGGCCACTGCAGATGTGCTGGGGCGGCTGGAGGAGGTGACACAGGCACTGGGGACGTTGGTGACGGCTGTCACCCAGGACAGGGAGGTGACACCTTGGGGGACACAGGGACAGGGCTTCCCCAGAGCTGCCCGGGCACTTGGGGACATCCTAGTGGGCTTGGGGACATTTCGTGAGGGGCACGAGGAGGTGACGCCGAGGCTGGAGGCGGCCCAGAGAGCGCTGGTGGGGCAGGGATAGGGACAGGGTGGGGACACTGGGGTGGCACTGTCACTGCTGGGGTAGGGGGACACTCCGAGGGACATTGGGGACTTTGGGGACAACCCCGTGTCCTTCCCTTGGGGACAGCGGGACCACCCTGAGGTCCCCTGTCCTGTTTTGGGTCACCACGATGTCCCCGATGTCCCCACAGGACCCCAGCATGTCCCCAGAGTCCCCAACAGGACATCGGGGGGGACACTTGGGTCTTGTTGGGGACATGGGGGGGGTCACCGGGGCCATGGGGGGACCCTGAGGGCACATCGGGGTCCCGTAGGGGACATGGGGAGGACATTGGGGACCCCGCCCGGGCCGCTCGGGGGGAGGGGGGGCGGGGACGTCACCTCGCCCTGCCCCCATCCGGCCGCGCCACTTCCCGCGTGTTCCCCGAGTGTCCCCCGGGCCTGTCCCCCCTCCCCGCCAGCATCTCCCGGAGTGTCCCCGCAGTGTCCCCGCGGCGTCCCCGGAGTGTCCCCAGCGGCCATGGAGCCCCGCGAGGTGCGGCAATCCCGGGGGACACGGGGGGGCGGCGGGGAGGGGACAGAGGCTGGAGGGGACCGAGGGGGGCAGAGGGGACCAGGGGTGACACAGGGACGGGGGGACAGCAGAGCCCTCCAGGGAGGGGACAAAGGGGACCCTGGAAGGGCACTGGGGCCACACCAGGAGGCCACAAGTGCCACCAGGTCCCTGCCACCTCCCCTGTCCCCTCCACAGCTGCTGGAGGCGCTGGTGGCCGTGGTGGCCGTCCTGGGTGAGGTGGCAGCCACTGTGGCCGGGCCCTACGGGGACGTGCTGCTGGCCGTGTCCCCACGGTCCCTGCACACGGCCCTGGGGACCTTCATCAATCACCTCCGGGACACCCTGGGCCACCAGGCTGTCCCCTCCCTGGGCCAGGCCCTGGCCGCCCTCGGGGCCACCCCAGGGGCCACCTGGGTCCATGTGACAAGGGCGGCCAGCGCCTGGCAGGACCCGGTGGCCGCGCTCAGGGACGGCTGGGACCAACTGGCCGGGGAGGCCATCGAGCTCCGCGACGCCTGCAGGGACACGGCCACCAGGGAGGCCACCACAGCGGCCACCGCCACCACCCTGGCTGGGGATCTGCAGGTCAAGGCCACACAGTGGGGGACAGCCAGGGACAACCTGGTGGCCGCGGCCCGGCCGGTGCTGCTGGCCCTGGACAAGGAGGAGGCGACCTCAGCGCTGGCTGCGCATGAGGCCCAGATGGCAGCCGCCACCAACAAGGTGGTGGCGGCCACCAAGGCCACGGAACAGACCGGGGTGCCCACCAGCGAGGCCAGGGCAGCCAGCAGGAGGGAACAGCGGGCAGAGGTGGCCCTGGAGCTGCTGGAGCGCTTGGTGGCTGTGTGTGACAAAGCCACCACGTTCCCCCGGGAGCTGCAGCGCCGGCTCGGGGACATCGAGGCCACCCTGAAGGGGACAAATGAGATGTCCCCCGATGTCCCTGCGGCCTTGGTGGCCGCGGCGACCGAGGCTGAGCGGCTGTGGGAGGCCAGCGCCTGCCTGGCCACACGTCACCTGCTGAGGACACTTGGGGACATCCGCACGCTCCTCTCAAGTTGCCATGGTGGACCCGGTGGCCGCGCAGTGGCCGAGCAGTGCCAAAGAGCCATCGAGGACATCCCGAGACTACTGTGAGGACACTGATGTCACTGCTGTGATGTCATCGGGGTGGTAACATCATCAGGGACATCACTGGTGTCATTTGTCCCCGCCCCCTATCTCAGGGTGGGATTTGAGTCAAATTTGGGGAATTTTCTGAGAGTTTTCATTAAAACTGCCCCAAATCCTGATGGGGATTCCCGGGGTGACATCACTGGGGACACTTGGGGACAGGGACCAACCCAGCAAGGCCCAGTCACGTTCGGATGCTGTTTCCATGGTGGTGGGGACACGTGGAGTCCTGAAAGGGAAAACAGGGTCTTGAGGGGGTGAGTTGGGTCCTGGCAGGGGAATGAGGGTCCTACAGATGTCATTTAGGGTCCTGAAAGGGTAAACTGGGGGGCCAAGAGGGTAAATGGGGGTCTTGGCAGGTTAAACGAGGGTTGTGAATTCCATCTGTAGGACCCCATTGAACCCTTCAGAGCCCTCATTTACCCTTCCAGGATCCCACTTAGCCCCTCAGGGCCTTCATTTCCCCAGACAGGACCCTGAGCCCCCCACTCTCAAGGCGACCTTTCCCCTTCCAGGACCCCAATTACCTTCCGGGACCTCATTCACCACCCCCCACCCCAGGCCCTGCCCCCAGGCTCCGCCCCAAGCTCTGATTGGTTGGATTGGAGAAAGGGGCGTGGCCATTGAGGTGGAAACCGAAATGGAGAAGAGGGGGAGGGAAGACGGGGTAGGGACACCCCAAAAATGAGACCAGGCTCCCCCAAATTCCAGGAATTCCATGGGAACCCCTAAAATACTGGGAATTGTTACAGCATTTTTGAGAGAAAGAGGGCATGAATTGTGAAACTTGAGCTACTCCAGGCTAGGCCTCAGATTGAGGCCTGGTGGGGCCCTCAAAGCCTCTGACGCAGTTAGAAATTCAGGGTTGTGGCGCAGGTAGAAAATAGTCTTAAAGTACTGTGGGGACCACGGGGGGTGAGCTAGTATAGGTTTTATGGTGTACAGTGCAGGCCGTTTTAAGGAAAAGGTAAACAATGTTAGCCTACCAATCAGAGTGTCTTTGTTTCTGTAAACTATATAGAAGCTTATATAAACTACCGCCTGATTTTGAATAAACGGAGAACGTTGCATTAATCATATTGATTGGATGTGCGTTTGTCTTGTCCAGCTTTCCGTTTTTCTGAGATTCCCTGGCTTTAGGGAATTACATAGAAATCCCCAAAAGTGGGACTTAGGACTCCCCAGATGTCCCAACCTGGGATTCTCAGTTTTTAATGTCCCAAATTGGCATAACAAGTCAATTTTCCAGGAAATTCCTGGATTTTAATGCTTCAGATTGGGATAAAACGCTGATTTTCCAGTGAATTTCTCTTTTTTCCCAGCAAAACCCCATGAATTTCCTGGAAAGTCAACTTTTAATCCCAATTTGAGGCATTATAAAAACGGGGCCCTGGGGGGTTTGGTGGTCCTGGGGAGGATTTGGGGTTCCTGAGGGAATCTGGGAGTTCAGGAGGGTACTGGGGGGGATTTGGGGGGTCCTGGAGGACCTCAAGGGGTCCTGGGTGGGGTTTGGGAGGTCCCAAGGGATCCTGGAAGTTCTAGGATGGCTTTTGGGGAATCCTGGGGAGGATCTGGGGGGTCCTGGAGGGTTCCAGGTGGGGTTTGATGGTGGCCACTGTGCTGCAGATGTGGCACGTGGTGGAGCCGTGTTTGCAGATCCTGCGGGAACTGGAGGGGGATGGGGCTGGCTGGGGTCATGGGGAGGCACTGCCATCATCATGGAACGTTCATGCTCGTGACTGGTCGTTGGCATTGGCATCGTCACAGAACCTTCATGGCCGTGATGGGTCATCGTCGCCCTTGTCAAGGAACGTCTGCGGTCATTAAGGGTCATCATCGTGGAATGTCTCTGATGGTCGTGATTCCATGCGTGGCCTTGATGGGTCTTCACCGTCACTGTCATCATCAAAGATGGGTCCATCCGTGGTCTTCAAGGGTCCATCCATGGTCTCGATGGGTCTTTGCCTTCGTCATCGTCATCATCATGGACCATCTGTGGTTGTGAAGGGTCTTCATTGCCATCGTCAGTGACCATTTGTGCTCATGAAGGGTCATCATCGTTGCAGAATGTCCATGATGGAGATGAGTCCATCCACGGTATTGATGGGTCTTTTGCTTTATCATCATCATCATCAACCACGGACATGAAGGGTCTCCATTGTCATCAAAGGCCAACCATGGACATGAAGGGTCTCCACTGTCATCAAGGGCAGTCCATGGTAGTGAAGGGTCTCCATTGTCATCAAGGGCAGTCCATGGTAGTGAAGGGTCTCCACTGTCATCAAGGGCAGTCCATGGTAGTGAAGGGTCTCCATTGTCATTATTGCCATCACCTGTGGTCCGAATGGGTCATTGCATGCCAACTGTGAAGGAGAAAGATCTTCATCATCCTCCTCTCCCTGCTAGACCTCTGATGTGGCCCTGCGGCTCAGTCACGGGGGAGAAGGACCCTCATCAACGCTGTCATCACGGGGTTCCCACGGCAGTGAGGGGACAATCCATGGTGACATCAGGACCATCCATGGTGACACTAGGACTATCCATGGTGGGGACGGGACAATCCATGGTGACATCAGGACCATCCATGGTGACACTGGGACGGGACAATCCATGGTGACAATATGACAATCCAGAGTGACATTGTGACAATCCATGCTGACAGTGGATCAGTACAGACCAGTATAAATCACTATGGAGCAATATGGACCAGTATGAACCAGTACAAACCAGTATGAACCTGTGCTGGGTCTGTGAGTGACCACTGCAGCTCCCAGATCAGTCTGGGGCTCTGGTCCCAGTTCAGGCTCTGGTCCCAGTTTATGCCAGTTCCCAGTTTAGCCCCTGAACTGGTTTGGAATCACTCCCAGTTCAGTCTGTACTGCTTGGGGTCCAATTCCCAGTTTATCCCAGTTTGTCCTGTACTGGTTGGTGTTGCAGCATTTTTGAGAGAAAGAGGACATGAGTTATGAAATTTGAGCTACTCCAGTCTAGGCCTCAGATTTGGGCCTTGTGAGGCCTTCAAGCCTCTGACGCAGTTAGAAATTCAGAGCTTGTGGCGCAGATAGAAATAGTCTTAAGGTGTGATGGGGACCACTGGGTTGTCTGGGTGTGAATTAGTATAGGTTTTATAGTGTAAGGTGTAGGCAGTTTTAAGGAAAAGGTAAACAATATTAGTTTGCCAATCACAGTGTCTTTGTTTCTGTAAACTATGTGGAAGCTTATATAAACTACCACCTTATCTTGAATAAAGGGAGAACGTTTGATTAACCACATTGGTTCAGATCTGCGTTTGTCTTGTCCAGCTTTCCGTGTTTCTGAGATTCCCTGGCTTTTAGTGGCGCCCGACCAGGGACTCAGGAGGCTCCAAAAAAGCTCCCAAATTACTTTTAGAGGAACGGGGAGCTGAGTTTGAGTCGTGCGACAGAAATTCAGGTCCAAATCGCCTCATGGCGATGGGGCCAGGATCCCAAATTCACTTTTTGTGAACGGGGATCAAGTGGAACGAAGCAGAAGTCTCCAAACTCCGAATTGGGCCGTTTTCCCAACAGGAGGAAAAAGACTCTTCGCATTGTTGTTTGTTTGCGAGAGTCCGTTGGAGCAGTGGGAAGACCCCGGTGTTCATAAGGAACTCGAATGGCGGGTGTGGATGCTGCCGGGGCCGGAAAGCTGGAGGGGGAGTGCTGCCTCGCCAAAGAAAAGCGAGGAAAAGCAACCCGCAGAGGTTGGAGGTAAGCCGCGGAGAGAGAGAGAGGGTGAAAGTTCACCATGGATGGGGATCTGCAGGCTTCCGTGCGGCTTCTCTTTCCTATTCTCTCAAAGAGAGCTGAAAAAATTAAAGAAGCCGATTTAGAGCAGTTGGTCCTGTGGACATGAAACAAAGGCAAGCTGCAAAAGCCTTCGCTGATTTTTAGTGAAGTCGAATGGCAAGAGCTGAGGCAGCTGCTTTGGGACGCAGTGATAGAGGGCGGAAAAGACAAGAAAACACTGCTGGAGCTTGAAGGCATTTGGAAAAAAGTTTTACATACCCTGCAAAGCATGGCCGTGGAGAAAAAAGCAGCAGAAGCTGCAATTCAGGCGTTTGAGCAATCCACATCAGAACAGACAGAAGTTCAGAAGTTATCTCGGGTTGAAAAATTCTTTAATGTTTGTAATATGCAGCCAGTGCAAGGGCAGAAAGCTCCAGTCAGTCCCTTTGTCAGGGATTTGGTCGCTCGTTTGGAGGGAAGCGCAGAGCCAGGAGGCGTGGGGCCGGCCGGCGCGGGACAAAGCAAAAGCGTGACCGCGGCAGGGGCGGGAGTGTGCCCGCAGGCAGCGGATGTTAGCAGCTTGGTGGTTCCATGGAGTAATGTGAACCCGGAAGGGGCCCCGTCGGGTCCCTTGGGAGGCGGGGAGACACCTGAGGAGGCAGGCGGAGTTGGTGACGAAACAGGGCTGAGTCAGGAGGAGGAACTCCGGGGCGGAGATCAAGGCGGAGACCAGGGCGGAGAAGGGAGCGAGGCGGTGCCGGCCCCTCGCCCCCCCGCAGCGGCCGCGGCGGTGGCTGCCGCGGGTGTGTGCAGGCGCAGAGGAGCGGCTCGCCGGTACCCGCCGGCGGCGGCGGCGGTGGCGGCAAACAACCCGGCGCGGCTTGGGGGGGCTGGGCACCACAATACTAGCAGAATGGCAGAAGCAGCAACTCAAACAACAGCAGAACAGAGCCCCGAAACAGCCAGTTCCCACTCCACCACGGTAGCGCTGCACTGCCCACTTCCACCAAGTTCAGACTCTGGCGACTCAAAGCCAGACCTTCCTGTTGTCAATTGTAGCAGGGACAAGCGATCACAGAACAAGATACAAAGACCAAATATGTTACAGAAAAAACTAGTCCACCTTACCACCCTTTCAAATCGTCAGGCTCAACCAGTGGAACCTTCCACTGGACAGCAATTGGCATTGCCAGCAGTTTTAAAAAATCCATTGCAGTCCCAATGGGTGTCAGTTGTGAAGGATGCTCTTTTAGACGGTGACTGGAAAGCTGCCAGCTCCCTGGCTTGTCCTGTTATAGTGTCTAATGGGAATGCCATCTGGGAGCCTCATGAGTGGAAAATCCTACAATCAGCCAAGCAGACAGTCACCACTTATGGGATCAGATCAGAAGCAGCCAGGAACATCATTCACTATATATTCACAGCAGATGTGCTTTGTCCTGGTGATTAATCTAATATTGCATCCCTGCTCCTGACACCTTCCCAGTTTCTCATGTTTGAAAGGGAATGGAGGTGATTGGCAATTGAAGAGGCCAACAAACACACAAATGTGGGGGATCCTTTTTATGGAGTCCAGCCAGATATGCTGACTGGGCAGGGACCATATTCCACCAACCAGGTGCAACTTACCTTTCCCGTTGAAATGCATCAATTGTCACAGCAATTGGCTCATCAAGCTTTGCTTTTGGTACCAGACAAGAAAAAGTCAGCATCCTATGCCACCATAAAGCAAGGAGCCACTGAACCATTTGGACAATTTATTGATAGGCTGTCAGCTGCTTTGAAGGACGCACCTGACGTGCCACCAGACGTTCAGGAACATTTATTCCGATCCCTTGCTTTTGAAAATGCTAACCCACACACAAGAACCATCCTAGCCACCCTTCCTCAGGGCTGTCCAGTCGATGAGATGCTTGTCAGAGCCACACGCGCAGAACAGAGCAACCAAGCTGCAACATTCACAGCAACCATCCAAGATGCCATGCAACAACAAGGACACATGATTGCAGCTGCCTTGTCAGGCAGCAAAGGTAACAACTCACTTCGTCGCAGCAAAAGTCAACCTAATCTTAAATCATCTAAAACCATTTGCTTTCGATGCAGTGGAACAGGCCATCTCCGGCGAGACTGCCAAAAGACTGTGTGGTGCCACAAGTGCAACACTGACAATCATGCCACAGAAGCTTGTCGCAGTTCGGGAAACGGCCAGTGCAGCGTGCGGAGGCACCGCGTGAAAAAATAAATCGATGCCCAGACCCCACAGACTCCAAGAACAGTTTCCTGTTGAACAACTCACCTGCCACCTGGGGAAGTCTTGGAGTCGACGTTGCCACCGCCACAGAAGTCACTCTGAATGACACAAAGGTAACCCTAATTCCTACCAATGTATATGGTCCAATGTACAGCACAACTTCTCTAGTTGGGGGTTTGTTGCTGGGGAGATCCTCCACAAGCAAACAAGGTGTGATCGTGATTCCCGGCGTCATTGACGCAGACTTCACCGGTCAAGTGAAAATAATGGCTCATGCCTTGCAACCACCTGTGACAATTCCCAAAGGAAGCAAGATTGCCCAAATTGTAGCAATTGAAAATTTCTTGCCACATCGTCAGCGCCCAAAAGAACCAACTGATTCTGGAAGACAAGACAATGGCTTTGGATCAACTGGCCACGATGTCTTCTTCACAATTAACCTGAAAGATCATCCGTACAAGAAAGTACAACTGAAACGTGGTTCACACTGTGTTCGATTGGAACCAATGCTTGATACAGGAGCAGATGTCTCAATTATCAATCAGATGTACTGGCCATCCAACTGGCCCTTGCGAGCCCCAAGTTCGCACATTGTAGGAGTGGGTGGAATGAAGATTCCTTCAGTTAGCAGAGATCCCATCAGCATCATCTTTGAAGACAATCAAGTTATTGTGACTTAACCATATGTCATGTCTTTGCCCAAACAGCTTCCAGGATTGATAGGCAGAGATATGCTTTCCCAGCTTGGGATGGTTTTGACCACAGATCAGCATTTTCCGTGATGGCCACTGCGGAGCAGCCGCCCATCCTCAAATTTACCTGGTTGACTGAAACACCCGTCTGGATTGAGCAGTGGCCAATGTCAGAAGAACGGCTGCAAATTGCTGACCAATTAGTACAAGAGCAACTTGAGGCTGGACATGTTCAGCCATCTGTCAGCCCATGGAAACCCCAATTTTCATCATCCCCAAGAAATCAGGAAAATGGAGATTGGTGCATGATTTACGAAAAGTGAATGGGCAAATGCAGGCAATGGGTGCTTTGCAGCCTGGACTGCCGACACCAACCATGATCCCACAGGGGTGGAGCATTGTTGTCATTGATTTAAAGGACTGTTTCTTTACCATTCCTCTTCATCCACAAGATACCCAGCGATTCGCTTTCACTGTGCCACCCATCAACAGAACAACACCAGCAAAATTATATGAATGGGTTTCCCTCCCTCAGGGAATGCGCAATTCTCCAACCATGTGTCAGTTGTTTGTCGATTGGGCCCTGCGGCCAGTTTGTCGACATTTTTCCAGTGCAATGATTTATCACTACATGGATGACATTCTCATTACCACCAAACAGCCATTGGCAGATGCGGACTTGAATTGGCTCTTCTCGCAACTGAAAAAACATGGATTGACAGTGTCCCCAGAAAAAGTACAGCGATCAGCCCCCTGGAAATACTTAGGCTGGCTGATCACAGATTCGCAAATTTGACCCCAGAAACTTACTTTACATGTTGACATTTCTACTTTACATGATGCCCAGAGACTCTTTGGGACCTGCAGTGGGTTTGTACCATTGTAGGAATCACCAACGATGATTTGCAACCATTTTTGCCGTGGCTTCATGGCAGTGATGCCAACAGCCCTCGAGTCTGTACCCCTGAGCAACAAGAAGCTTTGATTCGAGTTTCAGAAAAACTACGATGCGGTTGGAGTGCTCATCGCATTGAACATTTGCCATTGTCACTGTTCCTCTCCAACGCTGATGCTTCTCCGCTTGCCATTGTCTTTCAATGGCAAAAGAAAAAGAGGGAGTCCCAGCGTGGATCAACAGCAATTCTACTTGAGTGGGTGTTTTTACCCGTTCAACCAAGAAGTCATGTGATGGGCAGGACAGATGCTCTTGCTGCATTGATACGAAAAGGCAGAGACAGAATTTTAGAAATGGATGGAAAAGAACCAGCAGACATCAGTGTTCCTGTGAAAAATGAAGATCTGGAATGGCAGCTCAGACACTCTACTGCACTCCAAGAAGCATTGTTAGGTTTCACAGGAGTGGTGCACAACAAACAACCAAAAGGCCCAATGTGGCATTTTGTCAGCCGTTACCAGTGGTTGGAAAGACCCTTGTGTTCATTGAAACCAGTGGAAGGAAGAACAGTTTTTACTGATGCCGGCCGAAGATCAAAAAGAGCTGTGTGCGTTTGGCAACAACGAGGGAAATGGTTGGAACATCTAATCAGAGGTGATGTGGAAGATAGTCTACAAACCCTCGAGTTGAAGGCCGTGTGTTGGGCTTTCCAGACCTGGAACAAGGAACCACTCAACGTTGTCTCAGATTCTTTATATGTAGTTGGAGTTGTGCAGAGAATTGAAGATGCACTCCTCAGAAGAACCCAAAACCAGCGTCTTGGAGAACTGTTCCTGCAGTTGTGGAGCGTGTTGAAGCAGCGCCAGCATGCCTTTTGCATCATGCACATTCGAAGTCATCAATGTAACAGAGGTTTGGGAGAGGGCAACGCATTGGCGGATGCTGCGGTCAGTTATGCAGTCCATGTCCCCCCCCAGAACAGTTTTGAGAGAGCTCGCAACAGTCATGAGACATTCCACCAAAATGCGAGAGCCATGCACCGACAATTTCAGATCCCCATGAGTGATGCACAGGGGATTGTTCGAGCCTGCCCTCAATGTAGTCATTACGGGCCTGGCCTCGGACTTGGTACAAATCCAAAGGGTCTGAAAGCTTTAGAGTTGTGGCAGATGGATGTAACTCATGTTCCCGAGTTTGGGAAGTTGAAATGTGTTCATGTCACTGTAGATACTTATTCTAGATTCATTTGGGCCACAGCACAGACAGGGGAAAAGGCCCTGCATGTGAAGAGGCATTTATTTGCCTGCTTCGCAGTAATGGGTGTACCTGTGGAAATCAAAACTGATAATGCTCCATCTTATGCTAGTCGACAAGTTGCTACATTTATGCAGAAGTGGGGGGTGAAACATACCACAGGGATCCCTCACTCATCTACAGGTCAGGCCATTGTGAAGAGGGCCAACCGTACCCTGAAAGAATACATAGCAAAACAAAAGCAAGGTGATGAAACTGATGTGTTTAACCGATTGTCAAAGGTATTGTTCACTCTAAACTATTTGTGTTTGGCAGAAGGTAAAGAAGAACCTGCAGTCGTGATACACCACCAAACAGTGAAAGAAGGAAGACCGCAAGAATTCCAGGACTTTACGTGTATCACAAAGACATGCAGACGGGTGAATGGCTGGGGCCAAGTCCAGTGTTGTTTATTGGTAGAGGTTATATGTGTGTTTCAACAGGTACTGGTCCAGTCTGGGTACCGAGCAGATTCACCCGTGTGTGTCCACAGGAAAAGATACCAAGCCGCAGTGATAACAACGTCAACGACAACAGTTTGCCTGGAACATCCCGTGATTAATCCGGTTCTGATGAAAATTAATATTGTAGAGTACAGAGAAATAAGTTAAAATATCATAAGTGTGAAGTTAGATTTATCAGAAGTTAGTTTATTAGAAGTTATAGTTTATGTTTAGAATTAAGTTTGTTTCTTTCATGTTAAACAGGGCATTCAAAAACCTGAGAAATATGTGGTGGGCCTCAATGTTTTTATTAAGCAGTGTTTTGGTTCTTGAAGTATCTGGAATCCTTGACATTGACAAGAGAGAAAATATGTGGATCACTTGGGCCAAACAAACCAGGCAAGATTCATTCTGCCTGTCGTTAGCCACACCGTCTAACCCCTTTCGTATTGTTTAATTGGAGTCTCGTTGGGTCCCATGGCAGAGTTCAAAACTTGGACCCGAGCTCAAATAAATCTAAATAGCACTCTGGGAGCGCAAGCTGTTGCATTTGTGCAAAACCTTAAATTTACTGATGACAGTCTTCAAGAATTCGATCTTTTGGGTTCTGTCCCAGGGAATTACTGTTTAATATTTGGATCTTATGCTACCAAACCAACTCAAGAAAATGGAAAATTGACAGATGACGACACTTGGTTGTCTCCCAGATCACCATTGTATTACAACTATTCAGAATATTGTAACAATTCTACTCAATCTGTGACACCGCCAAGAGGTGGTGCAGGAAAACTGCCCCCAGGAACCTTCCTCATTTGTGGGGACCGAGCCTGGTCAGCAGTCCCACAAAATGCTAGGGGAGGCCCATGTTATATCGGTAGGTTGACGCTTTTTGCTCCCACCGTACATCAGGTTCTCGAATTGCCTCAGAAGGCTCAACGAGCCAAACGCAGTGTTCTCCAAATGGACCCTAATTGTAAAGATACAGTGTCATTGTGGGGGCGTGCCTCTGTAGTAGTAGCCTCACTTTTTGCCCCAGGGGTTGCCTCATCAAAAGCGCTCACACAATTGAGAACTCTAGCCTGCTGGACAGGAAAACAAATTAATATCACATCTAAATTGATAAGTGAGCTTGCTGCAGATGTAGACGATACCCATCATGCGGTTCTACAAAACAGAGCTGCAATTGATTTCTTTCTTTTAGCACAAGGACGTGGGTGCGAAGAATTTGAAGGCATGTGCTGCATGAATTTGTCTGACCATTCTCAATCGATTTATAAACAGTTAACGCAATTGAAGGACAACACGAAAAAACTTACCGTAGTGGACACTCCATTTGATAACTGGCTCAATTCTTTAGGTTTTTCTGGCTGGGTCAAAGACTTAATTCGTTTTGGTATTGTACTTTTTTTAATCTTTATAGTTATTTTAATTGTTATACCGTGTTTTTTACAGTGTGTGCAAAAATTAGTTCATCGCGCCTTCACTCCAGCCTGGGTAGCTCAAAAAGAAAAAGAGGGAATTGTTGCAGCATCTTTGAGAGAAAGAGGACATGAGTTATGAAATTTGAGCTACTCCAGTCTAGGCCTCAGATTTGGGCCTTGTGGGCCTTCAAGCCTCTGACGCAGTTAGAAATTCAGAGCTTGTGGTGCAGATAGAAATAGTATTAAGGTTTGATGGGAGGCACTGGGCTGTCTGGGTGTGAATTAGTATAGGTTTTATAGTGTAAGGTGTAGGCAGTTTTAAGGAAAAGGTAAACAATATTAGTTTGCCAATCACAGTGTCTTTGTTTCTGTAAACTATGTGGAAGCTTATATAAACTACCACCTTATCTTGAATAAAGGGAGAACGTTTGATTAACCACATTGGTTCAGATCTGCGTTTGTCTTGTCCAGCTTTCCGTTTTCCTGAGATTCCCTGGCTTTTGGTTGGGGCCCAATTCCCAGTTTAGCCCAGTTTATCCCAGTTCAGTCTGTACTGGTTCAGGCCCAGTTCCCAGTTTATCCCAGTTCAGTCTCTACTGGTTGGGGCTCAGTTCCGCGTTTAGCCCCGCCCCCTGCATGCCCAGCCAATCAACGCTCTCGTCATGAGCACAGCAGCCAATGGCAGCACAGGACGGGCGGGACTTCTGTTACCATGGGAACGTGCAAGCAGTGTCTCCATGGCAACGGGTGAAGGCGCTTCCGGGTTTGGTGTTCCCGCCCTCTGCTGCTCTCACCCAATCAGCGCTCGCGGGGCGGGGCGAAGCAGCCAATGGCGATGCAGAAGGGGCGGGAGCAGCGTTGCCATGGGGACGGCCCGCGTGGTCGCCATGGCAACGGGGGCAGAAAGAGTAGGAAAAGGTTAAAAACGGGAATAAAAACCCGGGATTGGTGTGGGCTGGGAGAGACCGGGGGGCCCTGGGGACAGCAGGGACCCCTTGGGGACAGCGGGACCCCCTAGGGACACTGGGACCCCTCCGGGATGGGCCTGGGGCCTTTGGGGACCTCGACTGACCCTGCCAGGACCCAACGGCCCCTCAGGACCCTGAACTGGGAGGGACTGGGAGGGACTGGGCTGTCCTCAGCGATGTCCCCATTGTCCCCATGTCTGTCCCCAGCTGTACTGGGCGCTGTGGGTGGTATGGGGGACACCCTTGGGACACTTTGGGGGGTGTTGGGGACACCTTCGGGGCACTTTGGGAACAGTTTGGGAGCCCTTGGGGACACTGGGAAGGGTTGAGGACAGTTTGGGGACACTTTGGGAGCTCTTGGGGACACTGGGAAGGGTTGACGACAGTTTGGGGACACTTTGGAGTGTTGGGGACACCTCGGGGACACCTCGGGGGAACTGGGGACATTCCTGGGACATTCCTGGGACATGTGGAGGAATCTCGGGGACACCTGAAGGGCATTGAGGGGGTTGGGGACACCAAGGAACCTCCTTGGGGACATCGGGGACTCTTTGGGGACCCTCTGGTGGTTGTGGGGGCTTTGGGGACATTGGGGGCTGGGCAGGGACAAAGTGACACCGAGCCAGGGCTGGGGCAGAGCCGTGACATCATCACCATCACTGTGACATCATCACCATCACTGTGACGTCATCACCATCATAGTGACATCACCACCACCACAGTGACATCATCTCTGTCCCCACAGTGCCACCGCTCCCTGATGATGTCACCTGTGTCCGCAGTGATGTCACCAGTGTGCCCAGAGGGGCGCTGGCACCGCGGGGTCCCCGATGTCCCCAAGGATGGCGGCACCGAGGGCCTGGAGCTGCGTCACCAGTGGGGCCAGGGACACTGCAGGGACACGTTGGGGACACTTTGGGGACACATCGAGGGAACACTGAAGGCACTGGGGATGTTGAGAGACATCTGGGGACACTCAGGGACACTTTGGGGACACTGAGGGACATCTGGGGACACTTTGGGGACAGTGAAGGGACACCTGGGACACATCTGGGAGCTTTTAGAGGACTTTGGGAAGGACATTTGGGGCCATTGGGGACACTTGGGGACATTTTTAGGGACACTGGGGACACATTGAAGGACACTGAGGGATCCTTTGGGGACATTTAGGGACACTCAGGGACACACTTGGGAACACACTGGGAAATATGTGGGGACATTCAGTGACACTGAGAGGACACTGGGGACATTTGGGACAGGTTTAGGGACACTTTGGGGACACGTCTGGGGACATTGGGGGAACATTTGGGGACACAATTGGGGACACACCCACCTGTGCCTGGGCGTGGCCGGGTCCTGTCCCCGCCCTTGGTGGCCTGGGGGGGACACGAGGGTGACAGCCTGGGGACAGAGCCACCCCCGGTGTCTCCTCGGTGCCACCCTGTCACTTGCTCCGATGTCACCTGTGGGGCCACCGCGCTGGGGACAGAGGGGACACAGAAGGGACAGGGAGGGGACAGAGCCACTGTGTGACCGCCGGGTCAGCGCTGTCCCCAGGGCCACCCCTGATGTCACCTGTGCCACCCCAGTGTTCCCAGGGCCACCCTGGTGGCACTCACCACTGTCCCCAGTGTCCACAATGCCAGACCCCCAGTGTCCCCAGTGCCACCCTGATGTCACCTGTGCCACCCCCAGTGCCCCCAGTGTCACTCACCCGCTGTCCCCAGAGCCACCCCCCAACGTCCCCAGGGCCCCAATGATCCCAGGGCACCCCTGGTGTCCCCTGGGTCACCCTGATGTCCCCAGTGCCACCCCCCGGTGTCACTCACCCGCTGTCCCCCGCTGTCCCCTCTGGCTCCCACTGCCATCGGAGCCGCCCCGAGGCCACCAGCACTGGGGACAGAGGGGACACTGGGACAGGGACGGCGGGTACAGCCACCACACTGTCCTCACAGTGTCCCCAGCCTCTCCTAAGGTGTCCCAAAGTGTCCCCAAGGAATTCCAGGAATGTCCCAACACCCCAAAGTGTCCCCAAAGTGTCCCCAACCCCCCAAACCATTCCCAGTGTCCCCAACAGGCCCAAAGTGTCCCCAGTGTCCCCCCAATGTCCCCAAACTGTCCCAAATGTCCCAAGAATGTCCCCAACTCCCCCAACGTGTCCTCAAGGTGTCCCCAACCCTTTTCAGGTGTCACCAGGTGTCCCAGATTCTCTTTGAACACCTCCAAAGTGTCCCCAAAGTGTCTCCACCACCTGCAATGTCCCCAGTGTGTCCCCCAAATCCCCCAAAAGTGTCCCCAGTCCTCCCCCAATGCCTCCAAAGTGTCCCCAAGGTGTCCCCACCCCCCCCGACTGCCCCCAGACTATCCCCAGAGTGTCCCCAGTCCTGACAAAGTGTCCCCAAGTGTGCCCAGGTGTCCCCAAAGTGTCCCCAGTCCTCCCACAAAGCCTCCAAAGTGTCCCTGCAGTGTCCCAAGTGTCCCTGCAGTGTCCCTCAGTGTCCCCACAGTGTCCCCGCAGTGTCCCCGCAGTGTCCCTCAGTGTCCCCACAGTGTCCCCGCAGTGTCCCTCAGTGTCCCCACAGTGTCCCCGCAGTGTCCCCGCAGTGTCCCTGCAGTGTCCCCAGTGTCACTGACCCCGCAGTTGGTGCTGGGCCTGTCCCAGGCGCTCACTGAGGGTCCCCAGGGCCCCGATGGCCATGGTGACATCGGCCAGGGCCACACCCAGTGTTCCCAGCAGCCTGGGGACAGCAATGGGGACAGACCAGTACAAACCAGTACAAACCAGTAACCCCCAGTGTCCCCAGAAGCCCGGGGGACACCTGGGGGACAGCAATGGGGACATCCTGCTTCATCCCAGTACAAACCAGTTCATCCCAGTTCAGCCCAGTGTCCCCAACAGCCTGGGCACAGCAACGGGGACAGCCCAGTTCCCCCCAGTCCCTCCCAGTTCCCCCCCAGTTCCCTCCCAGTCCCCCCCAGTTCCTTCCCAGTCTCCTCCCCAGTTCCCTCCCAGTCACTCCCAGTCCCCCCCAGTACCCCAACAATTCCCTCCCAGTTGCCCCCAGCCCTCCCCAGTGCCCCCAGTACCGGCTCAGGGCCTGGCCCAGTTTCCCCAGTTCCTCCTCGGCCGCCTCCGCCCGGAGCCGCTCCTGGGACAGGGCCTGGACACGGAACAGCCCCAGATTGTCCCCAGGTGTCCCTCACCTGTGCCAGCTGTGTCCCCAGGTGTGTCCCCAATGTCCCCAGGTGTCCCTCACACCTGTGCCAGGTGTGTCCCCAGGTGTGTCCCCAATGTCCCCAGGTGTCCCCCACCTGTGCCAGGTGTGTCCCCAGGTGTGTCCCCAATGTCCCCAGGTGTCCCCCACCTGTCTCTCCTGCTCCGCCTGGCGCAGCCGCAGCTCCAACAGCGACACCTGGCGGGACCCAGCAGCCACTGCAGCACCCAGGGAGCGCACCTGGGACAAGGGGACATGGGGGGGACACGGGTGACATCCCCGAGGGACACGGGTGACCCAGAGGGTCCCCCCCAGGTATGGGGTTGGTCCCACCTGTGGGGTCTCACTGCCCCAAATGTGGGGTGCCACCATGTCCCCTCCCCTGTCCCACATCCCCTCCCCTGTCCCACGTCCCCTCACCTGTCCCATGTCCCCTCCCCTGTCCCATGTCCCCTCACCTGTCCCATGTCCCCTCACCTGTCCCTGCAGCTGCAGCTCCTGGCCCCGCTGCAGCCTCACCTGCAGCAGCAGCTGGAAAACCTTCTGGCGCCAGCGGCCTAGCAGCACCTGAGAGCCCAAAAACTCACCTGGGGCACCCCAAACTCACCTGGGGAACCCCAAACTCACCTGAGAGCCCAAAAACTCACCTGAGACACCCCAAACACACCTGGGCCATCCCAGGGTGTGTTCCTAACCTCCCCATGTGTATCGCCAATGCCCCCAGGTGTGTCCCCAACGCCCCCAGGTGTGTCCCCAAGTCCCCCCAGGTGTCCCCAGTTGCTCCCAGGGTGGCTCTGGCCCCAAGACAAACCCAGAACACCTGGGACAGGTGAGACTGGGAGGTCACTGGGGGGTTACTGGGAGCACTGGGGGGGTTACTGGGCGCACTGAGAGGTCACTGGGGGGTTACTGGGAGCACTGGGGGGGTTACTGGGAGCACTGAGAGGTCACTGGGGGGTTACTGGGAGCACTGGGGGGGTTACTGGGAGCACTGGAGGGGTTACTGGGAGCACTAGGGGGGTTACTGGGAGCACTGAGGGGGTTACTGGGAGCACTGAGAGGTCACTGGGGGGTTACTGGGAGCACTAGGGGGGTTACTGGGAGCACTGAGGGGGTTACTGGGAGCACTGGGGGGTTACTGGGAGCACTGAGAGGTCACTGGAGGGTTACTGGGAGCACTGGGGGGGTTACTGGGAGCACTGGGAGGTCACTGGGGGGGTACTGGGAGCACTGGGGGGGTTACTGGGAGCACTGAGAGGTCACTGGGTGGTTACTGGGAGCACTGGGGGGGTTACTGGGAGCACTGGGGGGGTTACTGGGAGCACTAGGGGGGTTACTGGGAGCACTGGGGGGGTTACTGGGAGCACTGAGGCCTCACCTGCTCCGGGCTTGGCTCCGCCCCCTCAGGGCCAAGGCCCCGCCCCCTCAGTGTCTCCAGCTCCATCTCCAGGATTTGGCTCCGCCCCTTTTCTGCCTCCAGCTCCGCCTCCAGGCGCTGGCCACGCCCCCTCAGGACACTGAGCTCCGCTGCCAGGACTCGGCTCCGCCCCTTTTCTGCCTCCAGCTCCGCCTCCAGGCATTGGCTCCGCCCCCTCAGCGCTTTCAGCTCTGCCTCCAGTTCTTGGACACGCCCCCTTTCTGCCTCCAGCTCCGCCCCCAGGGACCTGTGAGGAGGACTGGGGTTACTGGGAGCACTGGGCGTTACTGGGAGCACTGGGCGTTACTGGGAGCCTCACCTGGGGCGCAGCACAAAGTGCGAGGGGGGGATGAGCCCCTCCAGACTGGGAGGGTGCAGCTGGGAGCACTGGGGGGCACTGGGAGCACTGGGAGGGCCCGGGCGGGGCTCGGCCATCGGCGACCTGCGGGGGGACAGTTCCCAGTATGGACCAGTATGGACCAGTAGGGAGCAGCATAGCCTGTCCCCAGTCCCAGTAACCTCCCAGTTCCCCCCAGCCACTCCCAGTCACTCCCAGTCCCCCCCAGTCGCCCCCAGTCCCCCCCAGTACCTTCCAGTTCCCCTCCCAGTCTCTCCCGGTTCCCCCGCGCGGTGCACGCCGGGAAGGCGCCCCCGCCGCCGCTTTTCCGCGCTCCCGCCTCAGCCAATCAGAGGCGGTGGCTCCCGGGTCCCGCCACCCCTTCCGACCAATGGGAGGGCGTATCCGGGAGAGGTGGGCGGGGCTGGGAGGGGATCAGGGCATGGAAGGGGAAATGGGATCCTGGAAGGGGAAATGGGCACTTAGGAGGCGTAAATGAGGTCCTGAAAGGGTAAGGGGAGCCTTAGGTCGGGGTTAATGCAGTCCGGACCGGTCCTGGAAGAGCAAATGAGGGTCTGAAAGGGTTCTGAGGGGGAAATGGGATCCTGGCAGGGTAAATCAGGGTCCTGAGGGGCCATTGGGTCTTAGCAGGGTCAGTCAGGGTCCCCGAAGGCCTCATGCCCATCCAGGAAGGGTCCCGCTGTCCCCAGGGGGTCCCTGCTGTCCCCAAGGCCCCTCAGTCTCTCCCAGCCCACACCAATCCCGGGTTTTTTATTCCCTTTTTTAACCTTTTCCCGCCCCAGGCCCGACCGCCCCCGTTGCCATGGCGACCGCTCAGGTCCGTCCCCATGGCAATGCTGCTCCCGCCCTTTCTACATCGCCATTGGCTGTTTCGCCGAGCTCCGCGAGCGCTGATTGGCTGAGAGCGGCCATGGGCGGGAACATGAACCCGGAAGCCTTGGCCTGTTGCCATGGAGACCCCGCTGCGCGTTCCCATGGTAACAGAAGTCCCGCCCGTCCTGTGCTGCCATTGGCTGCTGAGCTCGGGAACGAGAGCGCTGATTGGCTGGGGCAGAAGGGTCCCCAGAAGGGTCCCCGATGTCCCCAAAGAGACCCTTGATGTCCCCAACCCCCGCGTGACCAACGCAGGAGGGTCTCCAATGTCCCCAGGAGGGTCCCTGGTGTCCCTAAAAGGTTTCCCGATGTCCCCGAGGCCACCAGGACCATCCCAGCAGGTCCCCAAAAGGGCCGTTGGTGTCCCCACAGTGTCCCCTGCAGAGTTCCTGATGTCCCCAAAGGCTCTCTGATGTCCCAACCCCCCATGGCCATCCCAGGGGGGTCCCCAGTGTCCCCAAGGGGGTCCCTGGTGTCCCCAAGGGTTCCCACATGTCCCCAGAAGTATCCCCAAATTGCACAGGGGGGTCCTCAATATCCCCATGGGGTCCCCGATGTCCCCAAAGTGTCCCCAAACCCCCCCCAAGGCCACCCCAGGGCTGTCATGGAGGTGTCCCCACTGTCCCCAAACCCCCCCATGTCCTCCCCCGCAAATTTGAGATTTTTGACCCCAAAACCCCCGAACTCCGCTGCCCAAATTCACTTTATTGGGATCCCCCGGCGGCTCCGGGTGCGGGGAGGGCTCGGGGGGGGCTCAGCGACCCCAAAACTGGGGAGGGAACCCTCGGGGGAACTCCGGGGCCGTTTTGGGGAGGAATTTGGGGGTTTTCGGGTGGAATTTGGGTGTTTCTGTGGGGGATTTTTGCTTTTTTCAGTGGGATTTGGGGTTTTTGAGGGGGGATTTGGGGTTTTTTGGGAGGGATTTTTCAGTTCCTGGGAAGGATTTGGGAGTTTTTGGGTGGGCTTTTTTTGGTTTTGGGTGGAATGTGGGGCATTTTGGGGCCGGTTTGGGGTTTTTGGGGTGTTCCCTGGATCTGGGGGGTGTCTGCGCCCACTCCGGGTCCTGGGGGGCTCCTGGGGGGGGTCAAGGGGAGGATCTGGAACCCCAGCATTGGGGTTAGAACCCCCTGAAAGACTCTGGAGGTGTTTGGGGGTTTTTTTGGGTGGATTTGGGTTTTTTGGGGACCGCTTTGGGGTTTCTTTGGGTGTCCCTGAACTTGGGGGGTCCCAAGGGGGATTTTGGGGGGGTCCACGATGGCTCCGGGTCCTGGGGGGATCCGGTGGGGGGCCTGGGATGCCAAAATCAGGGTCAGGAACCTCTGAATGACCCTGGGGCCGTTTTGGGGTTTTTTGGGGTGGATTTGGGGTTTTTTGGAGGGTCCCTGAATTTGGGGCTTTTGGGGGGGGATTTTGGGGGGTTCTCCGTCCACTCCGGGTCCTGGGGGGGCTCGGCGGGGGGGAGGAGCCCCCAAAATGTGGCCAGGCATGGGTTTGGGGTGAGGTACTTTGGGTGGGATTTGGGCGCTTCCGGGGGAGATTTTTTTGCTTCTGGAAGGGATTCGGGGTTTTTTGGGGTGGGTTTGGAGCATTTTGGGTGGGATTCGGGGGTTTCTGTGGGGGATTTTTGCTTCTTTGAGTGGGATTTGGGGTGTCTGGGGGGGGATTTGGGGTTTTTTGGGAGGGATTTTTCTGTTTCTGGGCAGAATTTGGGGGTTTTTGGGTGGGGTGTTTTTGGTTTGGGGTGGGATTTGGGGGTGTCTCGGGGGGCTGCCAGGGGCTCAGCAGGAACGGGGCCAGCTCCAGGCGCTGCTGCAGCACCCCCGAGAGCAGCAGCTCGGCCGAGAGCAGCGGGAGCCGCGCGGCCACGGCCGGGGGCCACAGCCCGCGGTCCTGGGGACACGAGATCACCAGGACACGGGGCTGGGGAAAAACCCCAAAACCACAGTGAGAGACCCCAAATAACCCAGAGAAAAATCCCAAATAACCCACCCAGCCCAGTCCTGGAAACACAAGATCATCAGGACTCCTGGCTGGGGGAAAACCCCATCAGAAACCCCAAATAACCCATCAGAAACCCCCAAATACCCCATGAGGAATCCCAAATACCCCATGAGGAACCCCAAATACCCCAGAGAAAAACCCCAAATACCCTACACAGCCCAGTCCTGGGGACAGGAAATGACCAGCACATCCAGCTGGGCAGAAAAACCCCGTCAGAAACCCAAAAAACACCATCAGGAACCCCAAAACTCCCATCAGGAACCCCAAAAACCCAGAGAGGAGCCCCAAAAACCCCATCAGAAACCCCAAAACCACCATCAGGAACCCAAAAACTCCCATCAGGAACCCCAAAAACCCAGAGAGAAGCCCCAAAAACCCCATCAGAAACCCCAAAAACACCATCAGGAACCCAAAAACTCCCATCAGGAACCCCAAAAACCCAGAGAAGAGCCCCAAAAACCCCATCAGAATCCCCAAAAACACCATCAGGAACCCCAAAACTCCCATCAGGAACCCCAAAAACCCAGAGAGGAGCCCCAAAAACCCCATCAGGAACCCCAAAAACCCAGAGAGGAGCCCCAAACCCCATCAGAAACCCCAAACCCGAATGGGATCCCAGCGGTCCTGGGGACAGTAAAGGACCAGCACCCGAGGCTGCAGGGAAACAGGCTCAGGACCCCAGAAACCCTCTCAGAAGCCCCAAATACCCAAAAGAACCCCAAAAATCCAGTGAGGATCCCCAAATCTCACCCAGCCCGGTCCTGGGGACACGAGATCACCAGGACACGGGGCTGGGGGAAAACGGGGTCAGGGGCCCAAATTCCATCCAAAACCCCAAAAAAAACCCAAAAACACCCAAAGAGAAACCTCAAAAACCACCAAATACCCTAAAAATATCCCCCCAAAAAACCCCAAATGCCCCAAAACCCAGTGAGAAATCCCCAAAGCCCCCAAGAACTGAATGAGAAACCCCAAAACCCAAAAAAATACCCCCAAAACTTTCAAACACCCCAGGAGAAACCCCAGAAACCCCCAATGTCCCCACTGTCCCCAGTGTCCCAATGTCCCCAGTGCCCTCGATGTCCCCACTGTCCCCTCACCGCGTGTTCCCGGGGCAGCTGGGGCAGGAAGGTGCCACCACAGCAGGTGACAATGTCCCGCATGTCCTCGGGGCACGGCTGGACACTGGGGGTGACGTGCACCTGGTACCCCTGGGGACAGAGGGGACATCAGGGGGACAGTGAGGACATCCAGGGGCTTGGGGACATTCTGGGGCTGGGGACATTGAAGGGATCGGGAGATTGGGGGATTGGGGACTCTCAGGGACATTGAGGGTGATGAGGGGACACTGGGGACATTAAGGAGGTTGGGGACATTGGGGACATTGAGGACAGTCAGGGACATTGGGGACATTGCAGAATTGGGGGCTGGGGACATTTGGGGCAATTGGGGGTGGCAGGGGGGACACTGAGGACATCGGGGACACTCAGGGACATTGGGGGACATTGAGATATTGGGGACAGTGGGTGAGTGAGGACAGTGGGAGAGTGGGGACACTGGGGACATTTGGGGACATTAATGTCATTGTCACCTGCAGGAGAGGGTGACACCATGTCCAGGGCTGGCACAGGGATGGTTTAGGTGACATCTGGGGACATTGTCACCTGCAGCAGAGGCTGTTGCTGTGCCTGGGGCTGAGTCAGGGATGGGTTTAGGTGACATTGGGGACATCTGGGGACACTGTCACCTGCAGCAGGGGGTGTTGCTGTGCCTGGGGCTGGGTCAGGGATGGGTTTAGGTGACATTTGGGGACATTGTCACCTGCAGCAGAGGCTGTTGCTGTGCCTGGGGCTGGGTCAGGGATTGGTTTAGGGGACGTTGGGGACATTTGGGGACACTGTCACCTGCAGCAGGGGGTGTTGCTGTGCCTGGGGCTGGGTCAGGGATGGGTTTAGGGGATGTTGGGGACATTTGGGGACACTGTCACCTGCAGCAGGGGCCGCTCCCGGGCCCGGGCCAGCGCTGGGCGCAGCCGGAAGCCAAAGCGCCGCTCACAGGGGGGGTCCCGGGGCAGGAAGGGACCTGGGGACAGCGGGCGGCCAATGTGGGAACTCTGGGGACAACGGGGACACAGGGGTCACACATGGCCACCAGAGCCACCCCAGTGTCCCCAAGGCCACCCCCTTGTCCCCAGAGTCCCTCTGACTGTCCCCAAGTCCTTTCCCTTGACCCCAAGGCCACCCCCAGTCCCCAAGGTTCCAAATACCCCAAGGCCACCCCCACGGTCCCCAAGACCCCTCCCCTTGTCCCCAAGACCATCCCAATGTCCCCAAATCTGCTCCCACTGTCCCTGAGTTCCCCCTGTCCCCAAGGTCACCCCACCTGTCCCTAAAGTCCCCAAGACCAATCCCCCTTGTCACCATGTCCCCAATGTCCCTCTGTCCCCAAGGCCACTCCAGCTGTCCCAAATGTCCCCAAAATCCCCATTGTCCCCAAGGCCAACCAATGTCCCCAAATCCCCCCAAAGTCCCCAGTGCTGCCACCTGTCCCCAGTGTCCCCAAATCCCTCTCCTTGGCCCCACACCCCCCTGACTGTCCCCAGTGTCACCGCAGCAGCCACTGGGAGGTGACAATGGGGACACCCCTGCCCAGTGCACGCAGGAACTCAGTGTCCCAAATGTCCCCAGTCCCCAATGTCCTCCCAATGTCCCTGCTGTCCCCAGTCCCCGCCATGTCCCCGATGTCACCTCTAGCAGCCACTGGGGGGTGACAATGGGGACGCCCCTGCCCAGGGCACACAGGAACTTGAGTGTCCGGCGGATGCCATCGGTCACCAGGTGGCTGCAGTCGTGCACCGACGTGGCCTCGGTGCCACCCAGCGTCCCCAGGGCCACCCGCAGCGCCGGAGAGGCCACCAGGCCCGTGAACAGCACCTGGGGACACATTGGGGACATCCCTGAGTGCCACCAGGCCCGTGAACAGCACCTGGGGACACATTGGGGACATCCCTGAGTGCCACCAGGCCCGTGAACAGCACCTGGGGACACATTGGGGACATCCCTGAGTGCCACCAGGCCCGTGAACAGCACCTGGGGACACATTGGGGACATCCCTGAGTGCCACCAGGCCCGTGAACAGCACCTGGGGACACATTGGGGACATCCCTGAGTGCCACCAGGCCCGTGAACAGCACCTGGGGACACATTGGGGACATCCCTGAGTGCCACCAGGCCCGTGAACAGCACCTGGGGACAGTGGGGACAAGTTTGGGACAGCCCTGGCGGGGTTGGGGACATCGAGGGGGCACTGGGACAGGTTGGGGACACATTCAGGGCATAGTGGGGACAACCCTGAAGGAGTCAGGGACACTCCGGGGACAACCCTGAGGGGCTGGGGACATCGGGACGGGTTTGGGATAGTTTGGGGACACAATGGGGACATCCCTGGGGGACCCGGGATCACACTGGGGACACTGTGGGGACATCCCCAGGTGCCACCACCCCCAGGACCAGCAGCTGGGGACAGTGGGACACTGGGGACACTGTGGGGACATCCCCAGGTGCCACCAGCCCCAGAACAGTGGCTGGGGACACAGCAGGGGAGGGGATGGGGGGACACTGGTCTCTACTGGTCTGTACTGGTCTGTACTGGTCTGTGCTGGTCTGTACTGGTCTGTGCTGGTCTGTACTGGTCTGTACTGGTCTGTGCTGGTCTGTGCTGGTCTGTACTGGTCTGTGCTGGTCTGTACTGGTCTGTGCTGGTCTGTGCTGGTCTGTGCTGGTCTGTGCTGGTCTGTGCTGGTCTGTACTGGTCTGTGCTGGTCTGTGCTGGTCTGTGCTGGTCTGTGCTGGTCTGTACTGGTCTGTACTAGTCTGTGCTGGTCTGTGATGGTCTATGCTGGTCTGTGCTGGTCTGTGCTGGTCTGTGCTGGTCTATGCTGGTCTGTGCTGGTCTGTACTGGTCTGTGCTGGTCTGTGCTGGTCTGTACTGGTCTGTGCTGGTCTGTGCTGGTCTGTGCTGGTCTATGCTGGTCTGTACTGGTCTGTGCTGGTCTGTGCTGGTCTGTGCTGGTCTGTACTGGTCTGTACTGGTCTGTGCTGGTCTATATTGGCCTACATTAGTCTGTACTGGCCGATGCCGCTCCGTACTAGCCCACACTGGTCCATACTGGCCCGTACTGGTCCTTACCCGGATGTGGGCGGAGCCCGGCGCTGCCCGGGGGCGGAGCCTGCGCTTGGCGCCCCCTGCTGGCTCCGCCTCCTCTGGGGGCGGGGCCACCGCCGGGCCCCGCCCACTTCCTTTTATGGACACTGGGGGTGTGGCTTCTTCTGGCCCCGCCCCTGCTCGGCCCCGCCCCCTCTGTGGGTGGGGCTTGGCCGAGGGGCGGGGCTTGGCGCCCCCATCGTGCCTCTTCTGGGTGGGGGCGGGGCCACGAGAGGCTCCGCCCCCTCCGATCTCAGCCAATCGCCGACTGCGTCGCACCTGGGGGAGAGGGGCTGCGATGGGGACCCCAAAATCTAATGGGAACCCCCAAAAAATTCACAGGGAACCCCCCAAAATCCTCCCAGGAACCCTCAAAATCCACCTGCCACCGCAAAACGCCCAAAATTCCACTGGGAACCTACAAAATTCCACCTGGGACCCCCCCGAAAATCACCTGGACCCCCAAAAATTCACCTGAGATCCCCCAAACCACACTGGGTCTCTTAAAATGCACCAGGCACCCTAAAAATGCACCAGGAACCCCGAAGCCCACTTGGGACCTCCCAAAATAAAAAAAAATCCACCTGGAACCCCTCTCCCAAAATCCCTTCGGAGCCCCTAGAATTGACTGGAGACCCCCAAAATCACCTGGGACCCCCCCAAATTCACCTGCAGGGTGGGTGGAGCTTCTGCTTCCTCCTGGGTGGGGCTTGGGGGATCCCCAACATCTGGATTTGGGGGCTCTTGCTCCACATCTGGAATTTGGGATTCCTCCAGGGCCATTTTGGGGCTTTCCAGGCACCCCACAACTGGGTTGGAGGGCAGGAACAGCTGAGTGGCCACATCTGGATCCAGGTCAGGGCTCCCCAGCTCCTCCACATCTGGACTTGGAGTGTCCGCCTCCACATCTGCAATTCTGGGGACTTTCGGGGCCATTTGGGGTCTTCTTGAGGCTGCCACATCTGGATTTGGGTCTGCCTCCTCCACACCTGGATCAGCATCCCCCAGTAACTTCCTGTGGCCTCTCAGTGACGCCTCCACATCTGGATTCGGGCTGTCCATGTCCACATCTGGAACTTCAGGCGGGTTTAGGGGACTTTTGAGTGGTTTTGAGGACCCAATATCTGGACCTGAGGGTCCTTCCCCCTCCACATCTGGATCAGGGGGCAGAAACAGCTGGGTGGCCACATTCAAGTCCTCCTCCCCCTCCACATCTGGATCTGGGTTCTCTGCCCTCACATCAGAAATTTTGGGGTAATTTGAGGCCATTTTGTGTTGTTTTGGACCCAGAACATCTGGATTTGGGCCAACGCCCACACCTGGATGTGGGGGCAGGAACAGCTGCGTGGCCACATCTGGTTCCAAGGAGGGCAGCCCCTCTACATCTGGGATTTTGGGGTCCTTTGGGGCCATTTTGGGGCTTTCTGGGGTCCCAACATCTGGAGAGGGGAGAAACAGCTGGGTGGCTACATCTGGATCTGACTCCTCTCCCTTCTCCACATCTGGAATTTCATGTGGCTTCTGGGTAATTTGGAGTTGTTTTGGGCTCCCAACATCTGGATCCACCTCAGCCTCCTCCCCATCTGGATTTGAGGGCAGGAACAGCTGGGTGGCCACATCTGGATCCCACCCTTCCTCTTCGTCCTCCACATCTGGAGTTTCAGCCACATTTTGGGTCCTTTGGTGCCTCCCAACATCTGGCGTTTCGGGCACATTTTGGGTAATTTTCTGTCTTTTTGAGGGCCAAACATCTGGACAAGCCTCATCCTCCTCCACATCTGTGTCGCTTTCCATCACCAAGGCTACACATCTGGATTCAGTGCCTCCAACAGCTGGATTTGGAGATGGTGTGAGCACATCTGGAGATTCAGGTACATTTGGGGTCATTTTCCGTCTTTTTAAAGGCCGAACATCTGGACCTGTCTCATCCTCCTCCACATCTGTCTCGCTGTCCACCAGCAATGTCCCACAGCCAATTTTTGTGCCTGAAACATCTGGATTTGGCATTTTCAGCCTCACATCTGGGGTTTCAGGCACGTTCGGGGCTGGTTTCAGTCTTTGTAGGGATCCAACATCTGGTTTTTCCTCCTCTTCCACATCTGTGTCGCTGTCGTCCAGCAGCGCCCTGCGCCTCTGGGAGGCCTCCACAGCTGGATTTGGGGGCTGTGTGGGCACATCTGGAGTTTGGAGCATGTTTTGAAGATTTTCCCATCTTTTTGAAGGACAAACATCTGGATTCCCTTCCTCCTCTTCCACATCTGTATCACTCTCCATCAGTAGTGCCTGACATCCATTTTTGGTCACTCCAGCATCTGGATTTGGGGTCTGTGTCACCACATCTGGACTTTCAGGCACATTTTGGGTCATTTCAAGCTTTTTTAGGGTTTCAACATATGGATCCTCCTCCACATCTGTGTCACTGCTGTCCACCAGCATCTGATACCCGATTGTGGGGCCTGAAACATCTGGATTTGGTGTCCCCCATTGCACATCTGGAGTTTCAGGCACATTCTGGGTCATCCTGAGCCTTTTTGGGGGCTGCATATCTGCATCTTCCTCAACATCTGTGTCACTGTCCACCACCAACGTGTGATGACCAATTTTGGGCCTTTCCACAGCTGGATTTGGGGTTTCCACCTCCACACCTGGAATTCTGGACACATTTTGGGTCCTCCTGAGCCTTTTTGGGGGCTGCATATCTGGATTCACTTCATCTTCCACATCTGTATCGCTGTCTACCAGCAGCATGCAGGAATGGAGTTTTGGGCCTGAAACATCAAGATTTGGGGCCGATGCTGCCACATCTGGCGTTTCAGGCACATTTTGGGTCATCCTGAGTTGTTTTGGGGGCTGCACATCTGGATTCTCCTCCTCCCCCTCCACATCTGTGTTGCTGTCCACCAGCATTGTCCAGTGTCCAGTTTTGGGCATTCCCACAGCTGGATTTGGGGTTTCCACCTCCACATCGGGAATTCCAGGCATGTTTTGGGTCACTCTGAGCCTTTTTTGGGGTTGCACATATGGATCCTCTTCCACAACTGTGTCACTGCCCACCACCTGCATCCTACATCGCATTTTTGGGCCTGAAACATCTGGATTTGGGGTCTTCGCTACCACATCTGGAGTTTCTGGAACATTTTGGGTCATTTTCAGTCGTTTTGGGAGCTCCACATCTAGATCAATCTCCTCCTCCTCCTCTACATCTGTGTCACTCTCCACCTGCAGCATCCCACACCCATTTTTAAGCCATGGAACATCTGGATTAGGGATTTTCAGCCCCACATCTGGAGTTTCGGGCACATTTGGGGTAATTTTAAGATGTTTTGGTGGGGCAACATCTGGATTTGGCCCTTCCTCCTCAACATCTGTGTCACTGTCCATCAGCAACATCTGGTGCCCATTTTTGGCCTGCAGCACATCTGTATTTGGAGTTTCTGCTGCCACATCTGGAGCCTCCAAGGTATTTTGGGACACTTTGGGTGTTTTTGGGTCCCCAGCATCTGGATCTGGCCCCTTCCAGACAACATCTAGGGTGTTTCGGGGGCAGGGAAGGTGTTTTTGGGGGTCCTCAACATCTGGGGCCACAGCTGGATCGTCAAGAGCTCTGCAAAAGAGGGGTTGGGGGGGCTTCAGGTGTTTGGGACCACCCAAAATCCCCCAAAGGTCCCAAAAATGACCCAAAGAGCACCAGAAACCTCCAAAAATGCCCCCAAATTGCCCCAAGTACCCCAACCTCTCCCCAGAACCCCCAAAATGACCCAAAACAGCTCCAAACTGTTCCAGGGACCCCCTAGGACTCCCACCTCCCCCAAATACCCTTAAACCACCTCAGTACCCTCCCAAACATCCCCAAATTCTCCAAGGAACCCCCCCAAAATCACCCAGAGACACCCAAGCTGCCCCCAAACGACCCAAACTCTGGCCTGGGACCCCCCAAAAAGACTCAAAACAAACCAGGGACCCCAAAAACTCCCAAAGCTGTGCCCAAGTGACCCAAAATGCCATAAGAATCCCACAAAAATGGACCCAAAATCCAGGGGACTCCCAATCCCCCTTCAGGAACCTCAGATTCTCTCACAGAACACCAAAGCCCTTCAGGAGCCCAAACTCTCTCATGGAACGCCCAGCTCCCCCCACGGAACCGCCACATGTCCCTGAGGAACCCAAACCCCGTTCAGAAACCCCAAATTCCCTCACAGACCCGCCAATCCCTGTCCCGCCCCTCCAATGTCCCTCAGAGAGTCCAAACCTCCCTCAGGAACCCGAAATCCCCTCAGGAACCCCAAGTTTCTCTCCGGAACCTCAAACTGCCAAACCAAGCCCCCAAACTGCCCTCAGGAACCTCCAATCCCCGCCAGAGCCTCTCCCCAGTCTCCCTCAGGAACTCCCCCAAACCGCCCCCGAGGCCCAAAGTCCTCCCCAAGGGCCGCTCCAGCCTCCGCTGAGACCCCCAGATCCCTCCAGCAAAGCCCAGATTCCCCGCGGACCCCAAAGCCCCCCGAATTCCCCCAAATTTCCCTCAGGGCCCCCCAAAAGCGGCCCCGACCCCCCCCCCCGCTCACCCCTCCCGCGGCATCCCGCCGAGCCCCGCCCCCAGCACTCCCATTGGCCTCTCCTTCCGCGCGCCAAAGCCGGTCCGCAATTCCCATTGGCTGCTGTGCGTGTCCATCATCGCCCGACCACAGAGACGGGGCGGGGCGGTCCTCCGGAAGCGCCGGAGCGCCGCTGGGAGGGGCTGAAGAGAGGCTGTAGGCAAATAGGAGAGCAGAGAGCTTGATTGACAACGAGACTGAGCAGTAGAAGGACGGAAAGCGGGCGGTGCCGACCAATGGGAGCCGCGGCTTTGTCCTATATGAGCGCGCGCGGGGCCACGGCTGCCGCCATTTTCACCGCTGTCGCCGTCGCGCCGTTACTCAGTTCTTAAAGGGGCCGCGCCGCCTCTTTACGTTTTTTAATTCAGTTTTCCGAGCGCCTCCGCGCCGTCCGGGTGGGCCCGAACCCCACCGCCAGACTCCGCCGCCATGAGGGAGATCGTCCACATCCAGGCGGGCCAATGCGGCAACCAGATCGGCGCCAAGGTGAGCGCGGCGGGCCCCGCCTGTGTCTGCCGCCGCGGCGGCGTGGCCCCTTTAAGAGCCTCCCCCACCCCCGCGCGCCAAGACAAAGGGTGACCCAAACCGGGGCTATTTTACCCCAAAATCGCCGCTTTCCCGCCGCAGAAGCACCTGTGAGGGAGGGGGCGGTGCTGAGTGGGGCGGATTTGGGGTGAAAATGCGGAGATTTTGTTGCTAAATGAGGATTTGCGGTGCCGAACGCGCGCCCCCCACACGCGGCCGCAAAATGGCGTCTCAGGGCGGCGGCCTCGGACCGCGGCAAATTCGCCTCCAAAATCACCTTTTCTGGCGTGTTTCAAGAAAAAATCATTACTTTTTCCCAGATTAAAGGGCCATTCATAGGTTTGCCTGTGAATGCCGCTTTTTGCCCCAAATCTAGGGGGTCTAGCCGAGGATGGGCGGGGAAGGCGCCAAAATGGCGGCGAATAGTTCGGAAATTAAAGGATTTAACCCCAGAATTAAATTTTTCACAATAATATATCCATAATTAAAACATAATTTGTTTGGGTTTTTTAAACTTCTTACTTTAAATGCCACTTTTCCAGACTGAACTCGGTTGTTTTCACCCCATAATTGCGCTTTTTCGTCCCTAAAATCCGCTATTTTCACTGCAAAACAGTCCAATTTTACTCGAAAATGTGGATTTTTGACCCCCAAACGGGGCGTCACGCCCTGAGGGGTCAGACCTCCAGAATGGGAGGATTCAACCCATAAAAAAGCGGCTTAATATCCATAATAAAGCTTTTTAGTCCCTAAATAACAGCCATGGTCCCATTTTTTTTCTAAAATGAGATTTATTTTTTTTTTAGTCCGCAAAATGAAGCTTTTTAAGCTTCACGATTTTATGACAAGAAAAGTTCTTTTTTTATTCTTTTAATGTGGACTTTGGGTCTTTAAATTGAAATAGTCATTCTTAAAATTAATGTTTTTTCTTCCCTTGAATCAGCTTTCTTTCCTGAAATGCCCTTTTTACCCCTAGAAATGGATAATTTTCTTCTCAAAAAATATTAAAATATTAATTTTTTTAAATTTATGTGACTTTTCTTTCAATGATTAGAGTTTTTTCTGCTGCTGAAATGCAGCTTTTTGGCACCAAAACATTTTTTTTTTTTTTTTTTTTTTTTTTTTCCCCAGCCCCAAAATGGAGCTTCGGAGCTCCAGCTCAGCATCTTTGTTTTACAAAACCGCATTTCGCTCCAAAATCAAAAATTCTATCCCCAAAACAGGGAGTTTTGAAGAGAAAAAAGGCTGGATTTATTTTTTAGAAGCTGATTTTGGGTTAAAATCGGCATTTTCTCCAGCTCGTGGGGAGTTCCAGCCCCAAAATGGAGGTTTCCAGCCCCAAAATGGAGGGTCAGGGAAAGAATCGCAGCTTTGTGCTTCCGAATACGCTTTTTTTTTAACCTCAAAATCACTGCTTTTTCTCCAAATTTAATGGGTTTTATTTAATTTACTTTTTTAAGCACAAAATGGTGATTTATGCACCAAAAAAGCATTGTTTAGGCCTCGGAACTTGCAATTGTTCACATCTGCTTGTCATTTTTGCTGCTTCAAAAATCCCTTCTTTCCCCGAATATATTCAGCCCCAAAACTGCTGCTTTTAGACCCATATTTCATGTTTTTCTTTTTAAAATGTATCTTTTTACCCTTTTCAGCCTCAAATCCATCTCTTTGTGTCTGCAGACTGCATTTCCTGCCCCCTAAGTGAACACTTCAATTTTCAGCCCCGCACTGAAATCTTTGTTCTCCAGAACGCCGCAAATTTGGGTTTTTAACCCCAAAATGCGATTTATTTTTTTTTAGCTCTGAGAAGGAGGTTTCGAACCAAAATTCTGATTTTGAGGCCCAAAAAAGGTTTTTTATTCTACAGATAATATTGGTGTTTAAAAGGTCAAATTTGCTCTCAAAAATGGTTGTTTAGCCCCAAATCTGCATTTTTCCACCCCAAAATTTGCAACTTTTACCTTTAAATATTCTTTTCCCCCATAATCCATATTCCTGTCACTAAACTCGATTTCAATCCCAAACCAGCGGTTTTCTCAAACTTTGTAGTTTTTAACCATGGGTTTCTCAAGGCTCCAAAATGCAGGATATTTTTACCCAAAAAATACTGAATATTCTGAATTAGATATTTTAAACTTATTTTCTTTCTAATTTGCCAAAAATACCCATTTTTACCCCAAATAAAAATTTTTTTTATACCATTTTTCTTACATTCCCTGAAACTGCTCTTTTTTAACCTATTTGTCTCATCACCCCCAAAATCACTTAATTTTTAGCCCATTTTCACTCTCAAACCCTCAAAATGCCCTTTCTCATCTCCAAAATCAGCCTTTTAAAGCCCTTTTTTTTTTTACCTCACATCATTGATTTCTAATGCCCTTTTCTCTCTCATCTCCAAAAATAATAGTTTTAAACCCTTTTTTCTTCTCAGACCCAAAATTGTGGGGTTTAAAGTACATTTTTCCCTCATGCCAAAACTGCCATTTTAATTTAAAATCACCACTTTTTAGCTCTCTTTTTAAATTTACAATCCAAAAATTACCAGTTTTAACCCAAATTAATATTTTAACTCATTTTTTCTCTCCACGTTCCAAAAATACCCATTTTTGCCACATTCCTTGTCTTTAACCCCAAAATTGCCCTTTTTTCACTTCATTTTTCCTCACTCTGTGTTGTTCCCCCCCATGTCCATTTTAACCCCAAATCCCCACATTTGTAGAATCTCACCTTCAAATGCAAAACTTGAAGCCCCCCCAAGGTGAATTTGGGTATAAAAATCCTGATTTGGGTGCAAAAAGCCGGTTTTGGAGGCATTGGTTTGAATTTGAACGTTTGCCGCCATTTCCCGCGTTCCCGCCCTTTTCAGGGGGTGGGACTGCCCTGGCCACGCCCCCTCCCGCACCTCCAAACCACCAGAAAATCCTGAAAATCGCCTTTTTTCCCCCCAAAAAAGGGCCCTGGAGTGGTTTTGGGTTGTAGCTGCACCCTTTTAGGACCTGACCACAGCCTAAATTTATTTTAAAATTTTATTTATTCAAAAATCTCCATTTTTCAACCCAAAACTGGTCCTGGCTGAGGGGGAGCTCTTATGAATCCCACGCCTCACTTGGCCACCCCCCCAAATTCATTTAAATCCCTAAATCCTTTCATTTTTCCCCAAAAACACTGCCTAGGGGAGGTGGGTATGGCGAGGTTTACATCTTGTTCTTCCTATAAGGTACCAAAATCCCCTTTTTTATCCCCAAAATAAATACCAGTTGTTACAAAGTGGGCTTGGCCTGCCTCCCCCACCCCTTTAACCCAGACCATGCCCCCAGTTTCCTTTTAAATCCCTTTTTTTTTTCTTGAAAGCTGGATTTTTTGATGCTTCTCAACTGCCATTTCCTGTCATACAGTCCTAGTTTCTTACACTAAAAGTCCTGTAATTTTTTAGCCCCAAATCCTCATTTTCTTTCACTAAATGAGGTCCCAGGTGTACCAAAGTGGGCAAGGCCCAGCTGCCCTCATCCCTCATTGAGCTCCACCCCCTTTAATCCCAGTCATGCATCCAAGCCCCATTTCCCACCCTAAAATCCCTATCTTTAGCCCCAAAATCCCCTTTTTTTTGCCCCAAAACCCTGTTTTTTCCAAAATGACATCTGAGGTGGATGTGGCCCACCTGACTGCACCCCGCTTAAGCCCCACCCCTTTGGCTTCTAGGCATGCCCGTTCCCACCTTAAAATTACCAAATTTTTTTCCCCAAAATTGAATCTGGCCCCATCCCTCCTTATGCCCCACCTCTTTAACCCCCAGACTCCCATTTCTCACCTCAAAATCCCCATTGTTGCCCTTTAAATCCCAATTTTTTCTCCAAATCCTCTTTTTTCCCCCAAAACCAGGTCCCAGTTGTCACAAAGTGGGTGTGGCCCAGCTGGTCCCACCCCTTTAACTGCTGCCTACACCCCCAACCCCCTTTTCCCCTTAAAATCTCCATTTTCCCTCCCAAAACCTCTGGGTGTTTTTTCCCTAAATCCCTGTTTTTTGCCCCAAACCCGCTCTTGGGCTGTCCCTGAGCTGTCCCCAAGCTGTCCCCTTGTCCCCACAGTTCTGGGAGGTGATCAGTGATGAGCACGGCATCGACCCCACGGGCACCTACCATGGGGACAGCGACCTGCAGCTGGACCGCATCAGCGTCTACTACAACGAGGCCACAGGTGGGGACACCTGGGGACGGCTGGTGGCACTTGGGGACAGCTGCCACAGCCCCCCAGGGCTCCTCTGCCCTTCTCCCCCTCATTGTGTGGTGGGTGGCACCTGGTGGCTTTTGTCATCTCCCCAGTGTCACTTTCCTTTGTTACCTCTTTGTGCTGTCACTTTGTCACTTACAGTGTCACCTCATCACTCCCGCAGTGTTTTTTTTGTCACCCCCCCATGTCACCTCATCCTCCCCATTGTCACCTTGTCTCCAGTGTCACCCCTCCCAATGATGCTTTCCTGTCCATTGTCACTTTGTCATCTCTATGTCACTGTGTCCCCATGGTTCCCCCTCAGTGTCACCTTTGTCTGTCCTGCTGTCACCTCCCAGTGTCACCTTGTCCTTGTCTGTGCCCTGTATCACTTTATCTCCCGTATTCCTGGGTGCCACCCCCTCCTTTGTCACGCCAATGGGGTCACTTTGTCCTGTCACCTCCCAGTGTCACTTGTCCACTGTCACCTTACAGTGTCATCCTGTCCCCTGTCACCATCAATCCTGGGGATGCCCTGGTGTCACCTGTCCATTGCCACCTCCTGTGTCATCCTGTGACCCCCCTGGTGTCACCTCCCAGTGTCACCCCCAATTTTCTGACACCCCTCAGTGTCGCTGCATCCTGTCCCTTCCCAGTGTCACCCTGTTCTGTCACCCCCATCTTGTCCCAGTGTGCCTCCACTGTCACCTGTCCATTGTCACCCCCCATGTCACTTGTCCCCCAGGCCCCCATCCTGTTCCTGATGTCCTCCCCAGTGCCACCTGTCCGTTGTCATTTTGTCCCCTTTGTGTCCCCGTGTCCCGTTCTGGGCTGCTCCAGAGGAGTTTTTGGGGTGGCTTTGAGGAATTCTGTGTGAATTTGACACTTCTGGGGTTATTGGGGAGTTTTGGGGTGCACTGGGACATTTGGAGTTGGTTTGGGATTCATTTGGGGATTTGGGAGGATTTGGGGTGTTTTGGGATGTTTTAGGTCATTAGAGCTGGTTTTGGGGTGAATTGAGACCTTTTGGGCAGAATTAGGGAGGTTTTGGGTGTTTTAGGTTATTTGGGGTGAATTTGGGGCATTCTGTGGATGCTTTAGGGTTGACATTTGGGGGGCTCTGGATTGGTTTTAGATCATTTCAGGGTGGCTTCTGGGGCAATTTTGTGTATTTTTGAGAGATTTTGGGTATTGCAGGGTTGGTAAAAAGTGGGTTTGAGGTGACTAAATGATTTTGGGATGATTTTAAGAATTTTTTAGTAATTTGGGGTGTTCTGGGGTTCATTTTGGGTGGGTTTGGAGCGATTTTTGGGGTGATCTTTTCTGGGGTTTGGGTGATTTGGGGTATAGTTTGGGTGGGTTTGGGGTTGATTCCAGGTGATCTGGGGTAGTTTAATGAATGCCCTGTCTGGGATGGTTTTGGGGTGATTGTGTGTGTTTTGGGGCGATTTCAGGTATTTATGGGATAATTCTGCGTGGTTTGGGGGTGATTTTGGCTTTTTTATGGGGTTGATTTTTGGTGTAATTCCAGGTATTTTGGGGTGATTTGAGACATGTCTCGTGTTTCTGGGGAGATTCTGGCTATTTTGGTGTCCTTTGGGGTGGCTTGGGATATTTTGGGAGGTATTTTGGGTTTTTCTGGGGCAATTTTTTGTATTTCTGGGTTAACTCTGAGCGTTTTGGGGGCAATTCTGCGTGGTTTGGGGTCATTTTGATGGTTTTGAGGTAAATGCAGGTGTTTGGAGGAATTCTGGGCCGTTTTGGGTTGTTTCTGGGTGGTTTTTGGGGGCAATTCCGGGTGTTTCTGGGGTAATTCCAGGTGGTTTGGGGATGATTTGGAGCAGTTTTGGGGTAATTCTGGGTGGGTTTGGGGTAATTCCAGGTGTTTATTAGGGTGATTTGGGTGCTTTTGGGGTGAGTCTCCTGGTTTTGGGTTAAATTCTCTGGGTTTTGGTCACTCCCCAGGGGGTAGATCCATTCCCAGGGCCATGCTGGTGGTTTTGGGGTGAATTTATTTCCCTGTTTTTGGTCCCTCCCAGGGGGTAAATACGTGCCCAGGGCCATCCTGGTGGACCTGGAGCCTGGCACCATGGACTCGGTGCGCTCCGGCCCCTTCGGGCAGATCTTCCGGCCCGACAACTTCGTCTTCGGTGAGTGACACCCCTGGGACATGCCTGGGGACACCTGGGATATACCTGGAGACATCTGGGACACTTGGGAGCTCCTGGGACACCTGGGGGCACCTTGGGCATGCCTGGGGACACCTGGGGGCACACCTGGGGATACAACTGAGACACTCCTGGGCACACTTGGGGACATCTGGGACACACCTTGGGCATGCTTGAGGACATTTGGGATGCACCTGGAGACATCTGGGGGCTCCTGGGGACATTGGAACACACTTGGGGACACTTGGGACACATCTGGGGGCTCCTGAGGGACATCTGGGGATGGTCGAGACACCTGGGGACATTTTGGGACATGCCTGGCGGTCTTGGGAACATCAGGGATACCTGAAGGCTCGAGGGCATTTAAGGACACCTGGGGGCTGCTGAGGGACATTGGGGACACCTCTGGGTATTTGGGAAACACATGGGGACACCTGGGGACTGTCAGGGACATCAGGTTCATTTCAGGACACTTGAGGACACGCAGCAATAATTGGGGTAGCTGGGGACATTTAGGACGTGTAGGAAACACCTGGGACAGTGGTGGTGGCCTCGATGGATGGCAGGACCCCAAAGGGGAGATCAAGGTCCCCAGGTGTCCCCAGGGTGGAGTTGGAGGTCCTAAGGGTGGCATGAAGGTCTCCAAGTGTCCCCGTAAAAGATAAAGGTTAAAGGTCCCCAAAGTGAGATGACAATCTGCAGGTGTCCCCCCAAAGTGGGTGTGAAGGTTCTCAGGTGTCCCAAGAGTGGGGCTGAAGGTCCTACAGAGAGAGCTGAGGATCCCGAAGTTGTCCCCAGGGTAGAGTTGAGCAGTCCCCAAGGGTGGCATGAAAGTCCCCAAGTGCTCTTCAAGGCTGAATTTAAAGAGCCACAGGTGTCCCCAAGGTTGGGGTAAAAGTCCCCAAGATCCCTAAAGATGGGTTTGAGAGTCCCCAACTGTCCCCAAGGTGGAGTTAAGGTTCCTGAGGATCTCCAAGGTGGGCTTGGAGGTCCCCAACGTGGGGCCCGAATGTCCCTGAGGTCCCCAAGGGTGGGAGGAAGGTCCCAAAGGTGGTGAAGAATTGCCCTACGTCACCAGAAATGCTTTGAAGGTCCTCAGAAATGTTTGAGGGGTCCCCAAGTTTTGCAGCATTATTATTAAGATCTCCAAAAGTGATTAAAGGTTTTTCAAGATTCCCAAAAAAACGTTTTGAGGGTCTTCAAGGACCTCAGCATTGGTTTGAGGGTCTCCAGATGTAGTTTGATGGTCTCCAAAGTCACCTCGATGACCCCAACCCAGCCCATCCGTGTCTCCCACTGGCCAAGGGTCACCACAGGAAGGGGCTGAGCTTGGGGGGTCAGGGGTCCTCAGAGGTGCCTCAAAAGTCCCCAAAGATGGTTTGAAGGTCCCCAAAGTGGCTTGAGCATTCTCAAGGTGGGAAGGAGGTGCTTACCATCCCCAAAGGTGATTCAAGGGTTCTCAAGGTCATCAGGGTTGGGTTGAGGGTCCCCAAAGATGCTTTGAAGGTCCCTAAGGTCCCCAAAGATGTTCTGAGGGTCTCCAGAAAAGTTTTGAGGGTCCCCAAGATGGTCAAGTCCAGTTCAGAGGTTCTCAAAGATGATTTTGAGGCTTCCCAAGGTGGTTTTAAGGTTCTTGAAAATCTTAAAAGATGGTTTAAAGGTCTCCAAAGGTGTGGTGTAAAGGTTCTCAAAAGAGGTTTGAAGACCCCAACCCAACCCTTCCACCCCTTTTCCAGGCCAAAGCGGTGCCGGCAACAACTGGGCCAAGGGTCACTACACGGAGGGCGCCGAGCTGGTGGACTCGGTGCTGGACGTGGTGCGCAAGGAGGCCGAGAGCTGCGACTGCCTGCAGGGCTTCCAGCTGACCCATTCCCTGGGCGGCGGCACCGGCTCGGGCATGGGCACGCTGCTGATCTCCAAGATCCGCGAGGAGTACCCCGACCGCATCATGAACACCTTCAGCGTGGTGCCCTCCCCCAAGGTGTCGGACACGGTGGTGGAGCCCTACAACGCCACGCTGTCCGTGCACCAGCTGGTGGAGAACACGGACGAGACCTACTGCATCGACAACGAGGCGCTCTACGACATCTGCTTCCGCACCCTCAAGCTGACCACGCCCACCTACGGCGACCTCAACCACCTGGTGTCGGCCACCATGAGCGGCGTCACCACCTGCCTGCGCTTCCCCGGCCAGCTCAACGCCGACCTGCGCAAGCTGGCCGTCAACATGGTGCCCTTCCCGCGGCTGCACTTCTTCATGCCCGGCTTCGCGCCGCTGACCTCGCGGGGCAGCCAGCAGTACCGCGCCCTCACCGTGCCCGAGCTCACCCAGCAGGTCTTCGACGCCAAGAACATGATGGCCGCCTGCGACCCGCGGCACGGCCGCTACCTCACCGTGGCCGCCGTCTTCCGCGGGCGCATGTCCATGAAGGAGGTGGACGAGCAGATGCTGAACGTGCAGAACAAGAACAGCTCCTACTTCGTGGAGTGGATCCCCAACAACGTGAAGACGGCCGTGTGCGACATCCCGCCGCGCGGCCTCAAGATGGCCGTCACCTTCATCGGGAACAGCACGGCCATCCAGGAGCTCTTCAAGCGCATCTCGGAGCAGTTCACGGCCATGTTCCGGCGCAAGGCCTTCCTGCACTGGTACACGGGCGAGGGCATGGACGAGATGGAGTTCACCGAGGCCGAGAGCAACATGAACGACCTGGTGTCCGAGTACCAGCAGTACCAGGATGCCACGGCCGAGGAGGAGGAGGATTTCGGCGAGGAGGCTGAAGAGGAGGCCTGAGGGGTTTCTCCAGAGGTTGTGGTCCTCGGCAGTGTTGCTCTTCCCCTTCCCGGTGTGTTGTCCCAGAGAGGCGTCAACTGGTGGGCGGCGCCTTCAGTTTCCTCATCATTGTCCTTCATCGTCAGTGTTGGCCCTGGTCATCAGCGGCAGCGGAGTCCCCACCCGACCTTCAGCGTTGTCCTCACAGTCCCCAGGCTTCACCATCTTAAAGAGTCTCCAACCTTCATCATCATCAGTGAGTCCTTGGCCTTTTGTCACCCTTGGAGAGTGTCCAATCTTGATTATGGTCAGACCTTCCAACTTCTGTCATCTTCATTCCTGAGGAGTTCCCAATTTTCATCAGCATTGAAGAGTTCCTAACCTTCATCATCATCTTCGAAGAGTTCCCAGCCTTCAGCGTTGTCCTCACAGTCCCCAGCCTTCATCATGGTCATTCTCAAAGAATCCCCAGTCCTCATCATCATTGAAGAGTCTCCAATCCTGATGATTGTCAGAGCTTCCAACTTCCATGATCGTTGAAGGATCCCCGAGGTTCATCATTGTCAAGGAGTCTCCAGCCTTCATCTTCCTCGAGTTCCCAGAGTTCATCATCATCCTCCTCACAGAGCCTCCAGGAGCTCCTGGCCTTCATCATGGTCCTTGCAGAGTCTTCAGTCTTCATCACTCTCAGCCCTTGGTCTTCATCAGGGCTAGTCACTTGGCCTTGACCTTCATCATCCTCATCATGGAAGAGCTTCAGAGATCCCTTGGCCTTCATCATGGTCCGTGAAAAACCCTCGATCTTCATCGTCTTCATCATGGAAGAGCCTCCAAGAGTTTTTGACCTTAACTCTCATCATGGACGAGTTGCTGACCATCATCATCATCGACACCTCTGCCCCTCCCCCACTCCCACCACAGCCTCCTGTCCCCTCTCCTGCCCCACTCTGGTTCCATTTTCCCCATTTTTTTTGTAATTTTTCCCAATTTCTGTCAGTTTTTCCCAATTTTTTTTGTTATTTTCCATCTTTTTTGTCATTTTCCCCTTTTTTGATTAATTTTCCTCCTTTTTCCCCATTTGTCTTAATTTTCATCCATTTTTCCTCATTTTTGGTCAGTTTCCCTCATTTTTAGTATTTTTTTGCATTTTTCCTCTTTTATTTCCCAGTTTTGGTCGCTCTCAGCCCAATTCCATTCCTTTTTCCCTACTTTTGGGTCCTTTCTCCCAGTTTTTACTTGATTTTTCCCTATTTTTACTCAGTCGTTTTATTACCCATTTTTCCTTATTTTGGGTTCATATTTCTCAATTTTTATGATTTTTTTTCCCCATTTTTTTGTTCATTTTTACCCATTTCTGTCCCTTTTTCCTGATTCCGTCGCCGTTCCGGTGTCCGGTCGCTCTCTCCCATTTTTGGATGTTTTTGTTTTTTTCCCTTTCTTTTGTTTTTCATATTGAAAAGTCGCCCCCGGGTCCGGAATAAACTCGGGATGGAAAAGCCACTGCGGGTGTCACCTGTGTCACTCTGGGGTCACCTGAGGGTCCCCAATGTCACCTGCAGCGTCCTGGGGTCACTTTAAGGTCACCTGGGGGTTCCCTGTGTCCCCTCCTGAGGGTCCCCAGTGTCACCTGGGTGTCACCGGGGTCACCTGAGGCATTCCAGTGTCACCTGGAAGGTCCTAGTGTCACTTCAGGGTCACCTGCATGTCCCCATGTCCCTCCTGGAGGTCTCTGTGTCACCTGGAGGGTCTCACTGTCACCTTTGGGGTCACTGGGAGGGGTTTGGTGTCACCTTAGGGTCACCTGGGAAGTCCAGGGGTCACTTTGACATCACCTGGGGGGGCTCTCAGTGTCACTTCAGGGTCACCTGGGGGTCCCCATGTCTATCTTGGAAGTCCCTGTGTCACCTGGAGGGTCTCACTGTCACCTGGGGTATCCCCATGTCCCCAGCTGAGGGTCTCCAGTTGTCACCTCTGTCACCTGGAGGTCCCAGTGTCACCTGGAAAAGGTTTTGGTCACCTTGGAGGTCCCCATGGCTCCCCTGCCCCCCAAGGGTCCCCCCCAAAGTCACCTGTGTCCCTCTTTAGGGTCCCTGTTGTCACCTGGGGTCACTCAGGGGTCTCTGTGTCCCCTTCAGTGCCCCCCTGATGTCCCCAGGGTGTCCCCATGTCCCTTCGGGGTTCCCCAATCCCCCCTCGGTGGCTCCAGCAGTGACAGCACAGGGACATCACTGGCTGGGGACACCTGGGACAAGGTGGCACTTTCAGGGTATGGGGACACACTTGGGACATGGTGAAAGGGAAGATGGTGGCTCTTCGGGGACACAGTGGCACCTTGGGGACACTGCAGGGGTGGTTGCATTTAAAGGACACAGGGACACTGCTGTGGTGGCACCTTGGGGACATTTTATTGACATGGTGACGCTGGGGGTAGTGACACTTCGGGGACACTGAAGTTGGTGACAGGACACACTTTACTGACATGGCACTGCAGTGGTGGCACTTTGGGGACACTTGGGACAGGATGACACTGCAGTGATGGCACTCTGGGGACACTGAGGACACAGAGGTACTGGTGGCACTTTGGGGACACTTTAAGAACATGGTGACATTTGGGGTTGCCACTTGTGGGACATTGCAGGGGTGGAAACCTTGGGGACATGTCGGGGACGTGACATTTGGGCATGGCACTTCAGGGACAAAGTGACACCAGAGGGTGGTGACACTTCCAGGACACTTTGGAGATAAGGTGGCAACTTGGGGACAGTGACACCACAGGGACACTTAGGGGACATGATGACATTGGGGCTGGCACTTCGGGGACACTGGGGACATGCTGACACCACAGCAGTGGCACTTTGGGGACATGCAAGGCATGGTGGCACTTTGGGGACAGAGGGACTTGGGGACCGGTGGCACCTTAGGGACCTCAGGAGCCACTGGTGGCACTTTGGGGATGCAGCAGGGTCCCAGTGGCTCTGGGGGGGTGGTGGCACTTTGGGACACTTTGGGGACACTTTGCGGTCACTGGGGGGTGGCACTCAGGGACGCTCTGGGGGCATTTGGGGACACTTTGGGGACATTCGGGGATGTTTCAGTGGCTCTGGTGCCACCCTCTGGCTCCATTGGGGTCACCTGAGGGGACAAAGTGGGGACAGGGGGGACCTGGGGGTGTCACCTCTCGCCAGGGGACCCCAAATGTCTCCAGAATCCCCAAAGTTCAGCCCAAATCTCACCTGAGACCCCCAAACCCATCCAGGGTCCCCCAGAATCCCCCGTGGGACCCCCAAAAATCCCCCAGACCCACCCTAAAATCCACCCGGGACCCCCCCAGATACCCTCAGGGACCCTCCCTGACCCATCCAGGATCCCCCAAAATCCCCCCAGATTCGCCCCAAAATCCATCTGGGACCCCCAGACCTCACCTGGGACCTCCAAAATCCCCCCTGGGCCCCCACAGATCCTCAAAATTCACCCTCAAATCCATTGGGGACCCCCCAAAATCCACTCAGAGACCCCAGTTTCCCCCTGGGACCCCCAAATTCACCCCAAATTCCATCTGGGACCTCCCAAAATTACTCTGGGATTCTCCAGACTCACCTGGGATTCCCCAAACCCCATCAAGAACCACCCAAAATCACCCAAATTCACCCAAAAATCATCCAAAATTCACCTGGGGTGCTCCAAACTCCACTTGGGAACCCCAAATTCACCCCCAAACCCCCTGAATCCCCTGCGCTCACCTGGGAACCCCAGACTCCCCCTGGGACCCCAAAACCCCCAAATCCCCCCAAAGCTCACCTGGGCAGCCTAAAATCCTCCACATTCACCCCAAAATCCCCCTGGGACCCCCCTCAAATCCCCCAAACTCCCCCCAGCTCACCTGGGAGCCCCTGGCCAGCGCCCCCACGGCCCCCGGCAGCCGCGTGACCAAGTCCAGGATTTCCGAGGGGATTTTGGCCACCCCGACGGCCCCGGAGCTGCCCACGAGCGTCACCCGGCGCGTCCCCAGCAGCGGCTGCGCCACTGCCTCGGCCACCTGTCCCCAGCCGGGATCCCAAATCAGCCCCAAACGGGATCCCAAATCAGCCCCAAACGGGATCCCAAATCAGCCCCAAACTGGGATCCCAAATCAGCCCCCAGCCGGGGATCCCAAATCAGCCCCCAACCGGGGATCCCCAAAATCAGCCCCAAATCAGGGATCCCAAACTGGGGATCCCCAAATCAGCCCCAAACCACCCCCACATCAGCCCCCAACCGGGATCCAAAATCAGGGATCCCCAAAATCAGGGATCTCCAAATCAGCCCCAAAATCAGCCCCAAGTCAAGGATCCCCACATCAGCCCCCAACCAGGATCCCCAAAATGTCCCCAAGTGTCCCCAAAACATCTCCAAAGTATCCCCAAATGTCCCCAGAATATCCACAAAGTGTCCCCAGTGTCTCCAAGTGTCCCCGAAATGTCCCCAAAGTGTCCCTAGGTGTCCGCAAAACATTCCAGAAGTATCCCCAAATGTCCCCACGTGTCTCCAAAACATCCTTAAAGTGTACCCAAGTGTCCCCAAAACATCCCCAAAGTGTCCCCAAGTATCCCCAAGACATTAACATTTTCAAAGTGTCCACAGGTGTCCCCAAACCATCCTGAAAATGTCCCCAGATGTCCCCAGGTGTCCCCAGAGTGTTCCCAAAATGTCCCCAAGTGTCCCCAAAACATGCCCAGGTGTCCCCAAAACACTCCCAAGTGTCCCCAGAGTCCCCAGATGTCCCCGCTGTCCCCACCTGGGGCAGTCTCTGCAGCACCAGATCCACCACGGCCGCGTCCTGGAACTGCCCGAAGGCCTCGGCCTTGGCTGCAGCTGCTGCGGCCTCGGCGCGGGCACGAGAGGCCACGGCTGCGGCACGGGCAGCGCCCGTCACCTGCGGGAACGCAACACGGGGTGGGGACGTCGGAAATGGGATTGGGGACATGAAACGGGACTGGGGACATTGATGGTGATCAGGGACACAAAGCAGGATTTGGAACCCAGGAATGGGCACCAGAGGCCATGGCCATGGCACGGGCAATGCCCGTCACCAGCAGAGACGCAAAACAGGATGGGGACATCGGAAATGGGATTGGGGACATGAAACGGGATTGGGACATCAGAAATGGGATTGGGGACATTGACAAAAAGAGTGGGGACACTGAGAGAGGACTGGGGACACGAAATGGGGACAGAACCCCCAAAAATGGGATCAGGAATCTGACACGGGATTGGGAACCCACGTGCAGGAACGGGAGGCCACGGCATGGGCAGCACCCGTCACCTGCAGGGACACCAACATGGGATCAGGGACATCGGAAATGGGACTGGGGACATGAAACAGGATTGGGGACATCAACATGGGATCAGGGACCCAAACTGGGGACTGAACCCCCAAAAACGGGATCAGGAACCCCAAAACAGGATCGGGACCCAAATCAGGATCAGGGACCCAGCACGGGATTGGGAACACGAAATGGGATCAAGAACCCAAAATGGGACTGGGGACACCAACACAGGATTGGGGACCCTAAACAGGACGGGGGACATCGGGAATGGGATCAGGGACCAGGAACAGAATCAGGGACACCAACACAGGATCAGGGACCCAAAACGGGATCAAGAACCCAGGAACAGGATTGGGGACACTGGAAATGGGATCGGAGACACCAACACGGGATCAGGGACATTGCAAACAGCGTCAGGAATTCAAAATGGCATCAGGGACATGAAATGGGATTGGGGACCCCAAAACAGGATAGGGGCCCTGGAAAGGGGTGGCAGGACCCCTGAAGAAGGGATCGAGAACCCCAAAAATGGGATTGGGACCCCAAAATGGGATCCGGACCCCCTGAAATTCTGGAAGAGCCAAAAATTCCTCAGAGAACAAAAAAATTCCCAGATTTGGGACCACAAAATGCAACTGGAACCCCCAAAATTCCCTGAGGACCCCCAGACCTCACCTGGGATCCCCAAACCCCTCCGGGCCCCCCAGACTCACCTTGAGGCTCTCAGCCTCCGCCTCTGCCTGCAGCAGCACCTGCGTCCTGTAGAGGGCGCCAAGTCAGGGGGTGGGGCTGCTCTTAAAGGGGCAATGCCACTCTTAAAGGGGCAACGGTGAACTATGACTGGGCCCACCAGAGTAGGGTGTGGCTTACTTGAAAGGGGCGTGGCTTATGTTAAAGGAGCAATTGTGGGTCTTAAAAGGGCAATGGAAGCATGCAGGTGGGACAATGTGTCTCTTAAAGGGGTCATGGCAAAAAAACGGGCTGGTGGGGCCCACCAAGGTTTGGTGGTGGCTGACTGGGAGGGGTGTGGCTTCCCTTAAAAGGGCCACAGCTTTACCAAAGGTGGTGTGACCCACCACAGTGAGGGTGTGGCTTCCCCTTAAAGCAATATCACCTCTCTTAAAAGGGCAACAGCTCGTCCCAGACTGGTGGAACCAACCAAAACACCACCACTGCTGACTGGAAGTGGGTGTGGCTCCTTCTTAAAGGGGCAATGGCTTCACCTTTAAGGAGGGACCCACCAGGAATAGGACTCACTGTAACAAGTAGGGCTTCTCTTAAATGGCTTCAACTTTACTGGGGGGTGTGACTCCCTTTAATGGGCAGGGCTTCTCTTAAAGGAGCAATGACTCCACTCAAACTGGTGGGACCCACCACAGTGAGGGTGTTATTTCTTAAAAGGGCAACACTTCTCTTAAAAGGGCAAGGCATGGGACCCCCCTCCCCCCCAAACACCACCATGGAGGGGCATGGCTGCCCTTAAAAGGGCAGTGGTGTCTCACCGCTGTGCCTCGGCCAGCCGCTCCAGCCGGTAGCGCTCGGCCTCGGCCGGTTTGCGCACGGTGGCCTCGAGCTCCTGGCGGCGCCGCCCGACCTCCTGCTCCTGCAGCTGCACCCGCTGCGCCCGCTCCACCAGCGCCACCTCCCCGCGCTGGGCCGCGATGGCCTGCTGGGAACGGGCTGCCTGCGGGGGACACGGGGACAGGGGAGAAGGGGACAGGTCACCAATCCGCCCACGGAGGGACACAGGGACAGGGCACACCGGGTACAGGTCAAAAACCCTTCAGGGGAGGGACACAGGGACAGGTGACAACATGCAGATGCTCAGGTGTTTCTAGGGAGAGATCAGGTGACTTGGAAGGATCCCAGGTGACCCAAGAGACCCGAATTTGGGAGGAAACCCCAGGATTTGGAAGTTCCCAGTGTTCTGGAGGGGTCCCAGGTGCTCCAGGTGAGTTCCCAGGTCCCATTCCAGCCTCCTTAGGTGTGTTTGTTACCTGTCCCGGGTGTGTTATCAGTCCCAGGTATGTGCGTTTCCTGTCCCAGATGTGTTTGTTGCCTGTCCAGGTGTGACCTCACCTGCAGCTGGAACGCCAGCTCAGCCGTGGCCCTGCGGGCGCTGACGGCTCCGTCGCACTCAGCCTGAGCCACCTGGAAGTCGCGCTGGGCTCGCGCCGTGGCCTCCTCACTCAGCAGCTGTGCTGACACTTGCTCCTGCCGTGCCCGCGCCTCCTGCAGGGACAGCAGCGCTGGGACCAACTGGGAGGGAATGGGAGGGACTGGGATGGACTGGGGAATGGGGTACTGGGAGCACTGGGGGTGTTGGGGCAGTTTGGGGGATGGGGGTACTGGGGATCCTGGGAGAGACTGGGGTATCGAGAGCATTGGGAGGGACTGGACAAGGACTGGGAGGTGCTGGAGTGGGATTAGTGGGGAACTGGGAGAGTACTGGGAGCACTGGGAGCACGGGGGGTACTGGGGCACTTTGGAGAATGGGGTACTGGGGGCACTGGGAGGGACCATGAGGGCACTGGGGCTATCGGGGGTACTGGGAGCACTGGGATGAACTGGGGACCACAGGAAGAGCACTGGAAAGTACTGGGAATACTGGGAATATTGGGGGTGTGACCCAGCTTCCCCCAGGTGTCCCCAGGTGTTCCCAATGTCCCCAGTGTTCCCAGGTGTGTCCCCAGGTGTGTTGCCAATGTCCCCAGGTGTCCCCAGCGTCACTCACGCGGATCCCGGCATCGCGTTTGGCCTCGGCCTCTCCCACGCGGGCGTCGCGCTGCACCTGCGCCGTGCGGCCCTTCCCGAGGGAGCGCAGGTAATCCTGACAGGGACACCTGTGTCACCTCCTTGTCACACCTGTGTCACACCTGTGTCACCCCATCCCCCCCAGACAAATCGCAGGAGTGTCTTAGGTGCCCCCAGTTGTGCCCAGGTGTGTCCCAAATGTTGCCATCTTGTCTCTGGGTGTCTCCAAGTGTGTCCCAGGTGTGTCCTGAGTGTGTCTCACTTGTGCCCCAGCTGTGCACAAGTATCTCCAGCTGCCCCCCAGGTATGTCCCAGCTCTCCCCAGTTGTCCCCAGCTGCATACAAGGTATATCCTGGCTGTGCCCAGGTGTCCCCAGCTGTCCCCAGGTGTGCCAGGTGTCACCTGCTCATCGTGCACGTCCTTGAGGGTGTAGCTGACCACGGAGATGCCCATGTTCACCAGGTCGGAGGAGGCCACGCGGAAAACCTGATCCGAGAACTTCTGCCGGTCCTTGTAGATCTCCTGGGTGGGGCCGGGGCGGGGCTTAGTGGGGTGGGGCTCAGATGGGGGCAGAGCCTGGCTGGGCAGGGCCTGAGAGTGGGGTTTAAGCTGGGCAGGGCTCAGTGGGGCAGGGCTTAGAGGTGGGGCACAGGTGGGTGGGGCTCAGTGGTGTAGGGCTCAGAGGGGTGGGGTTTAGTAGGATGGAGCCCAAGGGGGCGGGACTCAAGTTAGGCAGGGCTCGAGGGAGAGCGGCTCAGTAAGGTGGGGCTCAAGTTGGGCGAGGATTAGCAGGGAGCAGCCCGGAGGGGTGGGGTTTAGCAGGGTGGGGCTCAGTGGGGCAGTGACAAAATAAGGTGGGCTTAGCAGAGAAAGGGATGGGGCTGGTGGGTTTAGCCAGATGTGCCAGGTGGGCGGGGCTTCGTCCTGGAGGTGTGGCTTTTATCTCGGAGGTGTGGCTTGGTCCTGTGGGCGTGGCTTTGGGAAATGGGTGGAGCCAGGTGACTGTGGCTTTGCTTGGGGGTGTGGCTTGTACAAAGGTGGGGGGCTTGGTGGGCATGGTTTGACCCAGTGGGCGTGGCTAGCTACAGATGGGCAGGGCTTGAACCAAGGGGTGGAGCCAGGTGGGCATGGCTTGGGATTGGGGGTGTGGCCTGAGGCTTTGGGGCCTGGAATGAGCCAAGGGGCGTGGCTGGACCCCAGGGTGGAGTGAGGGGAATGGCTCCGTTTAGCGGGTGTGGCTTGACCCAAAACGGGCATAGCTGGAGCAAGGAGGTGCTGCTAGGTGGGTGTGGCTTGGGTAAGGGGTGGAGCCATGGGTGTGGTTTGTACTGGGTGGAGCCAGGTGGGCATGGCCCAAACTGGGGGGGGGGGGGGGGGGGGGGGGGTCAGGATTAAGGCAGGGGCGTGGCTTGAATCATGGGGTGGAGTCTGGTGGGTGTGGCTTCGAGATGGGGTGGGTTTATACTGGGACAGGGCCAAGAAGGGAGGAGGGGCTTAGGGCAGGGATGGGGCAGGTGTGGGTGTGGCTTTAAAGGGGGTAGGGCAGGGAAGGAGCCTCTTGGGCAGGTGGGTGGGGCTTTAACAAGAGTGGCACCTTTGGGGTGTGCATTCACCAGTGGGTGTGGCCTCCTCCAGGGGTGGGGCCTTTCAAGGGGTGGAGCTTATGGGCCAAATGGGGGAGAGGTCTCTTAAAAGGCCACATCTGACCCCAAAGGGAGCTGGTGACTTTGTCCCTGAGGGGGTGTGTCCATCCAGGTGGGCATGGCCACCTCAGGGCTGTGGCTTCTGAGATCTGGGGCTTCTTAAAAGGGACACATCTCATCCCAAGTGGGGAGCGTTCGGTTGGCTCCCAAGTAGGTGTGGCTGTCCTGGGAGGGGTGTGGCTTCTCCAAAATGGGCGTGGCTCCCCCAGACCCACCTCCACGGTCATGTGGGCCATGATGGCACGCTGGTGGCCCTCCAGTGTCTCCAGGGCGATCTGGCCGATCTCGCTCTCCGACTTTCCCAGGAACATCTGACAAGCAGCTGCCAGCATCTCCTTGTTCTGCCCCTGGATCTTCACCTGAGGGGGGTCTGGGATCACCTGGGTACCCCCCAGCCACCCCTGGTACCCCCAAAATAGGCATGGCCCTTTAGGGTGTAGGTGTGGCATTGCCCTTTTAAAGAGGCTGGTTGCTTGACAGGGTGGGGACCACCAGGGCAGGGCCATTTTAAGGGGTCTCGTTCTCTTGGAGGGGGCTTGGGGGTCCCCACCACTCCCAGCCCATTTTTAGGGGTGTCTTACCCCACTTAAAGGAGTCCCCACCAAGAAAATCCCCTTTTAAGGGAGGTCAAGATCCCCCCATGGGATTTTGGGGTCCCCAACACTGCAAGCCTGATTAAGAATTGGACCTTGACCCCTTTAAGAAGGATTTAGGGAGGCTGCCACATCACAAACCCTTTTAGTTTTTTAAGGTTTTTTCAAGTGTTTTAAAGGGTGTTTAAAAGGTTTGTAAGGTTTTTAATGGTTTTTTAAGGATTTTTCCCTTCTCAAATATTTTTTGGGCCACCACCACTCCAATCACCTTTTTACGGAGGATTCCCCCTCCCATCCCGGGGTTTGGGGCTCTCCAAAACTTCGAGCTCCTTTCAAGGGATTCCCCAGCCCGAAATGCCCTTTTTAGGAGTGTTTTTTACCCCTTTAAATGTTTTCGGTGGGCCCCACCAGTCCAAACCCCCTTTAAAGGGCTCCTCCCCTCCCCCCCTTTGTTTTGGCCTCCCGCCACCATTGCCGCTTTAAGAACACCCTTAGGTGGGCCCCACCACAACCTCCATTAAAAGGGCAACGCCTGGGGCAGGGGAGCCGCAGGGGAGATCTGGGGGGTCCCGGGGGGGATTTGGGGGTGCCAAGTGGGAATTTGGGGGTCCTGAAGCATTTCTGGAAGGTTCCAAGGAGATTTCGGGGGTTCAGAGTGTGGGTTTTGGGGTCCTGAGAGGGTTTCCCGGGTACCCGTGTGAGATATTTGGGGTTCGGGAGGGGATTATGGGAGTTCTGAGGGAATTTTGGGGGTCCTGAGAGGAATTCTTGGGGTTTCCAAAGTGACTTTGGGGTTCTGAGTGGATTTTAGGGGCTCTGAATGAGGTGTTCGGGGTCCCAGTGGGCTGTTGGGGACCGGGGAGGACTGGGGGTTCTGAGGGACATTCTGGAGATCCCAGTGGGGATTTTGGGGCGTCCTGAGTGTATTTTTGGGGGATTTTTGTGGGTCCAGAAAGGGAATTTTGGAGTTTTGTTGGGCCATTTTTTAGGGGGATTTGGGTGTCCAGGAAGGGATTTTTGGGGATTCCGAGGGGGGACTTTAGGAGCCAAGGTGGGGACTTTTAGGGTATTTTTGGCAGTCCAGGAGGGGATTTTTGGAGGATTTTTAGGGGATTTTTGGTGGTTCTGATGGGGGATTTTGGAGATCCAGGAGAGGATTTTTGCGACGATTTCTTGGATGGTTTTGGGTGTGTTTTTGGGGTATTTTTGGGGGTACTTTGAGGTGGTTTTGGGGCGTTCCGGGGTTACCTGGGCGATGCCGGTGACAGAGATTGGCACCCCATGGCGGGTGTAAACCTTCTCACTGCGCACGGGCAGCGTCAGCGTGTTCAGGGAGATCCTGGGGGGGCCGGGAGGGTCACCCCAAATCTCGGGGGATTCCCCCTGAACCCTAGAAACCCCCCCAGCCCCTCCTCACCGCTGGATCTGCTGCAGGCAGGGGATCACCAACACCCGGCCCCCGGCCACCATCACCGGGGGGCTGCGGCAGAAACCTGGGGGGCACCGAGAGCTGGGGGGGACCCCAAAACCCCGGGGAGGACACGGGGACACCCCCAAGAATCACGGGGAGGGGTTTGGGGGAGACCTCCAGGAATTTTTGGGAGGGGAATTTGGGGGGAAAATTTGGGGGGGGGTCCCGAGGAAGCCCGGGGTGGGGGAATGGACTGGGGGGGACCCTCAGGAAGGGGTTTGGGGGGTCCCTGGAGGGGTTTGGGGGGGTTGGGAGGGGTCCAAGGAGTCCCCGCGTGGGTTTGGGGGTCCCGGGGGAGTTCCCAGGAGTTTTGGGGGAGGGGGTTCCAGGGGTTCCCTGGAGGGCTTCGAGGGGATTTTTGGGCTTTCCGGGAGTTTTGGGGGATTCTGGGGGTTCCTGGGAAATTTTGGTGGATTTGGGGATTCCCAGGAGATTTTGAGGGGGAGGATGCTGCGGGTTCCCTGGAGTGTTTGGGGGGAATTCGGGGGGTTCCCGGGAGTTTTGGGGGATTTTGTGCGTTCCCGGGAGTTTTGGGGGTCCCCAGGAGCCGCCGGGCCCCCCGAACTCACCCGACACCACCATGGCCTCGTTGGGGCCGCAGGTGAAGAACATCGCGGCGGGGGAGAGCCGGGGATCGATGGGAGCGATCGGGATCGATGGGGATCGATGGGAGCGATCGGGATCGATCGCGATCGGCGACCGCCGCCCCGATCCCGGCAGCCCCCGCGCTCGCTACTTCCGCGTTAGCGCGGTGACGTCACCGAACGCGCGGTTTCCCATTGGCTGTCGTGCCAACAGCGGGAAGGAGAGGTCTGTTCTGCCAAGCAACTTGTGACGTCACTGATTTCCCGGCGCTCCATTGGCTGCGCCCTGCTCAGATTGCCGCGTTATCCGTGGGAAATGAACAATTTCAGTTCGGGATGAACCTGAGGTGAGGGCAGTGACGGGGTCCGGGGAGCTCCAGACCGTGGCCGGGTCGTGGTCAGCTCATGGTCAGCTCATGGTCATCCCATGGCCATAACCGCATTACGGTCATCTCACAGCCGTGGTGGTGTCATGGTCACCTCATGGTCTTGGTCACCACATAGCCACTGTGTGTTGTGGTCATCTCACGGTCACCTCTTGGTCAAGATCCTGTCATGGCAACAGTCATGGTCATCTCAAGGCCTTCATCTTTTCATGGCCACGGTGGTGTCATGCTCGTCTTGTGGTCATCTCATTGTCCTGATCATCTTATGGTCATCTCATGGTCATGGTCATTTCCTGATTCCCATCATCTCATGCTCAGGGTCATTTCACTGTAATGGTCATCTCACACTCATGTCATTGTCGCCTCATTGTCACCTCATGGCCACCATCACATCAGGGTCACCTCAAGGCCATGGTTGTGCCATGGCCAACCCATGGTCATCTCTTGGTCCAAATCATCTTGGTCAGCATTGTGGTGGTGTCATCTCAGGGTTGTGTCGCTCATGGTCACTCTCACGGCCATCTCGTGCTCGTGTCTTGGCCGTGGTCATGGCCACAGAACCTCTCCGAGATCCTGAGCCTGGATTTTGGGACACTCAAGGACCACTGGGGAGAATGAGGCCTGGCCTGACCCCTCCCCCCATCCCACTGTCCCTCCAGGAACCCAGCATGGCCAAACCCTCCTGGGGACACCTCGGACATGGGACATGGAGCGGGACATGAATCCCGGGGGAGGGAGCCGGGCATGGCCAGCAAGTTCCCATCCTGCTCCTGGTGTCCCCATCCTGGTCCTGGTGTCCCTAACCCCCTCCTGGTGTCCCCATCCCAGTCCTGGTGTCCCTAACCCCCTCCTGGTGTCCCCATCCCAGTCCTGGTGTCCCCATCCCTGTTCCCATCCCATTCCTATTCCTGCCTCCCAGAGAGGAAAAGCTGGACACCAGAGGAGGGAACACCGATTTATTGCCCCAAATCTCAATTTATTGCCCCAAGATCAAATTATTGCCCCAAGATCAATTTATTGCCCAAAGCAGGATAATTTCACACCAGAAGCGAAGCACTGGGAGTATTTGTGGTTCTTGCCATGAAAACATTAGGAAATGGAAAACAGGACATGGATCAGTTAGCAAGAGCTGTGGGGTGGGTGGGAGCAGCGGGATGAGCTCTGCTGGCAACTCTCAGCTTTCCTGGGAAGAGGGAAGAGGCCGGATGCAGCTCCATGGATCGCTCAGGCGGTGATTCCTGTCGGGATGAGAGAGGGTCACAGTGTTACCCTGTCCCTGTCCACATTCCACAGGACGGACGTGGCTGGAGCCCATGGGGAGTGGGAGCTGCTCCAGAATCCCACCTGATCCCACCCCAGTCCTGCTCCATGCATCCCATCCCACCCATCCTGCCCCAATCCTGCTCCATCCACCTCACCCAATCCTGCACTGGAATCCCTCCCTGATCCCACTCCATCATTCCTGCCCCAATCCTGCTCCATCCATCACAAATGATCCCACTCCAGAACCCAGCCCCAGTCCCACTCTACAATTCCCCCTGATCCCACTCTGGACCCCTGATCTGATCCAGAATTCTGCCCTGATCCCAGTCTGTCCATCCTGCCCTGATCCCCCTGGAATCCCACCCTGATCCTCCTCCGTACCTGCGGTTGAGCCATTCATTCCCACGTCCTTCCCTGCAGAAAGAGAAGATCCATGAGATTCCAGCATGGATCATGCATCAGGATTAACCCCAGGATCCATCCTGGGATCCGCACAGAGGGGATCCAGAGCTGGATCCGCCACTGGAACTCACCGGCTGCCACGTTGTATCCACTCCTGTCCCTCCTCCCTGTGGAAACAAAGTGGGATCAGCATCGGTGACACAGGATTCCCAGAACGGTGCGGCTGGATCCGTGCCCCTTCCCACCCCCCATCCTGTGTGTTACCGGATTGGAGCTTCCAGACACCGAATCCGATGAGGACAGTGAGGATGAGGATGGCAGCGATGACAGACACAGCAACCGCCATGGTGAGATTCCTGCCAGACGTCGGCTCTGGGACACGTGGGATAGTGAGGAGGGGAGTCCCCATTTGGAAATTCCAAATTCCCAATTCCCACATTCCCAGTCTCACCCCAAGCGAAGAGCCCGGGCTCCAGCATTCCGGGATGGTCCACCTTGCACCGGTACTGCTCCCGCTCCTCCGGCAGCGCCTTGATCCTGGCCCAGGTGTGGAAGGTGCCATCGCTGTTGGGAACGATCCCGCCCCACTCCATCTCCTGATCCAAGGTTGCATTCTCCTTCATCCAGCTGACTGTGATGGTGTTGGGGTAGAATCCGTACGCGTGGCAGGACAGGATCAGCGTCCCATATTCCTCTTTTCCGGACACGTGGACATCAGGGGGCTCTGGAATGGGATAATGGTAGAATTCATGCATGGAATTCCATGGGAATGGCATTGGGGTGAGCTCTGCCCATGGAACTCCCATTAGAATGGGACTGGGCAGAGCAGTACCCATGGAATTCCCACTGAGATGGGATGGGGGTGAGATCTGACCATGGAATTCCCACTGAGATGGGATGGGGGTGAGATCTGACCATGGAATTCCCACTGAGATGGGATGGGGGTGAGATCTACCCTTGGAATTCCCACAGGAATTACCGTGTTCCCAAGTTCTCCATTCCCAAATCCCCGCAGGAATTCTGCTCCCACCTTTGCGCTCCAGCTCCTTCTGCCCGAATCCAGCGTATTTCCGGAGCCATTCAGGGCATTCGTGCTTCAGGTAATATGTCCACCTCTCAGCCTCCTCCTCCTGCTCCCAGCGCCTCCTGGTGATCTCGGCAGCGCTGTCGGCCGCCAGGAATTTCCCGGAGCCCAGGTCAAAGGAGATGAAATCCCGCCCGTCGTAGCCATACTGGAAGGATCCGCGGACACTCCCATCGGACAGGAGGTCACAGCCACTAGCCCACAACGCAGTGTGGAGACCTGGGGGGATTGTACCCACAGAGACCCATGGAATTGTGTCCCGGCCCCACAGAGCCCCATCCCAGCCCTATGGAGCCCCAGAGTCCGATGGAGACCCACAGAGCCTCATTCCAGCCCCCTGGAGTCCCATGGATCCACATCCCAGCCTCATGGATCCACATCCCAGCCCCATGGATCCCATCCTAACCCCATGGATCCCATCCCAGACCCATGGATCCACATCCCAGCCTCATGGATCCCATCCCAGACCCACAGATCCCATCCCAGCCCCATGGATCCCATCCTAACCCCATGGATCCCATCCCAGACCCATGGATCCACATCCCAGACCCACAGATCCCATCCCAGCCCCATGGATCCCATCCCAGCCCCACAGATCCCATCCCAGCCCCATGGATCCCATCCCAGCCCCATGGATCCCATCCCAGCCCCACGGATCCCATCCCAGCCCCACAGATCCCATCCCAGCCCTATGGAACCCATCCCAGACCCATGGATCCCATCCCAGCCCTACAGATCCCATTCCAGCCCCACAGATCCCAACTCTAGCGCCATGGATTCACATTCCAGGCCCACAGATCCCATCCCAGCCCCATGGATCCTCACCACAGCCCCACAGATCCCATCCCAGCCCCATGGATCCCATCCCAGACCCACAGATCCCATCCCAGCCCCATGGATCCCATCCCAGCCCCATGGATCCCATCCCAGACCCACAGATCCCATCCCAGCCCCATGGGTCCTCACCACAGCCCCACAGATCCCATCCCAGCCCCACGGATCCCCACTCACCCCTGCTCTGGTTGTACCGCTCCTGCAGTATCTCCAGGTTCCTGGCATCCAGGTGCTGGTGCCTCACAGCACTCTGGGTCTGCCCATCCCAATATCCCGGCTCGGCTCCATCCTTCATCCACTGCGTCAGCGGCTCCATCCGGCCCCGCTCGCTGTCGTAGCGCACGAAGGGGATCCCATCCACAAACCCAATGATCGTGTACTGGGGGACCCCCGGGCTGGGCTCTGACACCGCCACGGTCAGGTAATGCAGGGAGTGAACTGGGGGGACACGGAGATTTGGGGGGGTTGAGGGGGTCATGGATCAATGAAAGGGGAACTGGGAGGGCTGGGAAGGGGTTTGGGGATGTTGGGGCCAAGGAAAGGGTGTGCAGGGGTGGGAGAGCTGGGATGGACGGGAAAGGGCGAGCAGGGAAGTCCTGCTGTCCAGGAATGAGGGCTCAGGGGGTTCCAGGGCTATGGAAGAGGGGTGCAGGGACCGGGAGAGGCGGGATGAGAGTTCCAGGGGATCCCTGTGCCCAGGAAAGGGGGAGCAGGGGTCCCCAGTGCCAAGAAAGAGGGGTCACAAGGTGGGCAGACCTGGGAATGGAAAGCTTGGGGGTCCTTGATGCAGAGGTAAGGGGGGGCTGGGGGCTGAGAAAAGCAGGAATGGGGGTCCAGGGGGTCTCAGAGGCAAGGAAAAGGTGGGTTCTGGGGCTGGGAGAGGCAGCTGGATCCCGGGGACCAAGCTTGGGAGAGGCGAAACAGACCGAGGGAACGTGGGGGATGGGACAGGGGGAAAGGGGAATTCCAGGGAGATCATCTGGATCCCTCTGGATCCTTGCTGCGACCCCCCTGAGATCCCTGGGACCCCGTTTTGGGAAGTGGTGGGAGTGGAAAATGGGGAGGACACGGAAAGTTGGGAGATCTGGGGAGTCCAAAGGTCAAGGAAAAGGGCGGGTCTGGGGTCTGGGAAAGGCGGGATGCCCGAAAAGAGAGAGCAGGGGGTCCCCGAGCACTGAGGGGGATGCAGGGAGATCCAGTCCCGGATAAAGGGGTGCAGGAAATGAAGATTCAGGGGTGTCCCAGTGCCCAGGAATGGGGGTTCAGAGGGGTTTCCCTGCCCAGGAATGGGGGTTCAGGGGGGTTCCTGTCTGCGATTTGGGGTTCAAAGGGATCCTGACCCCCAGGAATGGGAGATCTGGTGGGTCCCGGGGCCAGATAAGGGGCTGCAGAGGGGTCCCGCTGCCAAGAAATGAACGTTCACGGGGTCGATGCCGAGGAATGGCGGTTCAGGGGATTCTCTTTCCGGAATTCGGAATTCAAGTGAGTCCCGGTGCCAGATAAGGGGTACGGGGTGTCGGAAATGGGCGCTCAAGGGGGTCCCGGTGCTCAGGAATGGGGGCTCAGTAGATTCTGATGCCCGGGAATGGCAGTTCAGGGGGGTTTCTCTGACCAGGAATTGGGGTTCAGGGGTGCCCCGATGACAGATAAGGGGGTACACGGGGGTCCCGGTGCTGGCGAAGGGGATTGAGAGGGGTCAGTGGACCCAAGGTGGGGGTCAGGGGAGTTCCCCTGCCCGGTAATAGAAGTTCAGGGGGATCCCGGAGCCCGGAGATGGAAGTTCAGGGGCTTCCCGGTTTTGGGGTTCCCACTCACCTTTCGTCGTGCCCCCCGGCTCCGCCAGGAGCCCCAGGAGGAGCCCCAGGAGGAGCCCCAGGAGCAGCCCCAGCGCTGGAGCCATGGCGCGGCTCCACTGCGGCCCCGGGCACTGCCCCGGCCCCGCCCCAGCCCCGGCCCCGCCCCCAGAGCCGCCTCCGGCCCTGCCATTGGCCCCGCTATTTCCTGTTCACCAATGGAAACTCGCTCTGGTACTGACGTCACCGGTCGCCGGGTAAATCCCGGCCTCACAGGTTGGGACGCGGAAACGAAAGGGACTGGGGAGGGCGGGGGGGAAGGGACGGCGGAATTCCAGAGAATTCCCTGGATCCCTCTGGATCCCTCTGGATCCCCGCTGCGACCGCCCTGGAGCCCTCTGAGAACCACCTTAAGAAAGCGCCGGGAGTGGAGAACTGGGGGGACACGGAAATTTGGGAGCTCTGGGGGTGTAAAGGTGAAGGAAAAGGGCGAGTTTGGGGGCTGGGAAGGGCGGGATGCCCAGGGAGGTGGGCAGGGGGTACCAGAACACGGGAAGAGGGTCCAGGACCGGGTCCAGGTCCCGGATAAGGGGGTGCAGGGGGTCCCTATGACCAGAACCTGAGGGGATCTCGGTGCCGGATAAGGGGGTGCAGGGGGGTCTCGATGCTGGGGAGGGGGATTGAGGGGGTTCACAGGACACAAAATGGGGGTTCAGGGCGGGTCCCTGCCCGGGAACGAAGGTTTAGGGGGTTCCCGGTGCCCGGAAATGGACGATCAGGGGGTCCCGGTGCCCGGGAATTGCGGTTCTGGGGGGTCCCGGTTTCGGGGTTCCCACTCACCTTTCGTCGCGGCCCCCGGGTCCCCCAGGAGCCCCAGGAGCCCCAAGAGCAGCCCCAGCCCCAGCGCTGGAGCCATGGCAGCCGCTCCCGATCCGGCTGTGGCGCAGCTGGAGAGACACGAAAGCGAAAGTGCCCGAGGGAGCGCGGGGGGAGAAAAGGGGGAGGGGAAAAGGGGGAATTGCGGGGAACGGACCGGGATCCCCTCCTGGCACCCCTCTGGGTCCCTCGGGGATCCATCTGGGACCCTCCCCGGCCGCGCCCTGCGGGACCCCCGGGCCGGGCTGTGCTGGACTCCCGGGCCCTGCGCTCCAGCTCTGCCCGGACCCCGCTGGGTTCGGCCCAAAGCCGGGCAGGCACCGGGAGCAGCGGATCCCGTTTTTCCTGCGGGTGCGGGTCTGACCCCCGGCGGAGCGGGACTGGGCGCTGGGACCTCGATCCCTGATTCCCAACCTCCTTCTCTCTCTCTGCTGTTCTCTCCCTTTCCTTTGGGGGATCATAAATCCCAGAGCGGCTGCAGAGCCCCGTGCCCAGGCCGGTTTCCCAGCAAAGGGAGGCATGGGGGTGAGGTGCTCCGGGCTGACCGGGAATGGGGGCCCGGGGGTCCCCGGGGTCACGGAAACGGGGGATCCAGGGGCTGGGAGAGGAGGATACCCGGGAAAGGGGGTGCAGGTGGGTGTTGGTGCAGGATAAGGGGGTGCAGGGGGGTCCCAGTGCCCGGGAATGGGTGAGGGGGAGCAGAATCTGGGAAATGGCAGTGGCTGCTGGGAAAGGACTGGGACAGGCTGGGATGGACTGGGACAGACTGGGAAAAAAACCCACTGGGAGCAGAACTGGGGCACCAGGGATCATACTGGGATATACTGGGACCACACTGAGGGTCACCAGGAGCAACTGGGAACATGCAGGGGACAGTTGATATACTGGGAGAGACTGGGAGTGGTTTGGATTATCCTGGGATTGACTGGAATCATACTGGAAGTGATTGGATCTGTAGTAGGGGTGAATAGGAGAAACTGGAATAAAGCAGGGGGCAACTGGGATCACACTGGGAGCAGCTGGTCCATGCTGGGGTCGTACTGGGATCATACTGGAACTGACGGGGTAACACTTGGAGTGACTGGCATTGTACTGGGAGTGTCTGGGAGTAACTGGGATCATACTGGAGGTGACTGGGATAAACCAGACTCATACTGGGAGCATCTGGGAGTTACTGGGATCGTACTGGAGGTGACTGGACTTATACTGGGAGCAGCTGGGACCACAGTGGGGTCAAATGGAATCGTGTAAGATGCAACTGGGTTCATACTGGAAGTGACTGAACTCAGGGGCCACACTGAACTCTTCCTGAGAAGGACTGAAAGGAACCATACCGGGGATGACTGGGAGCACCGGGACCGTGTTGGGGGCAACTGGGATCCTGCTGGGAGTGATTTGGACCATACCGGGAGTGACCGGGAACCAGCGGTGAGGCGGCGTCGGCGGAGCTCGGAGGCGGCCCCGGCGCAGGTGGGAGCCGCGCTGGGTTCTGCGGGGGCTCGGGGCTGGCTGCGGGCGGAGGGGGCGGCAGGGGGCTGCGGCGGGTCGGTGGTGCCGTGTCCGGGCCGTGCCGGCCCCGGGCTGAGGGCGCGGCGGGAGCGGCTGCCCGCGGTCTCCTTCCCGCCGGGGCCTGGGCAGGAGCCGCTGCCGGAGCAGCGCTGGCTCGGCCCGGCTGCTGTGGGTAGGACCGAGGGGGCTGCCCCGCGGCCGGGAGCGTGCGGGGAAATTCCCGTCGCCGGAGGTTTCTGTGGCCGGAGGAGAGCGAGGAGTCCTGTAAAAGTGACTTTATTGCTGAGCAGGGGGAGAGGCCGTGGGGCATTTGCCGTGCGCTCTCTGCCATGGTTGTAGTCCGCAGCCTCCTTTTTATCCTCATTTTCCCGGCCGCATCTCCCTCTGCCTTTGCCCACGGGCTGAGGTCCTTGGAAGGTTCAGACTTCCCGATGCGCCTGCTGCCTGTCCTCGTTAATATGCACCCTCCTTTTGTATACCAGCCGATATTCATGGCTCTGTTAAGTCTTTGTTCTTCTCCTCGAAGTTTGGGAATGTAGCGGGACTTTGAGCAGCAGTCCGTATCAGTTGGTAACATTTATTGGAACTGATGGTTTCTCCCATTGCTTTCTTTAGCTACAAGTCCCTCGCCCTGTCTCCAGACCGATTCAATCATTGACTCTGTTTTTTCTTACTGGGTCCTCTTTGGTTTTGGGATTATTCTCGGTGCCCTCATTCCCTGTCCTTTTGTAGCCGTTTGTGGGTCAGGAGGCCTGGCTGCCACCTGCATCCCCTGGCTCAGCTGCTGGATGAGCTGCACTGCCAAGGTGTAGGCGCTTGCTAAAAAGATGAGAGTTGCTGCAGCACAGAAGAGGAGAAGCAGCATTCGTTTAACCCATGGTCTGCCAGGGCACCACGAAACTGTGTCCAATTCCCATCCTTTCCAGTTTGGCCAGAACATGAGCTGCTTTTTTGTTTCCTTTGTTACCTTTTTCACCACTGCCGACAGCAGTTTGAGTCATTTAATTTTCCACAAGCTCTTCATTTTCCTGCTAACAGATAATCTGATCCCATCCCCTGGTGAAAAGTGTTCCTCATTTCAGTGGATTGGTCAGCAGGAAGGTCAGGGGCTGGAGCTGTCTGGTTGGTTCTTATTTGGAGGACAGCTTGTTATCTAATGATGCCATTGAAATGATAAATGGGTTCTGTGGCTCCTGATATGAGTTCCATAGGGTTCCCAGGGGCTGGTCCATGGTGTTGTAGGATTTATTCTGGTAGCCATTTGTGGTTTTCCCCTTTTTGGCACTCCCTCAGGAGCCAGGATGGCATCAATTTTCTCTAATGTAAACATCAACTACTTGTATTTCAACTGATTTTGCTGAACTTGTGGTAGCAAAAGCCACAGTCCTCTAATACACCCTGTATAACGTAGACGGTGACAGCACATGTTGGAGTGGGCAGAGGGATAATTCCTCCCCACTTATTTTAGTGAAGTTTTCACAACATTCTCCATTTGCTGTTTCCCTTTGCAGCTTCAGCCATTTCTGTTGCAGAGTCAGGGATCCTCACCATGGGCTCTGCCTTCAGCTGTGCAGATTCCATCTGTGGAAGCAGGCAGAGCTTGGGGTGAGGGCAGAGGGAATCTGTCACAGTTTTGGAGACAGACCAGTGCCAAGACACACTGAGTTAATGCAGCAACAGTTCTCTTTATTCCAGTCTTGCTTCCTTATATACCTTAGGAGCTCATGGGGCTGGTCCTCACTGGCTGAGCCAGTTCCGTCCTGCCAGCCAGCCAACAGCAGCCTGAGTCCCCAGGGCCTGGGCCTGCTCTTACCAGCTGAATTATGTAAGTAAGGTTATTATGTAACTGATCACATATTTCTGTTATAAATTTATAGTTATTTAAACTTTGATGTCTATAGGCCAGATGTAGGCCACTGTGGTAGATAGGGACAGGCGATCGGAAGATCTCGGGATGTGATGGAAAGAAAGACCCTTCCCCCTTCTCCCTGCTTCACGTTATCTATTACCCCCAGAGCATGTAACCACACCTAACCCAGTAGTTTTCCACTCCCGACTAACCTAGAGACCTTACCAACCCCCTCTGACGTAGCAAAGACCCCCAAGACTATTTAAACCCATGAGATAAGATAATAAATGCTTTCGACCGTCCACCACATTGGTGTTAGCGTGTGTCGTTAGCCCGAGTGGCCCGGACAAGCCGGGCTGCCGTGCTGTCGCCTTGAAACCAGGTCGCACGTTGCCTCCCATGAAGGCAACATATCTGGTGCCAAAACCCGGAAGAAGAGAAATTTGCTCGGGTAGCGGGAGTTCACCTGGACAAGGGCAGCAGATGGAGCGGTCAAACCATATCTTGGCGGAGGGAGACGTCCCAGGACCCGCGAGCGTCATGGACAGCATCGCCAGGGTCGTAAGTGCGATTTATAAGCAGTGGGGTATCGAGTGTAAGCTCAAGGACTTTTATCTTGCTATAGCAAGGCTGCTTGAGCTTGGGGCGATTGAACGCCCAGTGGATGCCATGCATCCGGGAATATGGGAAAAATGCACAGCCACGCTGGCCGAGGACATGAAATCCTCAGACAGTGGCAGAAGCCTTAAGGCGTGGGGCAAAGTAGAGAAAGCCCCGCGCAGGGCAATAGAAGAGCAGGAGACGCGGAGTGCAGCGCGTACGTGTTTATTAGTTAGACCCGGGCTCGGGGTGGGACCGGGAACGCAGACGGCCCCTGAGGACAATCCGCCCGGGAACAGAGATCTGGGGGGGCCCTGCGCATCACCCCCTCCTCAGATCAGAGCCCAACCCCCCCCGCGGAAACCCCCCGGAAAACCGCGGCTTCGCCGTCCGTCCCGCCACCGCCGGTCAGCGACCCATTGCCGGAGGTGCAGCAGTGCGTGGAATGCTTTTGGCAGGGGCTGTCGAGGGAAGCCAGAGGCGCAGAAACCGCAGCTCGGGAAGAGACTCTACCCACGCCGCCAGCGTACCCCTTTGAAAATGGCGCTGGCCGCCAAGGAGAGGGGCGGGGCGTGGGCGGTCTCGGCGCGAAAACCCGGGAGCCGCGCGATTTCAGGGACGCGCGTGCGCGGGAGAAAGAGGAGGAGAGCGGCAGGGAGCGCGGAGCCAATCGGCAGCCGCGCCGGGCGCCGCTACCATATAAGGGAGAAACCTCCCCCTGCAGGAGGCAGGGCAAGCCTGGGGGGCGGGAGCGGCGCCACCCCCGCAGGGAGGAGCGAGCTCAGAACTGGACAAAAAGGCATCGAGCCCCGGAAATGCGCTGGCATTCGACTTCCGACTCGGAGCCCGGCAGCAGCTCCGCCGGCTCGGAAGAGCTGACGGGAGCCAGCTGGAACTCTGAGACGGAGGAAACGGAGCAAACGCGATTTAAGACAAAACCGAGTAAAGCTTTAAGCCGCACCGAAAAAAAACTACAATACGAACCAGCCCAGTTTACCAGCTGGGGAGAAACATCCTGTTGGGGCTGCAGGAGAAAAGGGCATCTCATTAAGGAATGCAGGTCCCGGCCCCAGGGAAACGGGAAAGGGAGGGGGCGTGCGGGCCGCACCCAGCCTCCTCCTGCTGCGAATACAAGGCGGCCCA